TGAAAATGCTTGTGAGTGCAACCGTCTGCAAATGTCCATGGGGACAAACGTTCAGCCCGCGGGCGCTGAAAATCTGTGGGTGCAAAAGTATATATCCTTCTCGCAGGTTTGGGGTGCAAATATCTGAATGTGCTGTCACTAGCAAGAGTGATACTGTATCTCCATTTACTATAGATATAGATTCTTTTTTCGATTCATTCACGAACAATTCGCTCCTTTAACTTTTTAGAATTAAATCGCAGTGTGCACACCCGACAAGCACTGCGAGAGCGACTTCATAGTCACTTTGACCAATGACATTAAACAACATGATAGGCAACTCTGACGTCACTCCGTAAGACTACAAACGAAAGATTGTATTTCATGATACGCTCCAATGCACATATTTCTCGTCGCCTTTCGCGACCGTTTTCAGCTCGCTTTTGCTACTCGGCGTCTTCTCTACGTGTAGTACCTGCCCTTTTGCGACTGTAACGAAAGAAAATAATCTCTATATCTAAGAAGTTTTACTCACTTGGAAAGCTGGAATGGCAGACAAGCTGTAAAGAGCAATTCTGGACATCATGGACGTTTTTTATCAGAGAAGATTACAAACGCGATAGCGGAAAGATTTGTGTGGAACCTTTTGCAGATAATGACAAATTTCAAAGTTAGTAATTTTGATGTTTGCGCTTAAACATTGAAATTTCATTTAAAGAGGGTGTCATACAGGACAGCAAAACTGTTTTAACTTCTCCTAACGGTGCTGTGATACAATTCCATAACACAAAGTTTGCACCAATCGAACTTGCTTTTGTAGGTGAATTAATTAGACATATTACATATTCAGTTAATCGTAGGTAACATTGCTGGTACATAATGCCTCGTAGATAGGTTTGTTTAAATTTAGGAATTCAGCTCATAGCCCACTAATTAATATTATCTTCTGTGCAGGAGGTTGCAGGGCTGAATTCAACTTGCAGCCTTACCGATCACCTGACCATGCTCATTTAGTTTGGCTCGAGCAAGTCTTCTTGAAAGACTTGTGTGAATGGAAACTACCTCTATGTTTTACCTTCCTCCGATTTTAGAAGACAAATTCATTCTGAGGGATTTCTCATATAATTCTCATTGATTATTGGCTGTTTATAATTCCTATTAATTGTGAATTCTGATTATAACGAAGAGTTAAAAAAAAAATTACGTAATTTACTGGCACCTCTTTCTTGTCAAACTCCAAGTCCAAGCTGAGGTAATAAACAAGACAATACATTTATGTCATCTGGAAGCAAAATATGCACACTAATTAATAGTTTGACACATTGAGATAATACATCATGACAGAAAATACAAGTTAAAGATATGTTTGACCATCACATGGTAATTGAAATTAAAAAAAAAATTATTAGCGGCTATGGAGTATGAAAAATTCAAGACAAAGAAAAGAACAAGAGTTCATAGCTCATGAACTCTCAATTGTGCCTCCATTGCTTTGTCAAGGCCAAAATATTTTGAGTGGCTGAATTGGTTTACCTTTATGATGGCAACGATTTTGTATTAAATATAGCAAGATTTTTTTCAATTTAATTAAAGTGATATTATTTCCCAGGCAATGCTTGAATCGTATAGAATAGATCAGTGGTGTCAAACTCATGGGTTTTTGAGAGCCGCATTGCGTTTTGGAAATTGTAAAAAGGGCCGCAAACAGTTTTCGATAATGTATACTTGAAAGATATTTTTAAGATAGTTTTAGTTTGTGACATATGTTGTGATGCAACTAAACAGTTGGATTAAGTTTCATTATTTTATTTAATTTCAAATGCAATTACATATTAATATTTGCATTCCACTATTATTGCACGTTACTGTATTTATTACAAAAAATCATAAAATTCTATGTACAACCATCCAAATCATTTTTGAACATACTTTGGATAAGGAAAGAATAATACACACTAAAAATGGCTTAATTTAAATATATGGACCTAAAATTAACAAAAATACTACAGTATAAACTCAATGTTTTTTTAATTACATTTGTCCTGACGTTTGGTATCTTTTTTGTGTCACCAGCATACTAAGGCCAGGCTGAAATGATTTTATAGTACCAACTCTAACTAACGAGGTCACATGATCATGGGCTAATCTGGATCTTTGCGAATGTTTAATAAATTCCAGTAATGCAAAAAAGTTATTTTTATAATTTCATGTATAGATCAGTAAAAAAACAAATGACAGATTTTTTCGACAAGACATTTCGCACCACATTGCGTGGCATAGGATTGCTTGAAATATTATTGATATTGATTTTTAGTAACTAAGTCGTTGTATAATTATATTAATATACAAATACATGAAAATTTTCTGTTCAAAGTTGCTCTTCGAATTTGTCGTATTGACTGCTGAGCTTGTTGCGTTTTTTCATTGTATTGATGGAAATATGACAAATTAAACAACGTGCTTCAGAATTTTGTGAAATGCAGAAATATTGCAACTCTCCATTTTTTTTGAAAATACCACCTTCTTCATGTACTTTGCGTTTAATTTAATCACTCAAGTGTTTTATTCAAGTATTCTTTTGCTAGCTTGATGTGTATTCTTAATTGGGTAAAAATGTAAACAAAAAAAAATTAATATTTCAAAACTACTTTCAGTAAATTGTTTTCTGTGTGAATAATCAATTTCACTTTAAAAGGTTTGAAAAATCTATTACATTCAGATAGAAAAAAACTTCCAAAATGCTATTACAATTATTGCTAAGCGTTCGAGGGCCGCACTGGAAGTTCTCTGGGGCCGCGAGTTTGACATCCCTGGTCTAGATTGAAGTTGTCCAAAATATATATAACAGTATTTTATCATGAATCATGATTATACCCTTTCCTGAATTTCTTCTATAGTACTACCAAAAGTTGATGAACCAAATATAACACAGGTGTAGTGAGTTACCCGTAATCCTCATTTTCCAAAGCTGTTTTAAGTATGTCTTGCGTGTTTTGTACCTTTTTACAAATAGGACCGCTTATTAAATCTCGCGCTTTAGAATTTTTAGTTATTTTCCTTAAGCCATGCAGGATGTGGGGGCCATACACAACTCTACCGGAGGGTCAAATGTCTTTGCATGCCTCCATAGGTTGTTCTTCTATTGCAAACATTTATGGAGTACTCTAATTATATTTCTTGGAATCACACGGTCACTGGTATGTCACCAGACTTCTGATATCTCCCCTTCTGCTATAATTGTCCTGTGAATAAATGATAGGAAATTGAGATTAGACGATTAGTTGAAACTTTTGCTTTATGTCGGCTTAATTTCTTGATTGATATACGTACTATTTTAGCTATTGCCTCTTGTGCTGCAGGAGTGTCACAATGCTTAGACAGGTTTGTCCACAACATTCACATCTGAAGAAAGAGAGATTTATTAATTTTCGTCAATAATAAATGAAGCAGTCTATATGATTTAGAATGGAAAAGCTAATAAATCCAATAAATCATGTTTAATGTAAAAAATGTTTTACTGAATTTGGTATATAAACCAACTAATAAAGGGGTTTAGTCAGAAAATTACAAGCATTCGTGGCTCCATATACTTGAGAGATCAGACTATACAATATAGACCGGTATGAGTGAAATGTTAGGTGAACTTGTTAACCCTTTGATTCAATCCTCACTGATTAAAAAAAATCTAAATGGAGGTGCATGAACTATTTGAAACCATAAGGGGTAAGTAAATATGCAATTTTGGCAAATGGGCAACTACGTACCGTACTGAATTAATAACTTCGTAGTATATGACAAAAGCTGGCTTTCCCACATGTTCTTAACAGTGCGATGCCCGGGTGTGATATACAACAATAGTATTTACCTTACCTTTTTCCGATTTCTTTTTACCTCAACTTTCCAAAATATCATTAAAATCGACAACAACTGTCAAAGCAGGCACGAACACCATTCGTGCTATGCCTTGAAAGCAGCACACATCCGCTCGTTTTCGTCTCGTCAAGTATGTGCATTGGAGCGTGCTATCGGATACGATCCTCGGCCAAAAATGCCGTAGTTGCGCATCATGTTGTTTGATGTCATTGGTTCAAGTAAGTAATAGAATTGAATAATCATTGTGTTGGTGGGCTAGCGTTTAAAGCAAAGGTTCTCAAACAGGGGCCCAGGAGTAGTCGGATGGGGCCACAATGCTAGGGGCAGAACTGATTTCACCTTTCGTTTTACATGAAAACTTCCTGTTATTCCCAGTTCCATAGCTGGGTAAGGTCATTTCGCAGGGTGTTTTTTACTTCAAAGTCAGTCATGAATTGTTTGTACATAATGGGGTTTGAAATTTATTAATCAAATTAACACTATAAATACCACCGGAATGATAAACAAGGGGCCATGAGTGCTAATGGCCTCCCAGAGGGGGCTGCAAATCATAGTAGGATTTGAATCACTGATTTAGAGCATTAGAATTAATTATGATAGCATTGCAGGTTATTGAAATATTGGATTCAAATACCATATACCCATGGCCATGACCACAACAACTTAGAGCAGGGCGGGGCAACACAAACTTGGCACATGAGCCCATTTATTTGGCACACGAGTGAGGCCTTTGAAACGAGATCATTATTCTTCAGATAAAAAGTTTCAAGACTCTGAATTATTGAAATCTAATGAAACTCTGTGTTCATTTAGTTATTATCGTTTGTTAACAATCCGTTATCCATTTTTAAACTCTTTTTGTCCTTTCATGACATATGATTAAAAAGCATTATATTATGAAGTAACAACTGAGTGGGTTCTCGACAAATTTTTCATTTGACTACATTCTTAGGTAATATAGTATGTCTGTGCCACCTCTTATCTTCATTTCTGCTTGCTTTATGAAGTTGTACATCACATGTTGGTTAGAGTTACTTGCTGCTAACTTACTGTTATAAATTGATTTTGAAAGATATACAAGTGGCATGCGATGGGAAAAGGTTTATTAAATCATTATTACAGCAGTATTTTAGTAGTACCTCTTGTTTTTCAGAAAAAAATTTGGGTAGGGGGAATGTGGGACATCGGGCACAGAGGAAAATCAACTCTTACACTCATACTATATCCAGAATCACGTCTGCAGTTCGATGTTTGAATCAGCCGTTGGGTGAGTTACAACATCCCCGCCAACGGACAACGATCGAGCGACACGAGCTATGAGGTGTAAAATATTCATAGCGTTGGCGAGTGGATGTGCTTAATTTCGCTGCAAAAATATTTGGTTTCTATGAGAAACAATGGACTGGGGTTCAGTGGGAAATGCCCCACTGGGCACAATTCGCCAGCGTTTGATCTATTGAGTGCTTAGTGTCCTAGAGATGCATTATGTTTTGTGTAATATTATGGAATGTTATGGAATACATTTAAGAATCAAAAATATTTTGTGATCCAGATTCGAAAGGGGAAGTAATTTAATTTCTTAACAGAATTAACAGAACAGAAAAAATATCTGGAATATTTTGGGTGTTTGGTTGAACATTGACTTCATTTGCTTGTTTTTTTTCTAAGGGCTTACTTCGTTGAATTCAGCATTGTGCCTCATGTTCTGTCGAAATGTGCCCCACAAGTGGGGGACAGCGGGACACTTAACAAATGTTTTTCAAGGCATTTTGGTGGTAAGATGTGTGTCGCAAGGAAATTTCTTAGCCCCTGAATAAAAACTACCTTCACCCCTCTCTGCATTAGTTTCGCAAATTGAAATGATTGTGCAGAATAAACGGCTCGAAATATGCAAAAGAAAAAGAGTGTCCCAACCTTTCCAATTTCCCCCCCTACGTTTCTAATTTCCCCCTAGTCTACAGATTTTACACTGTCTAATGATGCCAAGACTATCAGGCACTTTACATTAACTTTTAAAAATGTGAGTAGTATGTTCTCAAAACTTTGGTCTGTATGCAGAAGAATTTTGTCATTAAATTTAGACGATTTTGGTACGATGAAAGGTTACCCATCCCTGACCTAGGGTATGGAATGGCAATGTAGAAACCAAATAAATCTGGTTCTTCCGAAAATAGTAGTTTGTTAGATATCAATGGCCTCTTGTGCAGAGCATTTTTAGGGAAAGTTTTAAAAACAACTCACATATTAAAAAGACAAATTATAGTTACTTATCCTCATTTCTCATTTTCAGGCATGTTTGTAATCGGGTTAATCTTCACAATGAGATCTGGTAGTTACTTCCTCGAAAGTCTCTGCAAGACTTTAAGGTGGGTTAACACGCAAACATTTTTGTTGCATACTTGATTCTATATAACCTTTTAAGATTTTTAGCGTACGTCGTTTGCATAAAGTGAACTCAACTAATCGAGGTCAAGGTGTACTAGAGTTCTGTGCTTTGGTGCAACATCTTTTCCAGTGAAATAACACCAGGCTATTTGTTGTCTCAATTCCTATAGATTATATAATTGATATGGGTATTTTCTGCATTTCTGATCCTGTAATTAGTCTTTTGTTATATTGTCAGTATATATAGACTATATTAAAATTACCAGTAGCATATATATATGCTTCCAAACACGACAGTAGCGGATGGAATGTGTAGTTGGTGGTTACACTATAATCCACAGTGATGGGTCTGTTCCAGGATAAAACGCCACAAACAGAGGTTGAACACCCTACTTTTCACTACTGCGTCATCATAGGCCATATCCCAAATGCGGCCGATTAAGTAGAAAACTAAGTTCACTTTATGCAAGTGGTAAACGTCTAAAATCTTTAAAATATATAGAATCAAAATTTCCACAAAAGTGAATGCGTGATAACCCACACCAGGGGTGCGCAACCGTTATCAATACAGGAGGGGCAGATGCAAATAATTGGGTGTAACCACAGGCCGCACCTTTATTTAACACAGGCTTTATAAAGAATATTTCTGATATTTCTCATATCCACCCCATCACTTAGGTGTAATGAATTGGGTAGGCAATGTCGAACCAGAAAGAATCCAGTCCTTCAAACTAAAGCAAATCCCTCTGAAGCAGTGGCAGCTTGCGTGGAGCTTTGTTTAGAGCAATACACAAAACGAGTATTAACATGTCATGTAAAAAATATTGTTTTGACAAATAACCAGTCCACTTATTTTTTTTTCAGCTTCGAAAATGACATAGAGAGAATGATTTATTCAAGACCTGGATTGTATTGGAAAATATCAATGAAATATATCTGCCCAATTATTATGGTCGTTGTCTTTATTGCAAGCTTCGTGGACATGTTCCTCTACTCTCCGAGTTACTCACTTGGAACGAAGACGCCGGCTCGAAAGACTAGTTAACTTATCCACAATGGCCATATTTATTATAGTATTATTGATACTGAGCTCGATGTTTTGTATCCCTCTATTTGTGGGTCTTGTACATTTCGGAATTTTCGACTTAAATGGATCGGTTCGGATTCTTTTAAATGAGCATCAGTATGTGGGTTTATGACCTATGACAAAATTCTGTTAAAATCACACCGCTTCTAACAGATCCACCAACCACCACCTTTGATTTATATACTGTGCTTTGATACCTTGTGAATTATTTTCCTTCTGTTATAGTACAATTTTTTTTTCGTATACACAATGTTTTTCCCTGTTTGAATTTGTTATTTATTCTTCTGTGTCTGCTTTCTATTGAAGCTTTTGTTTTTTATGTCACATTGAAATGTATTGTTTTTGTCTTGTTTTGATTGTTTTAAATGATTTTTTCTGTGATTGATACAAGATATTCATGTTTTATATGTCACATTGAAATGTATTGTTTTTGTCTTGTTTTGATTGTTTTAAATGATTTTTTCTGTGATTGATACAAGATATTCATGCCAGATTTTACTGATCCAAAAATTGTTAATATTTGAATCTGTTCCAAATCATTCAAAACTTGATAATCTAGAATTCTTTGCAATCAGGAAATTGTACCTTGACCGTGGGTTAATGCTTTAGATTTGATTGAAAATTCTCAGGAAGTATTCTTACCAAGATGGTACCTGGTACCCATACAATGTTCAGGTTGTGTGCCATCTTGGTACGAATACTTCGGGAGCACCCAATATTTTACTTCATGTTACAAAATTGTTTAGTTCTTTTTCAAGTGCGACTTCGGCTAAAGGAATTTGATTTTTTTATGGAATATCAGACTGCGAAAATATCCAAAACTCCTCTATAATTATCGGGTACTATTATTAAAAGCTTTCGATTTTAATAATAAAAATTACAAATTCAAGTTTTTAATTCAAATATCTTCTATGAGAATACATTAAAACAATCTAGAATCCTTTAAAAAAATATTTTTTTACTAATTCAGTCAAAAATCTCAAATTGATCCCAGTCAAGGTTTATAAGCTTTTTATTATCAAGTTTTAAATTCACTCTTTTAATGAAAATTTTCACCCAGAGAAGTATCAATATACACAAGTTTTTTGAAAAACTTATAAACAGCTTTTTCTGATATACACAATTTCTTATTCCAACCAGGGTTATTTTTTTTATTATTATTTTCTATTGAAGCTGTTCTACTGTTTTACTTTTATATATTTGTCGTCTGAATCAGTTTTGTCACAATCCTTAGACCTCAATCTAAAGCAGTGTTTCTCAAATTGTTCAACCCGTATACCCGTTTTTAGTATTTGTCAAGTCTCTTGCCTCACCTCAAAAATAACTAACTAACAATAAGCTACAAATAACAGATAGTGAGTATGTTTTATTCAAAAAAACGTGTTCAAAATGTAAGGATGGATTGTAAATATCCAACATAAGGTGGGCAAAATCAAATCTAACGTATATTTTTATTTGAAATTAGCTCCACGAACCTCAAAAAATTGTCTACGCCCTCCTTGTGGGGCTCGTTCCGCTGTTTGAGAACCACTGACCTAAAGGTTTTCTAAATTGCCACTGGCAAAGCATATAATAGAACCAATTAGCGCCCAATACACATAACCTTACATTAAAATTAGAATTAAAACATAAAACTATCGCTTCTTTGAATATCTTCATTTTTGAGTAGACTTGTAGTTGTTGAAAAATCTGTGCCTTGCTTAACCCTTTAAAAAGCTATGCTGTATTTTATTGCTTTTAATGATAACTACCACCCATATACACAATTCTAGGACCTCCTGAAGTATGCGCACCAAGATGGCGCACAACCTGAACTCGAGGTGTGTACCAGGTCAGGGTTCAGGCATGTGCGACATCTTGGTGCGCATACTCCAGGAGTACCCAATTCTATTCGTAATCATATTCTATATATGCTTATATATTAAATTTACCTTTTAGTGTCACAATTTCAAATATTTGCATATCTCCAAAGACGGACCTCAATTTCCTATAGGGTCCTCTTGAAAAGCTCTATGCTGGAGTAATGATTTGCCCAGCGCCTTCTTAAGAGCATAAATCAGACTTGGCAGAAAATTGAAGTCCTGTCAGATCAGCTCGTTCAGACACTTCTTTGGAGCATAGTTCAAACCAAGCTAGAGAATCCATGCCCAAATTTGTTTTTTTTTTGCTTATGTATCTACCTGTCCAAAGCATTGCTCAGAAAACCTGTTCTTAAATAAGATTGAGATTAATGGCCTTATATGGAGGAAAAGCTTGGCCCAACCAAAAACTTTATTCCCTCTAATTCTGATTTTTTTATTTTTTGATATTGACTTGTTCACAGCCTTGGTTCAAGCCTAGCAAGAACCCATGCTTAAACATGTGTTATCTTATGCTATCTTCTTTTCGTAGCTTGGAACATTTTTAAACCATATTTTCCGGTCTTCGGTCGAAACCCCTCCCTGTTTCGGTCTAACTCAGCAAAGAGAAATTTCAGAACCCTCCCTTTGAAAATTTCTATATATATTATATATGCCCAAATCTCTGTTTAGAGAGCGGAGCGGGTACGAAACACCTAAACCTTAAGGCAACAAGTTCCCGTTCATTTATGACCTATTAAGTGAAGCAATTTTAACTTGAAACAATGTTTCCCAATTTTCAATGTTAATTAATGCTTAAAAATTACACAATACCTCAAACTTTACACAAAGTTCCCTGAAAAGTGCAAAAATATATTATTTATTTATAAAGAAAAATTATTAAATTTTCGCTATTTTGTGTGTGTATTTTATTAGATTTGAAAATGTACTTTGAAATGCTTGTTTGTAAAGGAATCTGTGAATAAATTGAAAAAGACGATTTTAAGTGTTTTTGCTAAATTATGACGTCACTATAACGCTAGTTCCGCAGGAATACAACCCTCAATGTTTTACACTGGTATTGGTATCATTCGTTGGTACTGGTATTATGTTTCAAGCCTCCATATACTCCTATGCAAGGCCCAGGGGCGAAATGAGATCATTCTGTGGGAGAGGAAAGGAGTTGAGACGACTTATCATATTGAAAAATAGTTCAAAGAACTTCAAAGCCTTCTAATTCAGTAATTATTTTCCAAGTAGTGAGCTTGAGCTTTATACTCCGTCCGCCATTGTTAGACCAGAACAAGAGTCACTTAGAAACATGTGGCCAAGTGAGAATTTCTTTTATATTCATCAATATCTCGCTAACAACCTACTATCCCGCGTATTTCAAGTCACGTGATCGGCGCAGAAGCCCATCTGCCATGCCACAGCCATGCGTAGACAGATATCTTAACAGGAAGTTCAACTTCCTTACCGGAAGTTCCTAATTGCCATGCGCACGAAAATACTTAACTCCCATTGGCTGATTCAAAAATTCTCAACCTGCGCAGTAGATTACCGGTCATGTACTTGCCATGCGCGAGATTTTTGAAAAAATGACAGTTGCCAGATTTGGGAATTTCAGTTTTGAACAGTTTTAATTCGGAATCATACCGTTCAAGAACGGTAAATTTCCGCGCATGGCAAGTGCATGTCCGTTCTGGTACTGCGCAGGTCACATGACTTCAGAATTTTCTGATTGGTCACTTTTCGTCCAATTAAAATATTCCTTTATTGTATCAGGGTTTAAGGACCCCGCCCTCGTTACCGTGAAGGTAATGAGAGAACTGCCAGCATTCGGGGGAATCCTCAGCTAGGCTGCATGAGCTACACTTTGTACCGAGATTGGAACACTTCAATTACTGACTACTAGTAGGCCATTTAGGTACTCTAACTTACTTTTGGTGAACTTTGCTGGGCCCTTTGCAAGACAGTTATGCACGCAATTTTATTTTGATTGAGTTTTTACCACAGAGTTGAAACCTGCTTATCCATGATTGTGGTAATTAATATGTTCTAGCATTATACGGCGCTGTGGTGCATTAGGGCTGAAGATAGCTTCCATTTCCATTCAACCACCTCACCCGGGGCGTAATAAACAGGGTAGGTCTTAAAGATTGTGCAACTAAAAATGGAAGCTTTTTATCTATGAGTCAACTTCTTCTTGTACTATGCTTTTCTCAGAGTGGAAACACCTTTAAAAAACTGTTTTCATGAATCTTAAAGACTCAAGCCCATTTCTGCTCTTTTATATATCAGAGTGAAAACTGTTTTTTTACGGTCAATGCCATAGGTTTTCAAAATGTACCATAAGGAGCCCCCAGGGATTTGTGAGAGAAACCTAGAGGCTTCGCGAGCTTTTTATTACTTATTAAAATACTGAATATTTTTCAAATGCATCGATCGAAGTTATTAAATAAAGTAATTTCAGTTTACTCAGGGACATTAATCGGTAAATAATGTGTTATTATTTTACAAATTTATTGTGGGGCTCCGTAAATAATAGTCACAAGCACACAAAGCGGTTATATTTTGCATATGATGAATCTATTGCAAAAATCTTTATACTAAAAATGAATCATATTGAAAAACTGTTACCAAAATTTTATTTTAAAAATTGAAAATAGCACAATGCCTAAAAATGGATGTTATATGAAAGTAATTCTATAATAACTGATACTGAGTGGCGCTGTGAATGGGAGCCAATTTACAATCGGCTATTGACTCTGGGTTAGCGAAAATATAGACTTCCAAACCTGGACTGTGAGAAATTAGATTTTGACAAAATTAGACGTAGATTTGACAAAAACTAATTTTGAATCGATTCTTTTACGTTCTTCCCTAACAGTATAACCTTGCGGTCCATCAAGTCTCAAAGAAGGAAAATACCTCTATATTAGTGGTTCATATGAGGCGAGTCGTCCCCAATGTTTTGAGTAGGATAGAAGCCAATTTGAAATAAAATTATTGCCCGTCTGTTTTTTGAATAAAGCATATATGTATTATTCTTTCCTTATTAAAAGTTTGTTCAAAAATGCTTTGGATAGTTGCACATAAAATTTTATGATTTTTTGTAACTAATATTGCAATAATAGTGAAATGCATGAAACTAATATGTGAACGGAATTAGAATTATTAAGAAAATTACAGAATTTTATTCGGCTGTTTAATTACATCGCAATATATGTCACAAACTACACTATCTGAAAATATGCTTTACATATAAGATGACAGGGATAAATAGTTGGTTTCGGTGAAATTGGATCTCCAACCGCATGGCAGACTTTTATCCTTTTTTACTTCCAATAAAGGCTTCCCCCTAACAAACTTGGCCCTTAAGCGTAAATCAAACATTCAGATTGCACAAATATATTTCCGAAGCACACATATCACAACTATATAAGAAAGAACTATGACATCCACAATGCTGAATAATGTAGCAAAAACGTAAAAAATTTCATCATAATCGTACATTTCATGTAATCTAACAAAAAGGTTGTTTTCAGTTCAGTATAAAAAATTGGCCAACACTGGCGCTTCTTTTCTATAAATTTGTCTTCTTGGCGGAACAATGCTCCAGTTTAACTTTAATTGTGTAGTCTACATTAAATTTCTATCATAATTCTTCTTTAGATTCGGTTTTACTGTCACTTTCACTTGTGTCGCTTGAACTATCGTCAGACTCTCCTTTTTGGTTTTTCTTCGCTGCTTTTTTCTTTTTACTTTTCTTTCTCTCTTTAGCGGTCTCTTCATCAGCAACTTGATCATATTTCGTCTCTTTACCAGTCCATACTTCTCTTAGACATTCTATAGAATGGAACGAAAAGTATGAAAAAACAGTAACGTTTTGTTACTGGATGACCATTTGAAATCCTAATGTATGATGAAAATCTTGTTGCTATATTTTGCAACAAGAAAAGTCTGACCATTTAATCTGGCGAAAACAAAGACTAGCTAATATGGAAATTTGAATTAAAATCAGTATCACCTTGGTTATTCTTGCCAAGAACAATGTCTTTACAAAGGAAGTCTTGAAGTGCTTTATCCTTCTGGTGATTAAAATACCAACTTTCAATGCTTTCTTCATGTCTTTCTAACATCATTTCGCACTGAATTGAAAGTTATTGATGTATTATTCATAACAATAAAAAATATTACAGCATCAAGCACCCATTTCTGACTTTGGTTTTGAAGTGAGTTTACAATTTTAAAATCTGCCTTGTACGGGGATCTCTATGTATACAGAGCTTCTGAAAAAAAAAAATATCTAAATTTCACCACTTTTAAAAAAAATCAGTATTTAGTAATTTTGGTTGTCTGAATTTGTAATAAAAACTATAAAATAGCATTAAATCTGAGGATATTCAGAGTTCCATTCTATCCCAACGGGGTTGAATTCAACGAGGATATCATAAACCAAAAAAAACCATGGCCATCTCAATTTGTTGTCGTTTCCCCTCAAATGTTTATACCGGTATATATGGCGCGGCGGTGTGGCTCAACGGGCTAAGCATTAGGAATACGCTCGCCACTGCACCTCTAATTACTCTGCGTGGGTTCGCAGGTTCGAATCCCATGCAGGGATAGTTATGTGCGAGAGGATTGCTGGACTCCTCGCCGTCGTTGGGTGGTTTATGTAACCGCTGGTCGGTTACGGCTTCCTCCACCACCAAGTCCATGCTTCCGAAAACAAACAATATAACTAATCCCATACCCGACTTGGAATGGTAACCGGTCGAGAGGCCGTGGTTCGCCATATGGATAAGCCGTCTTATCGGCTTTCCTCTCCCCCAAGATAAATATGTAAATCCTAATCCTGATCCTATATATTTGAAATTTATGAGAAGCAGGATAGGATGTGGATTATGACATTTACAATTGCTTAATATGATAGTTGGAATCATGTTTTGAACTTAAAGTTACCTGCTTTTTCATCAAGCTTATTTCAACAGACGGTTCATCCCACATATCTTCTGGAATGCCCAATTCAACTTTCACTCCTTTTTCTCGTAATCCATGAAGTGTTTTGAAAGTTTCACTCATTCCCTTTAGTAAACAAGAAATAAAATTGTTAGCAATTTCTGCATGTACTTTTCAAGATATATACCAGGACAAGAAAGACAGGAGAACCATACACCAATTATACTATGAATTTCATGTTAATAAGAATACTAATATTACCTTCGCAAATCTTAAACTTCCTTTTCTTTCTTTATGAATATTATACTCCATAATCTTTTCGCAAATTCCATCCATTACTTCAATTAGCCGTAACTCACTGAAATGAATTACTGAATTTTTAATCATGTCAGAAATCACAAGCACCAAATATTTGCAATTCAACACAATAGGCCTATAACACATCTTTAAATGAATCGTACATTTGCTTGAATTACATGATATCAGTATACAGAATGAATTCACATGAATAAAATACCATAGCACATCGTGTTAAAACAAGTGAAAATTAAAAACATTCAAGTCTTACGATGTTGCATAGGAAATGTCTTTCTTTTTTCTAGAATCAAGTCCATGCCCTGTACGCAAAACTTCTTTTGATTTCCCAGTCTCATCCAGTCTTGATTTAAACTCAGTAACAAAATATTTGCAAACTAAATGCAAGAATAAATAGTTCAGGTATAGAAGATTTCCAGGGGTACTTGGATGTTTTTAATATCCTTTGACAAAGAAAGTAACTACACGAGGAAAATAAGTTTGTGCCAATTGAAACTCAGCGTACATTTTCCCCTCTCATGCGTTGTTGTGATTGTAACGCAGTCGTTGCAGCAAATTGTTAGTCAACATATCACAATTTAGTTTGGTGTCTGATTACTGGGGGTTGGCATTGATTGTTTCGGGACTCTGGGGGTTCGCGTTGATTGTTTCGTGACTTGGGGGGTATCTAACAGAGAAAAGGTTGAGAACCCATGAACTAGAGGGTAGTATGGGCAGATTTTTCGTTTTACACCATTGAAAAAATTACTATATATTGAAACATGTCATAACGTTTGGAAGAGGCTGTAAAAAATAAACTTTAGTTAACTATTTCCCACATCAAAACATTTGAATGTGTTTCGAGGTCCCACTAAAATAAAAAATTTAGCCCTGCTAAGAAATGCTAATGCCAAATTGTTATGAAAATTTAACGTGTAAGTACATTGGTACATAATTCCAAGCAGACAACATATGTTCCCAGGCCTCAGTTCCTTTTTCAAGTTAAAAAAAAGTAAATTTCTGTCAGTCTGAAGTCTTTTTGAGAAAAATATCTGCAATTTAGAATGTTTCTGCGTTTTCATATCTCAAGAAACTTTCCTTCAGTATGCTCTATGTTTTTAAGTAGTTATTTTCAGAACTTCCAAATATTTCGGAGGTCTGGTGTATATACCGTATTTCTCCACGTATAATACGCAGGGCTCTTATAAAATGTGGATTGCATGAAAATAACAAAGTCCATGCATAATACGCAGGGTCGAATTCAGTCACTTGCGTCGACCGCGTTTGGTATTTTCGAGAAGCCAGCCTAGCAAGTTTCACTGTGATTTAATAATATGTTTCAAATGTTTATGACGTCGACAGGCCTGTCGTCTGTCAATCTCGGAGTGATGTTACCCCGCTTTGAACTATCGTGCTGTTACCTATCTTAGAGCACTTTGAAAATGGCTGGGAAAAAAAATTTGCGAGCGTTAGGTTTGCCGATTGGCCGCAAATCAGAATGAGACAAAATGATTCAGGAACATTCAGTTTTGCTGTAAATGAGAGACGCCAGACTGGACGACACAACAATTAAACTATGATACAAACTGCCGTTCTTATTACTTATATACACTGGTTATTGAAATAGATGCGTTGTCCTTTGTTAGACAAGATAGTCCATTCCGTGGGTGTGATTCTACTGCATCAAGCATGATCTGGGTATAACAGACTTTGTCACATAAAATAATAAAAATAAGACGGCAAGGAAACATGTGATAAGTATTCGGCAATTGCGTGTGAAATATCGATCAGAATTTTTCCTATACCAATGTATAATACGCACCCTCTAATTTTGGAGATGAAATCCGGAATCGGAAGTGCGTATTATACACAGAGAAATACGGTATACATATATATACGAATATAGACTTTCAGAAAAAAGGGGTGATCATAGTTATGTTATGAGAGAAATAAATCATAATCTATAAAATCAAATCTTTACCTTCACATTGTGTTGGCTCTTCAAGATCATATTCATCAGCGATTACTTCATGAAGTGTCAAAAATATGCCATACAGCAAAAGACAATACCACAAAGTGTCCATAATGATATAATGTTTATAACATCCACGTCTGGCTGATGAACGATTGGTTCTCAATTAACCTTTAGACGTTGGCACTTGGCAGTCTTGAATTCACCAAACTGCCAAATCTTAATACTAACTAGATTATAATTAGATAAATAGATATTATTTTGATTCATTCGCAAAATATAAAACAAGACATACCGGTACCGGTATGAAAGGGAAGGTAAAGAATATGGAAAGTAAACAAAACCTAATATTAAGCACATAACGTATTAAACGCCTTCACCCACCTTCAGGACCTTAGGAAAAAGAAAGCAAATCACAACAAATCTACAAACCCTTCTCTAATCCTAGCACATGCATACATGAAGTAATAAATTTGGATTCTTCTCTTTATTAGATGCGAAAAATAACATCTGCTATGCACACTACAAATGTAAAACTAAAGTAAAGGAATATAGTACCCTATCTAGTCTAGGATCATCATATTTGAGAAAGCAAAATTCCGGACTGCATGACTATTTTCATGACCAATGTTCCGTATTAAAAGTGTGCACTATAGGATTGCAGATGCAGTAAAATTCCGGATTCCGGACATTTGAGCATTTTTTAAATTCTTTCCGGAGGCAAAATTTAACCCTAAATTCCGGACATGTCCGGACCTGCGAGACATGTCCGGAATTTTCCGGACGGTATGGCAACACCAGGGCAACACTAACCTGGTCACAATTATTTTTTGTTTTATACACAGCCTACATTATCTTAATGGACAAGGTTAAAGCTCAAACGCGCATTATAATCATTGTCTGACTACTGCGAGGTAGTGATCTGTGCATGACGAGCGTCTCATGCTTCCGCTTCACAGCTATCACGAACGCAATGAAACTGGACTGACAAAACGAAACGATTTAAAAAATGAATTTGGTATGCGTCAAAGCAATGACATCAAACAACATGATGCGCAACTACGGCATTTTTGGCCGAGGATCGTATCCGATAGCACGCTCCAATGCACATACTTGACGAGACGAAAACGAGCGGATGTGTGCTGCTTTCAAGGCATAGCACGAATGGTGTTCGTGCCTGCTTTGACAGTTGTTGTCGATTTTAATGATATTTTGGAAAGTTGAGGTAAAAAGAAATCGGAAAAAGGTAAGGTAAATACTATTGTTGTATATCACACCCGGGCATCGCACTGTTAAGAACATGTGGGAAAGCCAGCTTTTGTCATATACTACGAAGTTATTAATTCAGTACGGTACGTAGTTGCCCATTTGCCGAAATTGCATATTTACTTACCCCTTATGGTTTCAAATAGTTCATGCACCTCCATTTAGATTTTTTTTAATCAGTGAGGATTGAATCAAAGGGTTAACAAGTTCACCTAACATTTCACTCATACCGGTCTATATTGTATAGTCTGATCTCTCAAGTATATGGAGCCACGAATGCTTGTAATTTTCTGACTAAACCCCTTTATTAGTTGGTTTATATACCAAATTCAGTAAAACATTTTTTACATTAAACATGATTTATTGGATTTATTAGCTTTTCCATTCTAAATCATATAGACTGCTTCATTTATTGTTGACGAAAATTAATAAATCTCTCTTTCTTCAGATGTGAATGTTGTGGACAAACCTGTCTAAGCATTGTGAGACTCCTGCAGCACAAGAGGCAATAGCTAAAATAGTACGTATATCAATCAAGAAATTAAGCCGACATAAAGCAAAAGTTTCAACTAATCGTCTAATCTCAATTTCCTATCATTTATTCACAGGACAATTATAGCAGAAGGGGAGATATCAGAAGTCTGGTGACATACCAGTGACCGTGTGATTCCAAGAAATATAATTAGAGTACTCCATAAATGTTTGCAATAGAAGAACAACCTATGGAGGCATGCAAAGACATTTGACCCTCCGGTAGAGTTGTGTATGGCCCCCACATCCTGCATGGCTTAAGGAAAATAACTAAAAATTCTAAAGCGTGAGATTGCATAAGCGGTCCTATTTGTAAAAAGGTACAAAACACGCAAGACATACTTAAAACAGCTTTGGAAAATGAGGATTACGGGTAACTCACTACACCTGTGTTATATTTGGTTCATCAACTTTTGGTAGTACTATAGAAGAAATTCAGGAAAGGGTATAATCATGATTCATGATAAAATACTGTTATATATATTTTGGACAACTTCAATCTAGACCAGGGATGTCAAACTCGCGGCCCCAGAGAACTTCCAGTGCGGCCCTCGAACGCTTAGCAATAATTGTAATAGCATTTTGGAAGTTTTTTTCTATCTAAATGTAATAGATTTTTCAAACCTTTTAAAGTGAAATTGATTATTCACACAGAAAACAATTTACTGAAAGTAGTTTTGAAATATTAATTTTTTTTTGTTCACATTTTTACCCAATTAAGAATACACATCAAGCTAGCAAAAGAATACTTGAATAAAACACTTGAGTGATTAAATTAAACGCAAAGTACATGAAGAAGGTGGTATTTTCAAAGAAAATGGAGAGTTGCAATATTTCTGCATTTCACAAAATTCTGAAGCACGTTGTTTAATTTGTCATATTTCCATCAATACAATGAAAAAACGCAATAAGCTCAGCAGTCAATATGACAAATTCGAAGAGCAACTTTGAACAGAAAATTTTCATGTATTTGTATATTAATATAATTATACAACGACTTAGTTACTAAAAATCAATATCAATAATATTTCAAGCAATCCTATGCCACGCAATGTGGTGCGAAATGTCTTGTCGAAAAAATCTGTCATTTGTTTTTTTACTGATCTATACATGAAATTATAAAAATAACTTTTTTGCATTACTGGAATTTATTAAACATTCGCAAAGATCCAGATTAGCCCATGATCATGTGACCTCGTTAGTTAGAGTTGGTACTATAAAATCATTTCAGCCTGGCCTTAGTATGCTGGTGACACAAAAAAGATACCAAACGTCAGGACAAATGTAATTAAAAAAACATTGAGTTTATACTGTAGTATTTTTGTTAATTTTAGGTCCATATATTTAAATTAAGCCATTTTTAGTGTGTATTATTCTTTCCTTATCCAAAGTATGTTCAAAAATGATTTTGATGGTTGTACATAGAATTTTATGATTTTTTGTAATAAATACAGTAACGTGCAATAATAGTGGAATGCAAATATTAATATGTAATTGCATTTGAAATTAAAGAAAATAATGAAACTTAATCCAACTGTTTAGTTGCATCACAACATATGTCACAAACTAAAACTATCTTAAAAATATCTTTCAAGTATACATTATCGAAAACTGTTTGCGGCCCTTTTTACAATTTCCAAAACGCAATGCGGCTCTCAAAAACCCATGAGTTTGACACCACTGATCTATTCTATACGATTCAAGCATTGCCTGGGAAATAATATCACTTTAATTAAATTGAAAAAAATCTTGCTATATTAAATACAAAATCGTTGCCATCATAAAGGTAAACCAATTCAGCCACTCAAAATATTTTGGTCTTCACAAAGCAATGGAGGCAAAATTGAGAGTTCATGAGCTATGAACTCTTGTTCTTTTCTTTGTCTTGAACTTTTCATACTCCATAGCCGCTAATAATTTTTTTTTTAATTTCAATTACCATGTGATGGTCAAACATATCTTTAACTTGTATTTTCTGTCATGATGTATTATCTCAATGTGTCAAACTATTAATTAGTGTGCATATTTTGCTTCCAGATGACATAAATGTATTGTCTTGTTTATTACCTCAGCTTGGACTTGGAGTATTGACAAGAAAGAGGTGCCAGTAAATTACGTAATTTTTTTTTTAACTCTTTGTTATAATCAGAATTCACAATTAATAGGAATTATAAACAGCCAATAATCAATGAGAATTATATGCGAAAATCCCTCAGAATAAATTTGTCTTCTAAAATCGGAGGAAGGTAAAACATATAGGTAGTTTCCATTCACACAAGTCTTTCAAGAAGACTTGCTCGAGCCAAACTAAATGAGCATGGTCAGGTGATCGGTAAGGCTGCAAGTTGAATTCAGCCCTGCAACCTCCTGCACAGAAGATAATATTAATTAGTGGGCTATGAGCTGAATTCCTAAATTTAAACAAACCTATCTACGAGGCATTATGTACCAGCAATGTTACCTACGATTAACTGAATATGTAATATGTCTAATTAATTCACCTACAAAAGCAAGTTCGATTGGTGCAAACTTTGTGTTATGGAATTGTATCACAGCACCGTTAGGAGAAGTAAAAACAGTTTTGCTGTCCTGTATGACACCCTCTTTAAATGAAATTTCAATGTTTAAGCGCAAACATTAAAATTACTAACTTTGAAATTTGTCATTATCTGCAAAATGTTCCACACAAATCTTTCCGCTATCGCGTTTGTAATCTTCTCTGATAAAAAACGTCCATGATGTCCAGAATTGCTCTTTACAGCTTGTCTGCCATTCCAGCTTTCCAAGTGAGTAAAACTTCTTAGATATAGAGATTATTTTCTTTCGTTACAGTCGCAAAAGGGCAGGTACTACACGTAGAGAAGACGCCGAGTAGCAAAAGCGAGCTGAAAACGGTCGCGAAAGGCGACGAGAAATATGTGCATTGGAGCGTATCATATACAATCTTTCGTTTGTAGTCTTACGGAGTGACGTCAGAGTTGCCTATCATGTTGTTTAATGTCATTGCTTGAACATAGTGCAGAAGCAGGCTTTATTTTGAGTTTCCCAACATAAGTAGGTTCAGAATATATTGCAATAACATGAGAACACAATTCAAATTTCCCAACCAAGCATGTTTAGCAAGGGTACACCTTGTGTGAACTTTACCACAGCTCCTCTTGTGATTGTATGGCTGTATGGTAACCATCTGAAATATATTGAGAAAAACATACATGATAAATCAGATGCAATGTAAATTTTTGAATCTAATATCTATGCAGAATAGCAAACGAATCATGAATTGTATAAAAATAATGCTGATTTTAGGAATGAAAGTGAAAGAAACACTTATAGTCATTATGAATTGATTTTGCTATATCAAATATGACATATCTCAAGTAGCTCATTCTAAATTTTCTATTAGACTACTTATATAATCACCTTTAGACTTAAAAAAGCTTGAATATGTTTCTGTTACCTGGATTTTTATAGCACATATGGCCAGACTGGCATTCGTTAGTTGGTGGCAATAAGTTCAGAGGCTGCCTGCCTGTATCACGGTCAGATTTAAACTTCATCATAGTTCATGTTTTGGCTGTAAGGAAAAAATAGATATTATATAAAATCAAAAAAGGCAATGAACACCATATACTAATATATGTTAAATCGTAAATATATACGTAGTAGTATATATTTACGGTTAAACATGCATATCATATCGGTATTTAAGAAACTTTGTGTCATTTCACCTTGTCATTAATGTACATATTGAAATATATACTATAATATATGGTTCTTTGGAATCCACATGCTTTGTTATTCCATCATCAGAGTCCTTTGGCTTTAATTACCATAAGTGATCAAATAAAGCGCCGCTCGGTTACAAAGAAAGCGTGATTCATCAGGCATGAATGATTACGTTCTTCAGTTGTATACTGGATATGGATTCTCCTTGATTAACACATGGAAATGTGCGGCCAAATAATCGGACAAGTTAATTGCTCCACTATCAGAAAAAAGGATTAAATGATATTGTCCGATATTTAATCACACTTTCACTCACCCCGATTGTTAACACAGTAATTCCTACTTTGTTATCTCTCCACACAAGCCTGATCGAATTTTTACTCATATTTTACCCCGCAATGTGATATTTTCAATATAGTCTGTTTATTTCAGGTCTCGCATGTAAAATTCCATTACAAGTTTTCCGTCCTGTGTAATATTATTCTTTTGTACTAAAATAAATGTGACAGAATTGCAAACTGCAAGAGAAGTCTGCCAGAGCTAGCAATGGAGTTATCGCTTTGCTCAGTGAGTCCATTATTTTTGTCAACCAAAATAAAAATTAGAATAATAAATTACATAAAATTTATTTTGGTGTAGACCGGGAGATGGCGATACGTCCAGAGGCCATCAAAGTCAGCCACCGCCCATTCCAGCCAATCCTATATAAAACGTCAGGTGGCACTCAGTTACCAACCTAAAATACTGACGGTGTCGAGTCTACAAATTATGTGGTAGCTATGAATATACACAGCAATCGATTGCTTTTCAAGCACATATTTAAACTACGAGAAGGCACAGAGATCTTCACTGATACACCTGCCGGTACGTCACTAGAATCTGCCAAAAATGAAACTTTCTATTCCTGAGCTACCAATGTTTATAATATTTTCAACAATCCCCATACAATATTTTTAATTTTGTAAAATGCCAAAATAAATACAGAAGTAGAAAAACGTTTTGCAAGTGAGAAGATGAGTAGTAAATATGTTAATATTAATAATAATAAAAAATGAGAAGATAAAATTACAGATACTTAATCGTTGAAATACACAGATACGAGCTGTTGTAAATAATACAAATGGTATATTGACATGTCATATATCTTGAAACTAAAAATACAGAGCACCTTGAAGGGAATCTGTAAGGATGTTTCAAAGAATAACGAATAATAAAAATAAATTTTTAAACTTTATTTTGTGGGGTAACTGATCAGCTAGCAAAGTATTTAAAAAAGGCAAAATGGACAACATTTTATTGAGAATGCATGGGCTCAGTAAAATTGAAAAAAATATTGATTTGTCGTTGATTTTTGCTTTCAATGGTATAGAATTTTCAATTTTAAGTAACATAATGAAACTTCAGAAAAATATTTATAAGTAAAGGAAAATAAGAACAAGGCTTGTTAAATTCACTTGACATTTAAAAGAAACTTTGTTACAACTTTAAAAAGGAAAAAAAACATAACATGTTGAGCATGGAGAAGGTGAATATATAAAAATTGAATAACGAGATGGGTGTCATCCTATGATGCTACGTGTAATACTGCAGACAAAAGAAAATAAAAATACAATCAATCAAGTATATGTCATGTCTCTTTTACTGTTATGTGATTCCGTCGATGTTTGTTGCTGAAGTCTCTCGTTATCTCTCCTCAACCTTTCGACTTCTTTTAAAATTCGACGTTTTGACCTTTGTTCCTAAAAAAAAAACAGTAGCGAATTGTTTTAAAAATGACTCGAAATTGGCACTGAAAATATTTTTTGCGAAGCAGCAGCATATTTTATATAGTATAGATGAAAAAGATATAATTATTTGCAATTTATGTGCTCAAATATCAGTGTTGGGGAAGCTTAAGTCACTGCCTCGACTTGAGTTGAACTCAAAAGAGATTCAAGGTGACTCGAGTCGCTCATCATCAACTAGCCACCAGTGAGACTCAACTCAGCAATTGACTAGACTCAGATGACCCCCGACTCGAGTGTATAGTTTATAGATATCTGCCCAGGTCCGTTAAAAACTAAAATAAACCATGTCAAATTTGATTCAGAAACTTGCACTTGCTCTAACAATTCTAATTGTTCAAGACCAAGCTAAAAACTGTAAACACAAACAGCATTTAATCAAAATGAGCTTTTGTTTAGCTTACGGCAAGATTTTATATTTCAAGTATTTCAGATTCACACACGTCAGACTTAACAAATAATAAAAACCATTGATAGAATTTTCAAAAAAACCTACTCTGGCAAGTTGATTTTGTAATGATTTCAATGCATCTTCAATTTTCCTTAATCTTAAATCGGCATCGGATTCCGTTGATATACGAGATATTGGTTCATAACTGTCCTCTGAACTTCCAGCATCTGGTAAAATAGGTGATATAGATGCTGCAGACCTCGGATCAGCAGTAGCCTCCATAGTAAGGCCATCATCCTGTATAAAAACAAGGTCGTAAAAAAAATTACTATGTAAAGCAATAAAATGCTTTCATAGTTCATTAGTTTGACTGTATAAATAGACTGTACTGTGCATATATAAATAAAATGAAGCACAAGTGGGACTGTGCATGAGAAAATGTTTCAATCTTAAAACCAGAGTTCTAAGAAATCTGGAATTTGAAATGGAGAATATGGCTACTCAACTCGTTCTGTTAATCTTGTACAGAGGTGCCCAACCTTTTTTACAGACGAGAGGACCTTGTTATGATTTTGTAAAGAAGTATGACCGCCAGTGAGATTGAGATGCTATTATGAGTTATGCTCGATTAACGAATACATTTTTGTAACATCTGGATGGGATTAAGACAAGATGTCACAAAAAGTTACGAATATAGGCACGTTCGTCAACAAGACTAGTATTTACCTAAGTTCCAGGTAACTAATTAATTACTTATACAGTCCTAAATATTCTTGCCCTGTGCTTATTGTGCGCCTTATACGCAAACCAGCAGCCACAGATTTATTTTCAACAACCGTGAATTGTGCAAATCTGATCTAGTGAAATGAATTTTGTTGCGACTCCAATTGTAAAGTCCTAAACTTAAGCATATCCCATTATATGATTCGCTACACTCTACTCTAGACATGTTTTGTGGAATTACTTTAGTCTAGATACAGTTGCAAAACTTACAGAATAATCACTAGCACACGAGTGATAAACTTCATCTTGCGATGGAGAATCAGCAGCAGGTTGTAGCCAATCTAGTAAAGTGAACAAGATTTTTCAAGTTATTTCTACCCTAATATGCAAAATTTGGTTTTCCTTGTTTTTTTTTTTAGAATGACTTTTTTAATTTTTGATAATACATGCTGGAAGGGATCAGAACAAGTTGCCAATCCAAAAATGACTGCTTGCGCTACATTTTCGTCATTGCAACGAGAGAAGCAATTCCACCTAGATTAAGCATAATGTAAACTGGCCATACAGGTCTATGCTGAAATACTCCAATCTGTAAAATTGAATGATATACTGATAATCAGTAAGAAACTCACCTTCGGTACTGTTGACAGGCCTGAACGTGGAACGATCCCAACTGTCAGCTAGGTTTGGTTCAGTTGAATTGAAAGCTAGAACATAAAAGTAACTTTTAAAACAGAAAAGATGATATTTATACTAAACCATTCTGATCTTCCCTGAGTGGCCAATACTACAAAGTATTATACAAGGAATGAAATAATGAATAGAATAACAGGATCTAATAATAAATATATTGAACCAGCAATGTAATCTTATATTTCCCCTGACAATGTATTTTTTACATAATTGATGATCCTTCCAAATAACATTGTAATGGTAACTTTTTTGCAATGAAAACCACCAGACAATAATATTCCAGATGTTTCTGTTGTATCTATTCTATAATTTTGCAATTTCACAAGGTTTATTTTCGGCTCGGAAGTTGGCTGAGCCTTAGGAACATGATAGCATCGCTCTAATTAGTCTGCGTGGGTTAGCATATTCAAAAGCTGTAGGGGATAATTATGTGCGAGAGGATTGTTCGATGCCTCATCGCCGTAAGCAGCCCATGTGACTGCTGGTTGGTTACGACAACCTTTACCATATCAAGTCCATGCATTTGAAACCATTAACTGACTAACTATTAGCATACCAGACATGGAGTGGTAATCGGACGAGAGGGGCGTAGTATGCCATATGTTGTTTTATCAACTTTAATTTAAAACATGATGATTGATAAATATAAAAGTCCTATCCTACAAGATACTTCATTAAAGATCCAATGCAATCAAGTACTCTTTATTAGCAAGCCATATCATCAGTTGTGAATGAAGAACATGATCCACTTACCACTATCATGATTTCGCATTTCCATGTCATCATTTCTCCAACTATAAAAAAAACAATGATAAAAAAGAAGCCTAACAAGATTATTCGAACAAGTTAATGTTCATCAATCATGCACTTGTGCGTCACAAGCTAGTAGCAAATATAAAATATATCGTATATATATTTAGTTGCATATTACTTGTTGTTATTCGTTTTATACAGCGAATATTATATGACTGCAAACAATAAAAATCTATCATACTTTATAGATATATCATGGTTTATATTTATTTAATAAGCAATGAATAAAAAACTTGTGATAGACACAGCAAGAAAAATGTGAGATGAAATAAAATAAAAATGAATTCCAGTGAACCATAGAGGTTGTGGACAATGAAATATAGAATACACCGCAAAAATGGTGGAAAAATGTGACAACGTTTGCAGAAAATTTGACGCAGAAGGTGCTGTAACTATTTCCGGTAGAATTCAACACTCAACCAAATTTGGGGAACATTTGAGAATGGTTTGTATCTACTATTCAAATATGATAATTCTATTGAATTTTGACCAACTTTTCACGCCTTCTCTTCAAACACGCCCCTTTATAAGCAGCCAATGATATTTAAGACGCTATTAACTTTTGAAAGGTCCAGAATCTTACTGGTTTAGCATTGACTACCAAATTAATACACCCAGAATGAGGTGGTGGGTGGGCATGAACCTGATAAATATAACCAGAGAGGCCATTACTTTTATTTCCTAATTGCGTACTACTCAATCAAGAAAATATGTTAATACACATTTTAATGCTAGAAGTATTACGCACAAAGAATGAATCATTTGAATAATAGGACCATTATTCAAAATATTGTTTTCGGATTCTATGGCACTATTTGTAAATTCATAAATAATCATTAACTTTGTTATTTAGTAGAGTAAACATAACAAACCTCGTATTCTGTACAATGCCGCAGATACTCTCATCTGACATTGCTCTCGTTAATTTTCTGTTTAGTTTGAAGAAATGCAGTAATAATATTGGGCGGCAATATTACTACGTTTAAGCAATATATGGTAATGGTAAATCATGCCTAGTATTCTGGCAAAATGTCAATGAGATAGCATGCAGAGCATTTTAAAGCATATTATTTGTGTTTCGTTTATTCAAAAGCAAATTCGTGATTTGTGACGTGCATAATGCATAAATAACATTATGTAGTCTAGAAACAGAAGAAAATCATGAAATCCCTTTCATAATAGGTAGTTGAGGTAATTGATAATGCCCAAATTTCTTAAAATGAGTAAAACGATTTGAAATTTCAGGACATTTCTGAAACAAATAACTGGTTAACTATTCTCAAACCAGACTGGTAACGGGACGAGAGGGTATGGTTCACTATATGATTAGGCCATCTTTCCTCTCCCCCAAGGTGAATATTAGAAATAATATAAAGCAATACACATCACAGAGTGACGATTTCCTTACAGTTAACCATACTAATTTAAATAGATTAAATTTTCATAAATATAGTGTAAAGATAAAAAAAAATTGATTTTGTGATCCAATTTTTTCAGAAGATTATTTGTTTTATTCTAGCAGTGTAGCGAGTGAAATAAAACAAAAATTCAACTCAAAAAAGTGCAAAATGCATAAAGATATCATGCAAATTTAAATGATTTACTTGTGGATCTGGGACTTTGGTTTTCTTCTTGCAATCTGGGGACTACCAACATATCTTCTGTGGTGACGTGCAGCAGATGACTACAAACAGAAGACAAAAGTTAGATAAGGTAAAAATGCATGGCACATAATATAACAAAAAGGCACAAGTAATATATAATCAGGCTATAACAAATAAACATTGTTGAATCTTTTTGATTTTATGATAGTGATATTAAACTAAGAACAGAAGCTAATAAAATTACACTGCATGTATAAATCAATATAGTTGAATGATCCATGAACTTGCCAACACAATATGCAAAGACAGCCTAGAAATACTAGATAAAAAGTGACCGCCATTCATTAAAATCGACAATCGTGATTCGTGATGATGATAATGATATGGATAGCGATGCTGGCGGAGAATAAGAATCTTCATTAACCATTCATCTATTATTTGTAAATATAACAGATTAAAGACAAAATAATGACTTACATGATCTTGTATTTGCTTCGATTCATAATTACTCTCATTGTTAGATGATTTAACAGGAAAACTGTGCTTTTTCCTCCTGCAAAATACTTTGTACGTTAAAATCATTATTTTTTGTACAAGAAGTTGTTATTACTATGAATAAGCCTGATAGCAATCACTCCAAATGATATACTCACATATATTGACGCCTCAAATCGATAAAAAAAATATGATATTTTTAAGAAGGAACTAAGAAATTACAATCCACTGTTAGTATTTTAGAGGGATTGCAGTTTCTGCAGGATATGGATAACCACATGAAAGAGGTCTGCTGGATTCCACAATCTACACCATTCGCAGGTGGCTCAGTTAACAGCCGATCGACTTTAAGCTTACTCATCTATGGTGGGGTTTCCAAACTGGGTATGAATTCCTCTCAAGAGTAGAGTTTATTAATTGTTTTAGTGGAGGGATTTTTACTTGTATTTGCATGTTGTAGGATCATTATCCATTTATTTATACAGACATTATAAACCAGTGGTTCCCAACCTTTTATAGTTTGTGGCCCCCTTTCGGAGGTTTTAGTGCTCATGGCCCCCTGTTCATCGTGCCAGTGGTATTTTCATTGGCAGATTTCAAAATCCATTATGTTCAAACAAGTCATGCTCAACAAAGTGAAAACACTCTGTGAAATAACCTTATTAGGCAATGAAACCGGTCAGAACAAGGGGTTTTCTTGTAAAGTGAAATCAGTTTGCACCCAGCATTTTGGCCTCCCTACAACTACTCTGTTGCCTCCTTGGGTGCCCATGGACCCCCGGTTGGGAACCGCTGCGTATAAAATGATCAAACTATAAGCAAGAGTCTATCACTGACTCTATCACTGAGTATATCAAGAGTCTATCACAAGCAGGGGCGGACACCTGGGGGGGCGGTCGCCCCCCCAATAATTTTGTAAAAAAATTTGATACATGTTGTTTCCGCCTTACAAAATTATCATTTCCGAAAAGTGCGATAGTCAAGCGCAATTAAACGGTTAATAGTTACCGATATTATAACTGTTTTCTTACAATAATGTGGACCAGAGCGCCTTCGGAGCACCTCACATTTTCGTGAAACATGCGCGCCCGCACGGGTAATACTCCCTCTTCAAACGCACCACTGATCACGCGCCACGGTTTTGCACAACTAATTCATTTTTGTACACTTTAATATGATTTTCTCATTGTCAAAATCTTTCAATAGTGTTATTGTTGGCACTTGAGAGAGAAGTGAAAGAGGCAAACTGTGTTTCATTACAACAATTAATTATTATCGCTAAAAAATTAACTAGATCTAAAGTTAATATAAACAATTTTCACCGCTGGACGTATCTTTTCACGTTATGGATTTCGTGCAAGGCCCAGCATAATTTGCGGGCAAAGATCAAAGCATTTACTATGTCGAAAAGCGGAAATATAAAATACTAAAAATAAAACTGTAAACAATATAAGTTTTGTTGAGGCCCGCGACAGTCTAAAAACGCTTTTCTAGGCATCGAAAATCGCAAAATTTCGTGTGCTTACGGCACAAATTATGTTTGCTTGACCCTGAAAAACATTTCGTCACTAAAATCGAAACACGGTCAATTGTGAGCGAGATTTGCCTTTTTATCCATTACTTTTAAATTGACATCGAAAATTTTCGTGTTAACAAACAAAGCTGAGAACGCGACTTTTCTCCAGTTTTTGATGATATATAAGATAAATAAAGTATATTCGATCACTTTTTGTATTTATTTATGTATTTTTATTGTACTGAAATAACTTTTACTACGTGAGAATTGACTGGGGTTCGAAAGGGGTTATCTTTAAAAATGTGTGACAAGTACATCTCAAATTCATCGAATTCGCAAAATAGCAAAATTACGGATCAAAACAATATATAAACGGGCAGTTTACCACACATATTCATGTCCGCGGATTGCCGTCGTGTTTTAGAGTGGCTCTTGTTTTGTCGACTCAACCGCAGTTTAAATTGAAGATAATTAAATTAATAAATCAAGACATTTTGAATATGCCCGTATCGGTCTTTGATTGATTACTTTGCACAAGTGAAAAATCATTTTTCGTCGATAAAGTCTGCTCTTTAAACAAGTGGCGTAATCGCGGCGACTGTTCCGCGTGGATTTTGAGGCGGTGAATTTGTATTTTTGATTTACTAGTATACTTTATAATTATTTTCATTGTATGAATTAAAATTGTACTATATGGGATTTTATATCAGATATCGAGATTTTTGTAACGGCGATAACGAGTTCGGAAGATTGCAAAAATAGATATCAAAATTAAATACATCAGGCAGCTTATCTCATATTTTTATGTCCACATATCGCCGTGGTACTTTAGTTTAGTAATATTTTTATTTTGACGTAAGAAGTCGCAACCGGGAGTTACGTTGCACACTATTAAATTAATATATAAGGACATTTTAGAATCTCATGGCTGTCATGGATCGACAGAAAAATCATTATACGCTTAAATAGGCGGCTCTTTTAACTCCCCCCCACCGCCTTTTTTTAAATCCTGGCTGCGCGCCTGAACTTGTGCCTGTTTATTTTCGTATTAAATTATAAATAAAAACCCTGCAAAGTCATTGCGTGAATCCTGAATGTTACTTCGAGTTCAAATGATGACTTAATAAATCGGCAATAATGGCAATTCTACTAGTCAAATGATAATTCCTTGGTAAAATTTAGGAAAAAAGTTCGCAAAATAGCTTGTTACCTTGTTTTGCATTTCTAATTTTACGAAACGGCGTTAGTGCGCTTTATGCAGAACTAGGAATTGAAACAATAACCTAATACGACTCCTCAAATTTATTATTTTCTGTTTGTTAGCAAGAGCCGTGGGCTAATTCTCGCGGAATTCAAGAAATTGGTTCAGTGACGCGCAAGTTCCGTGTCCGAGCAAAGCAGCCTAGGTACTCGATATATGAGTAGCAAAATGACATGCTAATACTTAGAGAATGACTTCGACAGGTTATTGTTACGTGACGATACACGGCGCGGTGTTTTTCTGTAGGCGATCCAAGTTCCCCCCCCCAAAATTATGGAAAGTGTCCGCCCCTGATCACAAGATATCACTGGTTAACAGTGTTCACTATTAGCGCACTTTTTTGCGAAAATTGCGAAGCACTTTCGCAACTTTTTTTAGGGACTGCGAAATAGCACTTTTTTCCGATTTTGAAGAGAAATAGCACTTTTTTCCGATTTTGAATGGAATAAAAATTCATAATTAACAAATATTTTCGAGTATTAAGTTGACAAATAAGTAACATACTAGTACTTTTGTAACTTTTCTGCATATCATAACGATATTTACCGGAATTCTAACCTATGAGATGGAGACATAGGAGATAAAGCTTTTGCATTAACGGCAAAATTCTTGTTTATAATATGATTATTATACAAGCACAGGGATTCCGCTTCTCCCGCAAAAAACGCTCCCGGGTGTTTGAAACCAGATGTTGGAATACTACACAATGCGTTTCTTTGAACCAGAGTGGTCATGTGACTATCAATGATATCGATGAATTCAAAATTCAATACTTTTTTGAATCGAATATTTTTAAGGAGTACCGAATGAACGTGGTGGAAACATTAAAAAATCGGCAACAAAGCCTTTTTACTGGTTAATTCCGTTGTAATCGCTAATTGTTCTTGTCACCGGTGGTTTTGGCATCGATATCCAGGTTTTGGGTAATCTATATTCCCGCCCTCTCTTTTTTACAAATATGAATTCTTGTGGGTCGGCGGACATCGAAGTTTTATATTTCGGGTTTACCCGTTCGTTCACATCGGCAACAGCTGTTGAAGACATTGAGGACTCAAATTAACATTTGCGTTGGCTTTAATATTACCTATCAAGATTTGTAAATTTACTCTCCCAATTTTACGCGAATGGTAATATTATTGTCCATACCGTGATGCAGATATTTATTAAGACGATAATTAACTTTCTCATGTATTTCTATGGTGATGAACTTAGCAAATCTGAAATTGTGCCAATCCTGAATGTTGATTTAAAATAGTGATTGAATAATTCGGCAATAAAGGCATTTCTGCGTGGTCATAAGACGAGATGACGTTAATGAACAGCACTTCTTTTACAGGATATTTTACGTATGCGACTTAATGCTAAAAAGATTGGGCTCGAGTGCTTTTTTTTTCGAGTGCTCGAGTGCCTAATAGAGGTCAGGCGCTAATTGTAACTAATTCCCTCAAGTTTCAACGTGTTTTCAACAAAACAATACCCCGGCGATAATTATAGCTAAAATGTTACCGAGCAATTCACAATTTTATTTATGGAATTTGCAAATTCACCAGTTTCTTGACGATTTTGATATTGTCACGCCCTAATTATTAGTGCAAAAAATACTCCCCTTCTTCAGTGGCGGTTTGACGGGTTCTTTGTTCCATTCTTCAGAAAGTTCTGACACGGGGGATATAGAAAACTGAATCCGGAGGGTTGAATCCCTGTCCACTTACTGGTGATTTTCCGTTTTGAAATGCGTGAAACATTCTTTATTTTAAATTAAATGACGTTTCGCAGGCTAGAGTTCTCCCCGAAAATGATGTGTTCCAGACGTTAGTTAGACGATAGATAAAACATTGGATTAATAATTTTCGTGACGCCCCGTTTTCGAAAATACAAAGTTATATCGCAAAAAATGCGTTACGATACATTTGAAATGAAACATTATTTACGGTTAATTCAGATCATATTTTACTCTTCATGACACCCGGTATCCGAAAATACAGTTGTATCTCGAAAAATGTGTTTTGTTACATTTAAAATAAAACATTTTTGCGATTAATTTAGATCATATTTTACTTTCCACGACACCCGTTTCCGAAAATACAAGGTTATATCGCGAAAATGTGTTTTGTTACATTAAAAATAAAACATTTTTGGGATTAATTTAGATCATATTTGACTTTTCAGGACACCCGTTTTCGAAAATACAAGGTTATATCGCAAAATGTGTTTTGTTACATTTAAAATAAAACATTTTTGCGATTAATTTAGATCAAATTCTACCTTTCACAGCAACCCGTTTCCGAAAATACAATGTTATATCACAAAAAAATGCGTTTTGTTACATTTATTTTGCATTCCCAATAAAGTACATATTTTCCCTAATTAAGGTCGTCGATGAATCTGTTCCTGTCGTTCAAGCTTGACACACGTTTGGACGAGTGTGGGGCGGTTTTTTGGTCGACGATAAATTAAAAAGTTGCCACACGTTATTTGTATAACGATAATAACTGAAAATTAAGATTTTATAATAGAAGTGAATTTGTCTCAAGATGGTATTTTACGATTCCCACCCACAGAAAATAAACACGCTGACAGGCTTGGTTATAATTGATATTCTTTAATTTATTTTACACTATTAATAAACGCGCCACACCAATTGCTACCATATAAATTGCAGTCGCATCGGTATGGACTGTATGTTTTTGGCGCTCTCACATTAATAATAATTTTCAACAAAACAATACCCCGACGGTCATTAAAGCTGAATTCGTTACCGAATAATTCATAATTTTATTTACTGAATTTGCAATTTCAAGATCTCACTTGACGATTTTGATGATGTCATGCCCTAATCATTACTGCTTAAATGCCTCAAAATACAACAAATGTAATCATTTTCGACGATAACAGGCGCAACAATTCGTAAACGAGCCGAGCCGAAATTCGCGATTGATTTTACCTCTCTCTTGTTTACAATTTTAACATCCCGCCGGCCATGTATGGTCGAATAAAATGTTCACATATTCGAAACATGATTTGGCCAAGGATGGAAGGGATCACTAAAGAGCTAATAGAAAGTACATACGCGAGGGTATGATATTATTATCGAGAATATTTGTGAGCATATCACAGGACGGAAATATTTTGCACCCGGCTGTTTGTTGGCAGAACAACGATACGCTAAAGTTAATTGATCGAATACAGGGAAGTATTCATTTATCATCTAACTTGCGAACATCGAGGTTTTGGCGGAATTGTACGATCATGTGGTCTTTCTTAAATAATAACTTTTTCAATAAATGTTCATTTTACTTTTGCGTCTTTATTATATGTCGGGTTTTCATTTATTTTAAATTCGAAATTGTCCGAAATACTCCAACAGGTGTATAAGTACAATAATAATGATACTTACCAAAGTACTTACCAGGAAGTTTAATACACACGATGTGTAAAGGGCGTCGTAACTCCCGTTTATTAATTATAATTTTTTTTACATTCTGTTTAAAAAACAACGGCAGTCATCTCACCTAACTCTCGCGACCAAATCTTTTTTCTTTTGTATGGCATCGTCTTGGCGACGAATTTATTGCCGACTGAATTTTAATTGTGTTTTAGGATAAGTTATTTTCTGTTTGTTGGTTTCTAAACTTTACAAACTGTGAGATTTGTGCATATGAACGATTGAATATTGCGACTGGATGTCCGATATCTGAGAATGCGTAATTCTCTTTCAACATTAATTTTCAGGATATCAGCGTTCATGTGGTCGAATAAAAATTATTTATCAAATGGATTGGTATTTCGAGACACTCAAAATTATTTGGGATCCACTATCATATCATTCGTTTATTCTTTATAGTCATGTTTTTCTCAAGAATCACCCTCGTTATATTTAGTGTACCTTCGCAAAAGAAAACTCTTTGGTGTCATCGTTCCTATTAGTGTAATTTAAATATATGGAAACCTTGCAAGTGGCGTTGTGATGCGAATATTTGATACTAGGTCAGCAGCATTACAAAGAGTGCTATTTATGAATGCTGAAAGTACATGGCATTACTAAACATTTTGCCAATATATGATGTTTTCTGCCCGATTTAAACTAACTCGCACAAAAACCAAGGCATGTCGACATTTAAAAAATACTTGTCTTTGGGTAAGCTCTGAAATAGTATAATATAAATGTAAATGAGAAATTAGGTCACGCTAGCTCACGAAACCAGAGGATTTTCAAAGTGATCTTGTGTAATATTTCGGAGAAAAAAGTTTGAAAGGAAAGTAGGTCAACCTATCTCCTAAAACAGGGGAGTACCCTGAGTAATATTTCGGAAGGAATGTAGGTTAACCTATCTTTTGAAACAGCGGGTGGCGACTTTCAAAGAGGTTCAAAATCACAAATTAATAATTGTCAGATTAGGTTTAGGGATAAATCGAAAAGTTGAATTTCCAGCGCACCTAACCCTAATTAGTTGATTGCTATTTATATTTTTGGGTGGGGGGGGGGGGGGGGGGGGGGGGTTATTTTGCACGGGATTTGTACAAACGATCCACCCTGTAACTAATATGGTTTCCAGCCTGCCTCGTGTCTGTTAGATGGAAGGAGTAACAAATGTGAAAGTCTTTGCTGTTTACGCGAGTAAGCAACTGACACGTGATACATTGCATGAAAGTTTTGTCCACAGCAGGTGTTAGCAGATGTCATTTCGTTGACGATGAATTCGCTTGTTTTAATTAAACATGAATTCGCTTAAAGGGAACTCGGTTAACGAAAAGGCTTCTCTTTAATTCATAATATTAACCGGAAGAGCGCTTTTTCGAGTATCTATGCGGTTTTAAATGGGTTAGATGAAAGGCTAGGGCACCTAACTTGTTAAAATCGGCAAAAGCACTTTCGCACTTTTTTTTCGACTGCGAAGCACTTTCGCACTCATAATTTGCTTAGAGTTAACACTGCTGGTTAACGATCCATATTGGGAAACAATGCTCTTAAGGTGTCAATACCTGGGTGTTGTTGTTGATTTCTTCCCATCAATATCAGCCATGTTTGTATTTGAATCCTGTCCACTTTCAGTAGATGTACTATGTAACATCTGTGTTCTGCCTGGATATCTCTCTATGAAATAAAATTATAAAAATTCAAATTCATCTTGCTACAATTCGCATTGAAATATATGAAATTCAAATTTAATTAGGAAATACATAATGGTAGTAATTCTTGCATAAAAATGTCAATATAAGATGATCATTTTTTTGGTTGTTTCAGGTAAGCTGAATCAATAGTACTATGATTGTGACTTTATATTAAATTTACCTTGACATAAATACAACAGTAGATTGCTATTGTTTGTGACTATAACTATGACTATCATTCTTATATTTTGATAAAAATTTTTACCAATCAAAAAATAGAGCACTGCATAGGAAATTGGATTATGGTATACCTCTTGTCTTCTGTGATGCTGTTGCAATATGATTATTAGGAGTTGGAATACTTGAAACAATAGGATCTCTTTGTAGTGGTCTGTACGGTTTCGGCCTCAGAAGATGCTAAAAATTTAGAGATTTGTGATACAATTTGGAGTAGAAGTAGAATTTTAAAATTCTCGTGGATGAAGTCAAGATTTCTAATGGTGGTAATCCAAGTCAAGATTTCAGACAGAAATATAAATAGCAATAAATTGGACTAAGCATTTACAACAGACAATTAAAGAAGTCTACCATATGCCAATGTTTTCAAGGTCAAAATCTATTTTTTTCCGAGTACAGAGTCAAAATTTAGTCCAAAGATTTATTTTTAATAGCCTGGAGTTTTGAGTCCGATTTGGCTCTTATCCCACAGCAATGATTCCTAGCTGATGGTAAGGATATCAATTTAGTGTTCTTGATTGTTTTATAATAAAAAAAAAATTCGAAAATTTCAAATCGTTTCATTTTATGGGGAAATCTTCATACATACTAAATAAACATAGTGCCATAAAATTACACATACCGGTAAGCTATAATATGACATGCGAAAATGCAACCTTTACCAAAAGAGGTATTTCTTTAATCTGAATAAGATTAAAGAATTCTTCAATGTTTTATTTAATTTCTAACATGGAAAAAATCAGTATAAGACTGAGCCAAGCCACATTTAAATTCTGCAGTTTGAATATGACTATGTTATACTCTATCTCAATTACTACGAACCAAAATTACCTGTTTATTATTATCGATACTGGCAGGTTTCATTGAAAATCGATTTGGAAAAATATTAACTTTCGTTGTGGGAGTTGTTGCAGGAGTATTGGATGCTGAAGCAGCTGCGAATAAAAACATAATATTTTGAATAAGGAATGATTAAATTTGAATGAAAACAAGTTTGATCCTAACAAGAATAGCATACTCACATTGGAAAGCCCCTTGAAAATTTTGTGGCCTTGATGTTCTGCAAATAAAACAAAAATAATAAATTCATGATTGTTGAAAACAATGATATTACACAATATGTGTTCAGATTTGGTGTCGCTGCTCGATAACCAATTTTGATTCCCCGCAACTTTTTTTTTCTTAATTTTATATGTTATTTTTTACTGGATGGAAAAAATAAACTTGACTTCGACTATATCATAGCACACATGAACACTACTTTATTCATTATCATATATTGTCATATAATAATCATATTTTTTACCAAATTTCTAGTTAACAAGATAAAATATTGCACCTATTTAGCAGGTCTTTTCCAAAAGATTCTTGATGCTTTGCGTATGTTTTGTCAAATGTATTTTCAGCTGCTAACATGTTTCTAGCACACTATTTTTTTTAACAGAACTCACTCAATTTGAGTGTACTGCAGCGATTTCAATAACACAATACTATGATTTTTTACATCAGACAACAGTTACTACCTTGATTCATTATTCTTTTCATAGTTTTCATATTCATATGAACTCAAATTCAAACCACTTTCCGTTGATGTGCTATGTTTCATACCACCACTTCCAAATAAACCTTTATCTGAAAAATAATTTTAAGCATTAAGTTCTGAATATATTATTATTATTGACTGCTTTTAATTTTTACATTCAACGATAGTCCAATTGAGTAATACTAAAAAAGTAGCACTCTGTATAGTTTGAATTACTATTTACAGGGTCTCAGACATATTTTCTGGCCAAGAAACCACGAATGGAATTACAAGTTTTCAATTGTGATAACCACAGTCAAAAGTTGTTTGCAAAACTCAAAAAAATTAATTTCACCAAGCATTCTCAACAGTCTATTTTAAAAAAATACCATAGGAAAGAGCATCATTGATCATCAACATTCAATTTTTAGATGGTTTGCATCAGGCGTCCATATTTCCTTCAAGAAGGAGTCAGGTCAACATATTTTTTTGATTCAAGTCGAGATTCGACTGTATGTTTTCTCATTGCAAGTCTTTCCAGACTCCACTCAGTGGGAGGATGAAATATGTTTCAAGATATAATTGAGGAGATATGCAAAATACCTTTGCTCTTTTTCAATGGAATAGTAGTAAAATGATTAGAATTGGAAGAAATTGGCATTGTTTTATCTTCTTCATATTCACCACGATTGTAAAAACGAGGACGATAACGAGTCTGTAAAATGAAATAATTACATTGTGTTAAATATCAGATTCAATCCATTCCATATGTATGTGTATACTTAGATAAAGTCGCCACTTTCAAGTGAATATTTATTTATACTGCAACATCAAGAGTCAAAGCATCCTACTCCCATGTGATTTAAAACCCCTAGTTGACCGGTTCTCAACCAGTGGGCCATGGCCAGCTGCTGGGCTACAGCAACACTTCCAGGTGGGCCACAAACCTATTTAAATTGCTTGAGTTATTAATAAATTCAGTTTCATTTCTGCCACCATAATTAAATATTGATTGTAGTGGCAATGAATGATGCTGTTTTTTGCGACGGAAGAAATGATTTTCATTCTAATTATTACAGTGAAAATGTCATCATTGCAGTCATAGTTTTTAGCTTTTCTTGTAGTTTTTCCCTTGCATAAAAAAGTTAATGGGCCACAAAATTTTTGTGCAGTGAAAATGGGCCACGAAAGGAAAAAGGTTGAGAACCACTGCTCCAGTTCTTTGATCCAAATTCTTGGCGAAGTCCACCTAATGAGCACATTACCAATTTTCAATGAACATGCCACTCACATGAGGTAAAATTTGTTCTGTAGTTGATGATTGTTTTGCTTTATGTTTAAAATTAAGTGGATTGGTAGTAGGTGTAGAGGCAGCACTGTTGGAGGCAGATGAAGCTAAAACATAGAATACTATTATCAAAATAAAATTATCAGATTATTATTATCAGATATGCAATGTAATACATTATATCGTAGAATGCAAAGTTCACAAAGAACACTGGGTTTACGGTAAATTTATTTTGTAATAAATAACTTAATTCTTTATTCTATTTCCATGTTGATTTATGCAATAAATCATATCCTAACAGAAATGAATTATCATTTAGCTGATTGGTGAATTTCATAAAAGTAATAACTAGGCAAGATCTATCCAATAACAGAATTCTGATTTAATGAACTTCATGATAATATGGCATGAAGAGAAAAATTATGATTCAAACATACCTATGTATCACTCCTAACACAAAATTTTGACGCCATCGAATCAATCTCATTTAAAAACATTAAAATAGTTTTATCATATATCAAATGTCTTAGATAAATAATTCAATTCATTTTCATACCATGATTCCAATCTCTTGCACTTTGTACATTCAGCTTCAAACTCAGGCTGAAATAAAAATAAAAGCATTATTATTTATTAATAATGTGATCAATACTTTATAAATATATTCAAGAGATAGTATTTCAAGCGGTTTTCAGTTAGCCATTGAGAACCAATCCAACCAAAACTTTTACGACATTTAACCTTGTTGTTCATATATTAGAACAGTGGTTTTCAACCTGTTTAGTAGAGCTGAACCCCAATGAGACATTTCGGAAACACGAGGAACCCCTATTCAATAGTTGAGCTGTTTTTTATTGTCTGAATTGTATAAACTATAAATATATATACACATATAATATAAAAGCAAACCTCAATAATACTGGTAAAATTAAATGATTTTTAAACTGCAGCAAGTTTAATGATAGTGGGTAACCTAATGGTATTTGGTTATATTTAAACAATACACATATATTAATAATATAGATTTGAATAGAAAGTTGTGAAACCACTGGACTGTATTGGAGGAACTCTGGGGTGCTGCGGAACCCGATTAAAAGCTACTGTATTGGAGCGGTGAGCTTTTGTTTTACACAATCATACCCTTGGGTAAAGTGACCTCTCATACCCTTCAGTATTTTGACTAAACTGATACTTGGAATTATTTATAACTTAATTCAGTAATTACAAGAAATTCTACATTAATAATATGAAAATGAAATCACTAACACATCAAAGGAAATAAATGTAATCATCATAATTATATGTCGCTGTGTAATAAAATTTCACTATTTGATATTATGAAACAAATCCAACAGATATTTAAATGTCTAAAAAGTGAAAAGGCATACTCACTTTTGGGCAAGAACTTGGGTAATATCTTCTAATGATTTATTGTGCCTGGCAGTTCTTGATGTTGTGGAAGGATCGCTCCTACTTCGTGAATGAATAACATTGTCATCACCAGATGATTCGTAACTTGCTTCCGAACTAATCTCAATCATTTTTAATACAGGAGAAACATGATACAAACTTTTGCTACATCTGTAACAATGAAAATAGAAAAGTTGTTTGACTAATGATATAATTGGAATCGAATAAAGAAAATTTAGGGAAATAAGAATAAAAAAGGCAAAATATTGAAATTTATTTTTGCTGTTAGGCATATCTCAATAATACAGCTTTTCGCTATCAATTGTATAAAAACAAATTTGTCATAATTTAGAGGAAGCAGTACACTTCTGAAGCATTGACAATCCATTAATTCACCAATTCCATTCTTGCTTGCATTTATATTAAGTTGTTGTGCCTGTACTCTGTTCCATAGACAATTAATTATTCAAATTGATCCCAGCAACACATTAAGAACAGAAATCCTAAATTGGCAGCATATACTTTTAGTTTAATAAACATGTATGATATTTATAAACTTCAGAATAGTATTATTAAGCCTTGCCCGCATCATTACACAATTATATAATGATAAACACTTTGATATTCATGAAAGTCACGATAGCATGCAAATAACAATCTGAATGCACCATGTTTTACAATCTACACATATCAATTAAATGAGTGAAAAACAAACACATTACATCATTGGATTATTAGGATTAGTGTGGTCCAAAACAGTGGTATTACTCCATAGTGACACCGTGTGTCCCATCACTAATTAATTAATAACTCACTAATTATAAGACATAATCCATCCAAAATCAATAGAATTCTGATTCGAGCTATGATGAATGCACATGCAAAATTTGGAGCAGATTCAACCTCGCTTTTGTGAGATATCGCATGCATCTAACACACAGACAAACAGACATACAGACAGACAAATACCTATCAATATACTTACCGATCTTAAGATCGATAAGTAATAATAAAAGAAATACCTTCTAGGTGTTCCATCTTCAAGTGGTAAAATCATAATTACAGTAACGACGTCAGATGTTCGCAACAAATCTAACATTTCATCATGAGTCATTGTGACAACTAAAACTTTACAAATCTGAAACGAATAATAATTTAGATGTTACACAACTGGATAGAAATACAAGGAAAAACCATATATACCTGATGTTTTAAAATTACTATTTGTTAAGAAAAGTTGAAAAATAACTAGGGCAGTAGCCAGTATATGTATCCATCATCAAGTATGTAAAAAAATAATAGAATATTTGAATACATCAAAAATATATTAAATATTTTAAATTCTTGATTTTAGAAATGAATAAGAATTGTTTAGCCCTATTTAAAAAAAAATTATCATTTTGAGCAGAAGTCTTACAGTATAATTAAAAACAAAGGTGTAGGCAGAAATTTTCAAAGGGGAGCTGTACTGAAATTTTGAATTTCCAACTTAGACTGAAATAGCTAGCGAGTTCGGATGGATGAGAATCGAGGATCTAAACATGTTTCAAGCTACAAAAATTGCTTGCTATGTATGACACAAAAATATATATTTCAAAAGAGGGGAGGGATGCTCCAACCCCCAGATTCAAAGGCCTCAAATTCTTAAAACTATAAAGAGAGAGAGAACAGATGAAATCTCTGTTAACTCCTTGTATTTTAAAATTTATACTCATTGAATAAGCATAGTTTTTATACGTTTTTTGTTGGAAATGATTCAATTTTAAATATAATATTCCATATTTTAAAAAATTTGTTATATACGTTCAGAATAATAGATTAACAGTATTAAGTTGAAATAACGTTGCAGATAAAACAGGTAAAAACAAGATAATCGGTTAAGTTCACTTTACATAATATCTTTGAGGGACAAACCTCGACCAGTCTGCTTCCTTGTGTGACGCCAACATGACTGGCATAACCATTAGCTTCAACATCCATTACTATTCCTTCATAATTGATATGGAAGCCGAGTTGACCACGAGCATTTCTTCTCAATGTCTTGGTCTTTGTTTCACAACCAATACTGAATGTTTGCAACCTGGGATAAATCATTATTAAAATATGAACTATAGTTAATTAACGCTAATGCTGTCAAAAATGAATATTTATTTTTCTTTATATTCTTTTATTTAAAAAATTTTTATTTAAGAAACTGTAATTTCTGTTATTAACTGTTATACATACAGATACATAATTCCAATTTATTCTGAAAGTATTTAAAAGTGTACATAATTCATTGTTATATTTACACATTCTGGCAACAGATTTACGGAAATCCTGATTATATTTAAAACTTGAATTTCTAAAGCAGAAAAATATAACAATCGAACGTGTCGGTCATGTCCTGAAATCTGGACTGAAATGTGGGAAATTTAGTATAATCAGCCGAATCCTTTATTAAGACCTAAAAAGCTTTTTCCCTGCTAAATTTTCCAAGAATCTATGTCCTCTCAATATACTACTAATTGTGAATACTTCATAATAAGGTTTGTTTGAACACAAATTTCAAATTTTGTATTCCTTTCAATTTAAAACAATCTTAATAAGCAATTAGTATAGATGATTAAAGGGGTTATTTGTTCTAACTTTGTGAAAGATATTTTCAAAAATCAAGATATTTTTTTGTTAATTAAGCAATTCCACAGCCAAATCATGATTTCTGTCATATTTTGCGATGTAAAATTTTGTATATTTCATAATTTTGCTGTTAATAAAGAACCTTGATTACTCGAATTAAATTCTTCCTGTATGATAAAATCCTAAGAAACGAAACACTGGAAGATGAAGTTACCCACCTTAATTTAACTTCTCGTTTCCAATCACAAGCTGAACAAGAAGAAGCTCTAATTGCGATTCTTTCCCCACGACCAAAATATACATGAAGAGTATGATTTGAAAATTCCGCCCATCCTATGATTGCTTGGCATGGAATACTAAATATCACTCGATTTGTTGATTTTCGAATGAGCAGAAACATATAATCACTAATACCAAGCATGCATTGGACACCTTCAGTGCTGTAAATAACGATGTTTTTGTTAAAGAAATAAAATATAATTTAAAAGATGAGTCTAATGTACTAACAGCGATTAGTAACCACCATTTTACTCAGAATGCTCAAATTGAAAATGTTTTTCTAAAACTTTTGCCTTTTATATGCTTTCATTTACTTATTCAGATCAATATAGCTTTGAAATATATTTGATGGTATTAGGACTATCGCAGGTACAAATTTGACTATAAATCTGATGAAAGATATATTTAGTAATGGGAATAGTGCCGAAATAAAAAACAAATGTATTCCATACATTCATAGCTTCAATATTGTAAAAATCAAAATGATTGGTTCATGAACATCTAAAACCCAAGGCCATTAAAATCTATTTTAATGTTTGGGTATGGATCAGGATCTTGTATTAACGATCTATGGGAAAGCTATCTCAAATATTGCTACCACAAAGAGTGGAATTTCAAAACAATTATAATCACCATTGTTCATTCAATTGAAAATAGTATTAAAATTTCTTGATCAAAAGTACAATATAAAATGATCTCTCATCATTATACATAAAATAAAAGTGAATCATCCGAAGCCATAAAGTGATTGATTGTGATGTAATGAAGCCTCCATTGTTTGAACATGATTCAAACTTCCCTGTATAGTCACAACCAACAAACATCAAACATACTACTTGACAGAGCAATCACACCCACTCATTAACTTATCGTAAAAAATCTGGGTCATTTCTGCTCTACAAAATAAGAAGTCAAAATTTTACCATATTCAGACTAAGAGGATTCATAAAATCAACAAAATCATTAATTCTATCTTATCAAGATTAATTTTCGATTTTAATACTTTCACCTGAATATACAAACTTATCATTTGTAAATATTAATATTGAATACATTTTGATAATCAAAAATATAATCAATTCATAGCTTATTGTACAGGAGATTGCAAATTTGAATCCTTGTTGTTATAAGGCAGTTCAAACTACCACTTTCCAGATATGTACAACCTATCCCAAAACCATCTAATCTTAAATTGCTAACCAATTCAATGACAGAACTAGACTGGCAAATCGACAAGTCACTGAGGTTTATCAAATAAAGAATTGCACACAAAGTGCCAAATTGTTGTTATTGTTGTTAGGGTTTCTATTGTAAAAACACTGCTTGTATCTGCAACTAATGCTCTAATCAGTTTCAAATTTTCAGTACTATGAGATGATTGAGATCGCTAGAAGACTTCTATTCATTTTCAGAATTCCAACGAATCCTACTGGCCCAATAAGTCACCCAAATTTTGCTAATTAATTCAATTCAAATTTATTCTATCATAGACTTGAGAAAACTAATTCAAACATTGCAATTTTGGAAATATTCAAAGACTTTACATACGTGCAGTCCTGTAGTATAACGTGCCAAACGAGTGATCCTAATGAGCTTTCTTCAGGCAATAACTTGTTTTTTGATTTATCTCTATCAATCACTCTTCTCGATGCAGCAGTCAGTGAAAATCTGGTGAACTTTTGACTTGCTTCCAAACCAGTTTGTGAAGTGTGATTCAATGCAAGATCCCGAAGATATTCTTGCCTTGTGTTCATTGACATTGCCTGAGATTAAAAATGCTCGTTATTTATTAAGATAATTTTGGCGCTCCCAAACGTAACTACAAAAGGATCTGAAAAATATGCTGATATGAGGAACTACATGATTTGAATGGATATTTCTGGTTTAGCAGAAAGTCTCCCGTCTCAATATTTCGTCCACCTTGACGATGGGAATAGCATTGAACAATGGACTGTTAAATCTGGACCTGATATTTAATTGTTAACATTTTGATGTTTGGCAAACAAAATATTATGTTTAATAATCAGACGAGATCAATTTGGCCACTCAGGAGTCGCAATGCTTGGATAATAAGCATTTCACGGTTGGATTTTATTGCTTATATGTCAATCAATGGATGGATCGTCCAGCAATTTCTGTTGTACTGGCTAATCAGCAAGATGTCAAAGGTGGCATAACATCAAAAATTTTGGCCGCTTAGACACTCCCTTTTTTCAGACAAATTTCCAGGCAAGGTTGTAAATATTATCTTGATTTCGTGGTTTTGTTAGCAATTTGTCAGTTTTTAGTTATGTTTCTGAAAGTTAGGTATGAATCAAATAATTTAATGGCCCTTTTTTCTTTCAAGGTATTTAGTTTAGTTGCAGTAATCAAAATTTTGTCCAATAAAAGTTGCAGTATACCATTCTAAAAATGAACTATCAGTACTTTCGAATGGCATGTGATAAAATATTTTGAATCATTTTGTAAGTACGAACTTGCAAAAACACTTCCAAAATATGCATCAAAAATTTTGAAATGGTAAGGTAGCCAAACGCTGGTGAAACGTCCCAGCTTGAAATAAAACTTCCATAAATTTGTGAAGTCATTACAAATTAACATATATCATACCTTGAATTTGCCTGCACTCCTAGCAGCTCTTTCACCATTCAGTAACTTTGTCAATAAAAATTCTCTAAATGTTTCCGACTTAGGAAACAGTGCATCCTTAGGAATGAGGGGTCCGAATGCAGGAATATCTTGAGATCGAGTGACTGCAATTCTGAAAATTCAACAAAGACAATAATACAGTGAGTGATTGCAACCAGGATCTTTTATAGTAATCCATGCATTCATTACTATAATATGTTGTAAATGAGGAAATGGCCCACAGCTAGTTATGCATCCAGATTTTTACACACAGATAAATGATAACACAAAGTATTTGGATGACAAAACAATGTGGTAAAATATTCGAATCAAAATAAAACTGAATGAAAAGTTAAATGCTGAAGCCAATTCTTTGATTATCATTCAAATTTTAATTTTTAACAAACACAAGAAATATGCTTCAATATATAAATAAACATCCAAAACAGTTTGTATGAATAAATTGAATAGTATTTATATTTGCCCTCAAATTTAACTTCTCAGAATTCAGAACAAATTGTAATTAGTCTGGAAAATCAATTTGTTTATAATACTCACATCAAATAGGTATTTGAAGCCAAATTGTATAATTAAAATCAATTAGCTACGCCCATCCATACCTGTATGATGTTTTACTGGAGCAAGGTTGATGGACACGAATAACTACAAATAAATGTTGAAAATGAGAACGAATATTTTGAGCACTGAATGGAGGGGAATCAGGCTCTTGAAAAACGATTGTTACAATATCATTTCCAATATGACGTTTGCGAAGTAACTGTGGTGAAAAGAAAACAAAAATTTCAGATTGTTATTAGCCTTATAAAGTAATGATTACAACTTATTTTACAATCCAGCAGATTGATCGAAGCTGAATAAAAATTGAGGTTTATGCTGATTCGAAACATTTTTAAAAATAAATATAGCTATTTCGCAACAATATGGCTATACCATTTTTCTTATGATAAAATTGTATATAATTCAATAATATAAAGTCAAATTCCATTCTACAAGACTAACTGAAAGATCCTAATGTAGAATCAATGACACATTATATTCTTAAATAAATTTATGGATGAAACAGCACGATACCGGAAATGCTGCTATAAGATTCACAAAATCCTTAAATGATGATCATTATAATAGTGCCAAGCCAAGTTATGTGTGTTCATATCCACTACACATATCAAAAATTCACTTTATTGAAGAGTACTTTATGTGAAGCTGAAATCAATAACCATGACATCATAAATTCAAGTGAATATTAATACAAAAAATTTCAATACTAGAATTGTGTAGATCAATCAATACCTGTTGTACATTATTGGTAGTATAAGGCAGAAGAGTTGTGACATGAAACATAATCTCAATTCCTTGAAAAGTTGTAAAATATGATTCTTTCCCGGTGGAATTAGCTATAAAAACATGAAAAAAATTTGTCAAAATTGATACCATAGTATATAATATTGAACTTGAATGCTATACCAGTATATAGGCCTATATTATAATAGAACAGGACATGATCTGTTCCAAACCACAATAGTGTGTGAGAGCATGTCATACTCAAGGGAATATTCTGAGGTTATCAAATCAAATTTCTAAGTGATTATATCACCCTTAGGGCTACATTTCACAACTCAGAATTGAATCATAGAAATTAAAGATTGTAGCTATTCTGGAAATACATAATGAGTCTAAACAATATGACTATAAAAAAAATGACATTTGGGGACAGGCATATGAATAACAACAAAGTCAGCAATACTTTGATTCGATTTGATTTGAAATAATTTGATTTGAACAATTAGAATGGAATCGCTTAACCTTATATGAAACTAATAATTGAAATAAGAATATTTTCAAAAATTTAAATCTTGCATTTTGCATATTTTATGCCAGAAGCCTGATGATTGCTAAATATGCGAATCTATTTCTAATATATTTTGTACTCCACTAAAAATAAGACGCTATTATAAATGTCCAGTAAATTTAATTCATAGGCTACAAAATGTAAAGGTATTTCTATTCAAAATAGATATATAACATGTCACTTATGTTATGTAAAATTTAAGACTTTATGGTCTATTCGGATTATGACACTGATATTACTGGAATATTATATAATGAAGCAATGCTGTTGCACTAATATCCAGTTGATTATAGTTCAATGTAGATAGATGGTTCTTAAAACATTGCTTAATTACAAAATCAACATACATGAATAAAAAGTTACATACTTTTGACATCAAGGCCTCCTCGGAATTTATCAAATCCTTTTAATTGAACTTTATCTCCGAGTAAATCCAGAAATTCTTCGAATCCGGGACTTCCATGTTCGTTATTATACATTTCTTCTTCTGTTGTTTGGCCTTTCTTACAATACATTATACCTATTTTATAACTGTTTGCAACCTGATAAAATAAAATAAAGTTTGTAAGTAATACAGATAATGAGAAAAAAGGGAACTTTCAAATTAAATATAAAGTCCAATCTAGCTATCTCTGTCTGCAGGACTTGTCGACTCAAATATTTGTACGTAAATTTGAAATATTAAAATTTTAAAGTAACATCGTATGTAGAAAATAAATATACCGTAATATGCAAAATTTAACCAAACTTTAAACTTTCACTTTTGAAAAATCTTTAAATAATAAGATGGTATGTGTATTCACAATACCAAATTAGTGAAATGCGATACTGAGTTTGGACGTTGAAAAAATGTAGGGGTAAAAATTGATGCGATTGCGATATAATTTATTTAGAATAAGTTTATTAGTTACTGGTATTATCGGTATATAAAACAAGCCGATAAAGATTATTAAATTTTCGATTAAAAATACCTACAGCCCCAAAGCCATTAATAAACATCCTAAGCTAAATGAAATATGAAGCAGATTTTAACAATATAGATAGACATAAATATATTGAATTATAGAATAAGTGGAACCTGTATTGAATAGACAACCATACCTAACAAACTTACATTCTGCTCATCAACTTTCATTAGTTGTTTTTGTACAGCTTCAGTAGATGATGCAGATTTTAAACAATCAAAATTAATCTCAGGGCAGACATATTCTAAAACATCACGAGGTTTTAAAGCTCTTGTAGTTGAGTAATGTTGAGATATGAGAACGTCTTCAAGAATGGATCCCCGTAAAGTACAAAGCTGTAAAATTGTACAAAGATTGAGTAGTGAAAGAAATAACAGATTAGAAAAAACAGTTAGATTAGACATAGCCTACTATTAGATCATAATAAGTTTATCAATGTGCTTGACTGCATAATGCTCTATATTTTACTGAAATTTCACATATGATACAATTACATATTCAAAAATATAAATAACACAACACTACATTGTATAGTATAGCATGGCTGGAAAGCTGAAAATACATGAATATGAAAAATACTTTGGGAAATATGTAAAATTAACCTGAATTTCACTGAACAATATTACTAATACTTTGAAAAGATTCAGAATCAAGATCTGTAATCCCTTCTATTTCATTATAAATGCTATTCGAAATTAAAGACTTCCAAGTGTCCATAAAATTTTTCATTTGATTTGTAACAGTACACAAGAAATATTAAATATTTTTAACTTACTTCTGATGCACGAACAATAACTCTATAATTCCAAGCATTATCTTTAATGTTAGCGTTTGCTTCTCTTAGTTTTTCCCGCTTGATACTGATTGCAACTGGACCATATTTATCATCGATACCAAAAAAGTTGAAATGATCTACGCAGAAATAATTTGAGCATATTAAGACGATGGCGAATAAAGGCTCATTTATTTTATCTATACTTGACCAAATATAGATTTTGAAAGCAAAAATGGATAATTTTACTGAAAAATGGAGCCTACTAGAGAAATGGGGGAACATCTGTCACCTCAAACTATTTAATTTCATGCATTATTTATGAGACATGAATTTTGCAAGAGGTGAATTGAGCTGCTCATATTATGATCATTATGAATTGTACACCAGGGAATCATCCTCCATTAGTTACAGCTAAGATCAAGTGATTATTTGATTTCTTCAATAAAAATGAAGCTTCCAACATTTAGGTAATAACCAAAACTTATTATCATGTAAAAATGGTTGTTGTGAGATTGAAATTCAAATATAGTCCTGGTTAATATTGAAACAAATACTAAATACTGAATTAAGGGCTTTCTGAAAATTATTTTAGAGAAATTTGAAATTAAACAATTAATGTTCTTATCATCATCACGATTCTAAAGAGTATGACATTATTCATAGCGTGTTCTTAGCATGCGTAAATTCCTTTTTTATTTTGTTCCTTCAGTCTATTTCAAGAATTGAATTGACTTTTTACATCTCTTACACTAGATTTTTTACAATATAAATCTAGTTTTATGACTGTTGCTTGATTGGAAAGCAAGAGACTTAGAAGTCATACAGCCACCAATCAATGCTGTGAATTAGAAATTTTATGCATATTGGTGATCATCTGTTATTAATAACAATTTTTTGTAGATAAATAATAAATCTCTCGTTTTCTCGCATCATGAAGAATCAAAAAATTTAATACATCTCACAAATATTTTCGAATCGAGACCTTTTGTAAAAAATTGAAAATATCATGAAGGGTGAATTGTGTTTTCAACAACTTTATTGGCATTGTTTGTGGCGTTACATACAATAACAAAGATATCATTTCTTACCTTGCTGAAAGAAATGCTTCTTGTAATATAATGCACCACCATCTAAATATTCCTGAACAAATCCAACAGCGTTCAATTGTTTATCATCATCGATCCCTATTTTTTCCATGACTGATACACCTTTGTTATTAATGAGAAGCATTCTAGCCGTAGTTGGACTGTTTGTGATCGAGTGTGAACTATTTTCTGGTAGTAAAAGTTGCACAGAAACCGCAGGTGTTTGTGAACATGTAGATAGTTGTGAAATGTCTGATGAAAACATTTCACCTTCTGTCTCCCCTCCTATCTCATTGCAGAAGAATGGGCACCTATGGAAATAAGACAAATAATAGTTTATTTCCATTTCAAAATACACATAACTACAATGTTAATGATCCAACCGATGCCAACTTATTAATGGTAAAACCCAGTCTCATTGCATACAATCATAAACATGAGTGTTATGTTTTGGTTATGGTTATAGGGCGAGTAAGACAGAAAGAATTTGCAGACCGCTCAAACTCTGGGTTAAGATAAAGTTCAGCTCTGGTATCTGACCTCTGGTCATTATCCAGGAAAATGAAATTTTGAAAATGAAAAGATTGGCATATGCAAGTCTTAAATAGACTGTTAATAAATACTCCTAGTAAAATTGATGCTTTTCGATTTTTATCAGGAAGTGTTGACATATTTTATCACCATTGACAGTCTGTACTTCAACTTTGACTCCAGAGAATTCACAATTTCAACTCTGACTCAGGGGATTTTAAAAATACGACTTCTGCGCCAGTTTCAATGAAAAATCAGCTCACTGACTTTCATTCAGTCATTATCATTCACAGAACATGAACCATCATGACCTACCATTCCAACACATCATTTGTTCTTATATCCTCTGTACTTCCAGATAATTTTAATTCCTGTAAATCTTCCAAACTTCCTGCCGGTGTGTTTTCATTACTGTGCATCCGAGCTAAAAGGAGAATTTGACCTATCAGTCATCATTCAACTTGTTCAGTGATTTATAGTGAACTAACTTTCATTGAAATGAACCTAGTTCAATGGTTTAGTTTGGTACTTAGCATTTTATTAAAAATCAATTGAGTCATTTAGCAAACTTTAACATAGAGGCAAAGGTTTTTTCACAATATATATATAACCGATTATTGATTCAATTTATATACAATTCAATTTTTTATTAAAAAACGCCTGCACTAAATAATGGCATATTGCGTCAAATATTGAATTTAACTCTGAAATGTGAAGGGTTTCGAAAGCCCAGCCCAGGGGTTCAGCGAGTTCCCATTCAAATTTGAGAGCCTATATTACTATTTGTATATTGTTTGAATATAATTGAATAATTAGATTCGTCACTATTATTACTTGCACTTCAAAGGTCCTTATTTTATTTTTCCTATTTGTTTGTTTTTTTATAAATATATATTTATAGTTTATACACCACAGACAAAAAAAAGACAATCAACTTGTACAGAAGTTCCTCACAGGGGTTTCGCTTCAATAAAAAGGTTGAAAAGCGCTGGGTTATAGATACCAGAGAAGCAGAGAGTCTTTAATAACAAACAATGATTTGTTATGATGCAAATTTTTTTGAGATATATATCATTAAATTAACGCAATTGTATAATATTATGTTGAGCAGGAATCATATCAACCCACCACTCATTGCAGCAGCCTTGCTTGCTCCAGTTGTTTCATTTTTTCTTTTCAGTGTTTCTGTGGCGAGCAAAACTTCAGCGAAAGAAAAAATCATACTTTGCCAATCGTGATGTGCAAAAGACTGCCTTGGTCTATCTTTTTCTAGGGACCAACACTTCAAAGCAGCACATTGTTCTAAAAGTAATAAAGTATTTAAATGATTGACATTCTTCAAGTTTAATAAGAAGTTGACAAGCATGATAATACACTCATTTGTAACTACCGTAGATATAAATTGGACCTGACCAATTGGTTGGTTTGTTTATCGTGCAAAGTTTATCAGCAGTAATAATTTAATTTTAAAACTAAGATCAGTCAACTTAGTTTCCTAATTCTCACCAATAATGCTCTGTTGATTTGACAAAATGAATATAGATCAGGGGTTCACAACCGGGGATAAATTTAGTCCTTGAATGTAAACAAATTTAAAATGCATCAGAAGTAAATTATCAAGCAAGAAACTACATGGCCAGATGCGGTAATAAAAGGTGAGAATCTGCAATATAGATCATCTTTTCACGGCAGAATGGTGCTTGTCGACATATGGTAGAAGACAGAGATGGCAGCTTCCATTCAAGTCACATACATCAATCTTCAGACTACCGATACATATAAATCTTGTGCATTAATATTAGAAAATGGAAACCTATCAAAAATAGAAATCAATCAGTAACTGCACGAGGGGGCATAAATAAATACCTTGAACTTCATCCGTTTTGTTACTCTTGAAACTTTGATCTGAATTTGCTTGCTTCAGTGGTCGTGCTATATTGGTACTATCCAATCCATGACCAAGAACTTTAGCTACTGATTTCGATGCAGGGCTACGTTGATCATTGTTTTTCTTTATATCGTGTTCTTTCACCATGTCAAAAAAACTGTTTTCGCTTTGAGGTCTTATATTAGAAAGTGTTATTTCAGCTCTTATGTTTTTGTTAAAAGGTTTTGGCTTCACATAAGGTTGAGGAATATCAAAGCTAGAATATCCAGAACTTTTTAAACTTTCTATAGATGATGAATCATGAATCAAGGGTTTGGGTCTAGGAGTTGGTGTCGGTTTTGCTTTTCTTGCAGAAATGACAGGTCGATAAGGACTTGGCTCCTGAAAATGTTCATAAAACTGTGAATTTGGATTGCTCTTTGCCGTTTCAGTTTCTCCGTTTCTGTTTGCTTGTAATGATACATCCTCATCACCACTTAAATATAGTCTTTCATTTGTGTTTCGACCTTCATCAATGCTTTTATGAGTTTTATATATTGGCTTTGGAGGCCAAGTTCGCTTTGAATAAACACTGACAATCCTGCGATGAACATCATCACCCTTATTATTTATGGGTAACGATTGTGATAGTTCTGTCGAAACATTACTTTTCCTACTTGTATTCACTTTTGCTGGTTCAAGCCATTTTGCACCATATTTTGCTGGCAACAATGTACTTCCTTTTGTTCTTTCAGGCTGAGCAGGTTTGGACAGCGGTCTGTCCATGTTATTTCTGTAGGCATGGAAAAATAATCCACTTTGGGTTTACATTTCATGTAATTAACATACTTCTATCTATACAGATTAATAATGGTGAACTCCCAGGGGAGTTGTATTGTGCAATACACAAAGCTGGATAAACAATAAAGAACGAACAATTAATATTACCATACCAGATCATATTACATTTTAAATTCGATTTTGTGGGTTGGGATATAACAGAGAACAGATGAAGTCAAATAGCAAATGGCTGATATTTAAATACAATTGTAATACAACAGCAGCAAATTGATTATTTGACCTGGGCAAACTCAGGAAATGATTGTTAAAAATTACTTCCGTGTGGTGCATTTGGTAATTCCTGAAGCACTCATGACTTACAGAAAAGTTATCAAAATGCAAAACATTACAGTGATTATTCAAACAAAAATAACATTTTGCCTATTTAATGATCAATAGTAAACAGTAAAAAAAATAATTAAAGCAGCAAATGCTTGATGAAATGCCTATTATTTTTGACAAACAATTTAGATACTTGGGTAGCTTATTCAACTACGGCCAAAAATGATTGAAAGACTACAAAAAGCAGTTTTTAATTAAGACTGGCAATTATTTCTTTAATTTTGTTTATTCTTTTATTCTATTTGAACAACCTTAACAATTGAACAAAATAGGGCATAAATTAGTAATGAGTTTTCTGAAGTGTATTAAACTTTAAGAGATATAGGTCCGCTTTGATGCTATTTAAAACTTGATGAACAACATTTTTTCATTACGATTTTTGAATTTGAAAAAAGATTCTGAAGCTGTAAAATAATAACGCTCGATTGAATATTTTTTAACCACCACCCAACAACTACAGGAATATTTGTCTACCACTTCAATAAGGTTTAAAAATCTTGTTGTCGCAGAAAGAAATAGGTGAATTGATCAAGCTATACCAAAGCAGAAAAAATCTTATCATGCAACCCAATATAGACTGCTTTTATAATGACATAAACAGATACCGTTTAATCCAACAGGTGAAAGTTGGAATTAGTAATGAATATGCAATATGAATTATCATATATAAACTTAGAAAATATTATTTTATATAAAATTATAAAGCAAGGCCAAAAGGACTTTATGAAAAGTGAATGAAATTATTTTTTGAACAAAGAATTAACAATTTGATGCAAATCACAAGCCAAAGTTGCATAATACTGTACCTAATCAAAGTACCTCAAAATTAAAACAATGCCTCTAATTTGTTCAAAATAACAATTTATAGGATAGGATAGGGTTTACATATTTATCCCCGTGGAGAGGATAGACGATAAGACGGCTTATCCATATGGCGAACCACGGCCTCTCGTCCGGTTACCATTCCAAGTCGGGTATGGGATTAGTTATATTGTTTGTTTTCGGAAGCATGGACTTGGTGGTGGAGGAAGCCGTAACCGACCATCGGTTACGTGAATCACCCAACGACGGCGAGGAGTCCAGCAATCCTCTTGCACATAACCATCCCTGCATGGGATCCAGTCTGGATTTCATGGCCTTTTCGAACGAGAAATCGGGCGTGCAATCAGAAATTCCCGCGTGCAAATAAGAATTTCTGGCGTGCAATTATAGCTCACGGCGTGCAAAACAACTGCGCCCGCTAAACTGATTTCGAACTAAGATACCTCTCAATACATCCGCGTAAAAATAAGTTGGATCATAGCAAAAATGCACGTTTGACCTTTGACCCCCAAAACATCATTTCTATATTTTGTCACTAATTTTGAGAGTGTTTGTGCGACTTTAGATACCGGTACTGTTCAGTACATCCGTGTAAAATTATTGTATTAAAAATACGCTGAATCAGAGCCATAACTGGCCAGCGTCGGTGAGGAGGCGATTTTTCTCACGGGATTCCTATCATTCAACACGATATGGTGATTTTTGCTTCGCATTTTTCGATCAGGCCAAATCTTGCAAGCAAGTATTAGTCGACAATTGTAAAGTTATAATTTTTTGGCATCTTTATATTACTAGATTATTGATTTAAAAACTATTTAAACCGATTTACATTGGTGAGCAATTGCAAATTTTCGACGTGCAAAATTGAATTCGCTCGCGTGCATTTTTGTGGAGCGCTAGCGCCCTCGGGCGTGCATCTGCCATGGAATCCAGTCTGGCGCCTACCGGTAACTAATCCCATACCTGCATACCCGACCTGGACTTGTAACCGGGCGAGAGGCCGTGGTTCGCCATATGATTAAGCCGTCTTATCGGCTTTTCTCTCCCCGGGATAAATATGTAATTCCTATCCTTTCCACCCTAATCACAGCAAGGAGTCCAGCAATCCTCTCGCACATGCCGTAATTCTGTAATTATCCCCCACTGTACCGGTACCGGTATTCGAACCCGCGAACAAGTAACCGCGTGAGCCCATGCTCAGACCGTCCTGTAAAGTAGAGTGTAGACTGTAGACCACCAGCAGATCAGTCAGTATAGTCTACCATCGATACCTTTAACAGTTAACATCATCGATAACCGGACCCCCCTGTCCAGTATTCTTGCTATCTGTCCGGAAATGCATACCGGTATGCGGTATGGCAAGAACAGGGAGATCGGCGCTCCTGATCGGTATATATGGGCTTTGCTCCTGATAAGTAGGCTTACCATATGTTCAGGTCAGGTTGCGGTTTAGCCCCGGAACAGTCCCCGCTACAGGGGTGGTGACTCCTTTATGACCCATGGGCCGGGGCAATGGCCCATCTAATTTGGCCACATGGGCCGTGGCCCATCAAGCTATGGGCCGTGGCCCCATCAGGAAAAATTCGATTATCTTACCAAAATTTTCAATTTTTTACAAAATTATAAATATTCGAACTAAAAAAAATCGTGGGATGCCACCAAACTTTTTTCTGACGATAAAAGCCTTTATATAAAAACAAGAGAGCTATGCTCAAATATATGGACACGTAGAATCACATAATTTTGATGACGTCATAGCAAAAAAAAAGTAGGCTAATAGCCTTCTGGAGAAAATTTTTATCTTTAACCACTGAAAATTTCAAAGCATTTGGTCCAGTATTCGAAGAGAAAAGCGATTCCTTTAAAACGTGTTGACGGGGACAAATAAGAACAATAACAACAAAATTTTGAAACGATCGGTATGTCCACTACGTCTCCAATTAAGCATAACCAAACTACCGAAAAGGATACTTCTGTAGTACCATTCCGGGACTCCTCAATGTACAGAAGCTTGTGAAACACGGAAGACATCAAACGCAACAATGCGCGCTGTTAAAGAGTGATAATAGTGCAGCGTTATTTTCACAAACTCAAGCCTATAAATAATTTTGTTATAATCAAAGTAACTTGTGAAATGTTGAATGATTGTTATGTCATCAGGAGGTCACGGTTGACGAAACACGTCCTATCAAAGTTTCAGCTCACTTCCATTTAAATGACCCATACAGATGTAGTTGTGTTTATTTAAAAAATATTCTCGCAAATCTGAAATCAAATCCAGACATCCGTTTGCAGTTTTGAACAAAGCTGACACGCTTAGCCTACATGGCCTTCTATTTTATAACGCCTTTTAACTTTATAGTCCTAACGCCACGTTTTTTAACTTTATTTTAAGTTATGCTTGCCTTCCAGGTATCTTTGAATTTTGTTTGTCTGTCTACTTTTTGTGCTGTTTTGTTTTTATGTCAGAGTATCAAAATGAATGATTGAATATCAAGCAGCATGATAAAGCATTACTCATCTGGGACGCAATACACACTGTAGGCTCATTGATACTGTCGGGGTTCCTAGCGTTGTAAAAGAGCGTATGAGGGATTGTGAGGCGCGTCTGCACTCTGCACATTGACCATCAAGTTTCCACAGCAATACCTTACCTAAACATGAAATTGTTGTCACATTCAAGATAGGTAACAATATCAAAGTAATATGACTAACGGAAAATTAAAATTCGAAGGAGTAAATACATAAATACAAAGTAGCTCGACTGCTCGCCTAGTTACAATAATTAGTAATCTTACAGGAACTATATTATACTGTCTACAACAGGGTCGCCAAACGAGCCATGAGTGCCAGTTTGAATCGAAACCAACTGAAAGGAGATATCGATACATAAAGGTGCCATAGTCGCTCACACACTTTTACTACCCTATATGATGTTATCGCAAAACAATCAAAGCCATTCTCAGATAGAGAAGTGTTAAAAAAAGTGTTTGCAAAAATAGCCTTTCAAGACAGACTGTAACTCGTCGTGTTGAAGAGCTTGAGAACTCTATAGATAGACTATAGCGGAAACTTTAATTGCAAAAACGGGAAAATTTTCATCGTATTCCTTGACGCTCGACGAAAGCACTGACATCAAATTTACTGCTTAGTCGGCGATCTTCTTGTAGGGAGTAAATGATGATATGAAATTACCGTGGAGCTCGCGGCCATTGTCCCTGTTAAGGGTACGACTAGAGGCATTGGTTTGTTAAAGGCTGTGATAAAAATGATCAAACGTCTTGGCTTGTCTTTGGCGAAACTTGTCTGGTGGCGCCCCATCAATGGTTGGGAAACAACAGTTTTATTGTTCTAATAATTGTAAAAGTTTGGTGTGAGGGTATTGTTTTTTTTCATTAATCTGTAGTCAGTGTAGCAAAACTAGAACATAACTACCAAGTTAGGTGGGCAACGGCCCGCGCAATTGTTAGTGAACAACATGTGGCCCTTCGGCCAAAAAGGGTGGCCGACCCTGGTCTACAACAAGCACCACTCAAACAGAAACTCAAAGCCACGCATGTGTAATAAGAAAGATCCCACACCAAAAAAAGAGTAAGAAACATGCGCATGGAAAGGTCAAAACGTGGACAGCTATTCATTTTTGGCGATTTTGAGTTTTTTATGAAATAGGTATTTATGTAATGCTGCGCACTTGTCTGTTAACTTATTTTAAGAATTCCGAAACCCATAAAAATGGAGATTTAGTATGACATGCAAATTTGTTCAATTATTTTGTCATAATGAATTATCATTGTTACCCGCAGAACTATTGTGACGTCACAAAGGCAAAATAACCTCGGCGACGTATTTTCGAGTTTTTGCATTTCGGATTCTAGCTTAGCGCGTATTAATTTAAATTTATACTACAGTAGGGTTACCATATTTGGAAAAGCAAAATTCCGGACAGTGCATGACTATGTCGCACAACCTTAGTCCTAACCGGTACACAAAAACTATGTTCAGGTTGTGCGCCATCTTGGTGCGCATACTTCTTTCCGGAGGTCCCCTTTTTCATGAGACCATATATATGCGCTACCAAAATGCTAAGGCTGTACGATACTCATGCTAACGTTGTGCGATACTCGTGCTAAAGCGCCAGCTACCGAAATGAAAAGTATTGTCTTCAGTCACAAGCAGAATCTCACACCAGGCAGGTAAGCACACTCTAAATATAGCTACGGGCCGTCGACTGAAAAAATAACTTCAGAGTGAAAAATGAGAATTAGATTGTGTCGAAACGGAAGAACAGCAATTACATGCTTAAAACAAATTAAAGACAATCACTACAAATTTACTCTTCTGACCATGCATATTTTTCTGAAGATCTAATTCTCTTCTTGTCTAATTTCAAAAATGAAAACAATTCACTACAGTGCATATCTTTGAAATTATATTGGAGAGTCAACATGCCTTTTATAGTCGCAACTTGTTTCTCTCTTTAGTCCACTGACTTTGCATCAGTGAAAAGACTCTCTCTACATTGGCATTGTGGGATGTAACAGCAAAGAAAAACAGTTCAATCCTTAAAATTTCGGAGTGGCATGTGATGTTCGTAGACTGATCGGAATATTTGCACCATTCTTCGTCTTGTAGGTAACTTTCCACAAACTGCTTCAAGTTACAGAATTGGTCAAAGCATTTATCATCGTCCACATCAACCCGTTTACTAATCAGATGTTCCAGGCAAGACTTTACATCAGGGGTCGGCAACCTTTTGTCGATCGCGGGCCAAAACCAAAGGTTGCAAGTCATTGGCGGGCCTCATATTTTTAGAATGTTGAAAACCGAACGGATAGCCGATGAATCACACTTTTTCACACAGATCAGAAGTTAAATTTAGAGCAGCGCACGAAGACTGACCATTTGAATATTTTCTGCACCATTAAACCATTTGCGCTAAGCATCAACTTTTCTGCGATTTGTTGCCATTTGTGTAACTATAATTAAATTATAGGGTCATTAAACGCGCAATTGTGAATTAGATACTTGTTAGGTTATAACATAATTTAGCCTACGCGTGTCGCAAAATTAATTCTGTTACGTAAAGAATATAATCGTTAAAACAGCTGTTTTGTTACTATAATCCAGTGAAGCGTCGCGGGCCGGATTATATTGCTCCGCGGACCGGATCCGGCCCGCGGGCCGTAGGTTGCCAACCCCTGCTTTACATCCTTCCAACTTGGTATCTCGTTCAAGGTTATCCATTTGAAACAAGTAAACTTTTCCATTGGTTTCATCCATTTGCACAGGTACTCCAAGCATCTCTCATAGACTTTGCAACTTTAACACCATTGATAAGGAAAACGCTCTGTTATATTAAAATTACATACAACCTCGTAGTAAAAATATGCGCACGGTACGAAATAACAATGTTCTGTATTAGCAGTGTGCACATTACGATTGCAGATGCAGTGAAATTCCGGACATTTGAGCATTTTTTAAAATTCCTCCCGGACGCAAAATTTAACCCTAAATTCCGGACATGTCCGGAATTTTCCGGACGGTATGGCAACCCTATACTACAGTATAGGAAGGCCTGCACTTGTGATATTCACTGTCCGAGTCCAATTCGCCTTTGTTGGCTTTTATATTGGATGCATTGCTGTTTTATTCTTTATATTTAATCTTATTTCGGTGGGTGTGCAGAACGTGTTATATTGATGAAATATATATTTTTAAACATAAAAAATAATGTAATTGAAACTGATTATCTATTTTGGGGATTGGACATTGTAGATACTGAGAATTACATTCGTTTTTGAAATGTTTTGTTTTCAGGACTGGTGCATAAGCCGCATATAGTAAAGTTGCAAAATTGCGTATGTCCCCAAGTCATAGACACATTTCTTCTTAAGTCACAGTGCGCCATTATGACGTCACTTACTGCGTCATACAAATTAACTTAAATCCGGCTACCATCAAAAAATTGAACCATGGCAAATTATTGACTCGCAATGGCATACCAATATCATTAGGGAGTTATTTACGTTTTTCTCAAAACTGCTAAAAATGACTTATGCAATTCGGCTATTAGCGTGACGTTATTATACCTGTCCAACATTCTAATGAAAATAACGATGTGCAAGTGAGGAGTGTCCCAACTTTTTGTCATGGATAATATTTGTATCAAAAATATTTGAAGTTCGATATTTATTTGATTCGAAACTATTACAACATTGTGGTCAATTTCATACAAAAAAGGGATATATATATATATATCAGTGTGGTTTCAAAACGGTAATTCCTAATATTTGGAAACTAAATGAGACTTAACTTGTTTCTGAAAATAATTTTTAGACTTCGACGTCTTAAAATTCAAGGGAAGAGAATTCAAAAGTTTGGTTCTAGTAAAAGACAAGGAATGCTGCTCAAAGATCTATTTTCTCATGAAAGATAGGCCTATGAACAAATCAGAATTAGACTCTTTCTTCAGTTGGAAGGATTTTTGACAAGTATGTCGTAGAAGCAGTTTGGTAACGCAATATTGTGAAAGTCATAAGCTAATGATAATACTTCAAATATTCTTATATCAGCCTTAAGTGTATTTAGCAATTGATCGGAAACGCTGCTTGTTTTTCTTGATATCTATCACTGAGAGGAAGTATATTATCGATATGGGGACGCAGTAAACGCCAGTTGTAAGCTGTAGCCAAATTGATACGTTCGTTGTTATTGGCATTATAGAGGAGCGCTTGGGGATTGTGAGTCGATGGCAATATATGAATACTCTTTTTATCACCATCGGCTTAAAACTCGGGAGCACTGTGATACAACATTAATACAAGAGAGCTATGATCAAATTTAGGAAAGCAAAGTTTGCGGATCGGCACGGGTAGGATTAGGACTGAGAGTACTGAGTTTGATGAAACGAACGGTGGTCAAGCAACAATTTATTTCTATTTAATCAATATAAACAGGGAAAGTTCTGGTAAAATGTTGGGTCCCATAAGTTGGGACTCCAAAAAAAATTTGAAAAAATAAAAGTTATACCCTTCTAGTGATTCTGTCCATCTTCAATACTGAAAGTTTGCAGAACATTAGTCCAATAAATGTGGGTCAATTTTGCTTGAGAAGCGACGGATTGGACATAGCCTACATTGCTACATGGCATCTGTTGTGGTGTATGGAATTACGCAACTAAGATTTGTAGTCTTTTGTGCAATTTGTACCGGTTAGTGCCGAGGAAACCCCTCTAATCGGGCTTTAAAAACTTGTAAGCATTGTGATGATACATGTCGATCTCATACATGCTGGGGCTTTGGAAATTAAAACAATAAAGGGATCAATGCAGACAAATATTATCAGCGAATTCTAACCCCAGCGATATTTATGTAACATTAAATTATCTTACTTTTTATTATTTTTCATCAGTTACCGTCAATTATTTTATTTGTCTACTGTTGTTGTAGTTCGATAGCTTTCAACACACCTTCAGTATAGATAGAATGTACATTCTAAATGAAGCACAACTTAAGCGTCTGGATAAGTACAAGGAGAGCGTGCAGGGAACTTGTACCGTGGAAAAGTACATTGAACCATTCTGGGAATGGCTGATAAAATACTTTCCTGTGTGGATTCCAGTCAATGCAATAACCTTAACCGGTTTATTTGTCAATGCATTTGGAACACTAATGATGCTATATTATACATCACATGGTAAAGAAGCCGCGCCATCCTGGGTATATATTGTCAATGCGATAGCAATGTTCGTGGCTCAAACGTTGGATATATTCGATGGAATGCAAGACAGAAGAACAGGAAACGTATCACCAATGGGAGATTATGTCGATCATGCATGTGATTCTTTATCTGGAGTATTTATCGGAATAACCATGTCTTGTACATTCCTCTTAGGAAATTCTCCGTATTTAGCATTTAGTATGATTTTGTGCTCATTAGTTTTGTTTTATTGTGGCCATTGGGTGTCATACGCAACCGGTACGCTTTATATTATGAAAATTGATGTGGCTGAAATTCTAGTTTCTAGTCAAATTTTGCTTTTAATTACTGCTGCACTTGGAGGACGACTATGGGAAATGGTGCTACCAGTTGTCATTTTACCTATTAATACTTTACCGGTCTTTATGGTATTTTGCGGGAGTTCCATTACGTTTTTTCGTTTTGTTCATATTATCATGAATAAGAACGGTAAAGGTCCCAATAGATCTTCAATCGCACTCGCAAGCATCAAATCACCTTCGATTACAATATGTTTATTATTATTTATTACATTGGTCATTGTGAAACAATCCGGATTAGTTGAAAACCATCTATTTTTGTTTGTTCTGTTTTTTGGAATATTGAATTCCAAACAAACCAATCGTCTCATTATGGCACACCTTACTAGCAGTAAATGGCAAATAGTGGACGTATCTTTTCTAGCTCCGATTACCATATTTTTGAACTACCAGTTACCTAGTGATATTATCGTCAATGATTATTACCTTCTGCTGCTATGTTTGAATTTTGTTGCTATCGACCTTATATGGTATTTTACAGATATGTGTTTGCAGATATCTCGGCGTTTCAACACCACGGTATTCATGGTACATTATAAGGTCACGGGATCTATTAAAAAAAATACTACTGGGGAGAAACATGACTGAATAGACTTTTGAAAATTAAGTACATTTCCCTTTGTTCTTATTTAATAAAGCGGAAGACTGAATTATAATCGGAGTAGATACATAGAACGTATTTAATTAAATTCATAACTTTTCTGAAATATACATTTTTTATTAGCAATAAATGTGCTATGTTGTTGCAGTTAAAGTAACAAAATCATGTGCAGCAGAATACAATTACAATACAATCACCTCAAAGAAGAAAGCACAGATATTTAGTTCTATATTCAGCGATATACCAAGATTTTTCACAACAGTAGCAAGCATGTTTATGCCACTTCCTTCTTTGACAGAGTAACCGCATAGAAAAGCAAAGACTTGAATATTATGACTCATAACACAAAATTAGTCTCGCGTTTATTTACCTCTTTTCTAATCAATCCTTCAGGAAGAGTTGTCGTTACTAATTAGGGTTACCAAAACGGACGTTCGTCACCAAATTGAATGTATGATCGACAACTACATATATATCAGTAATGACTTCATAAATTATGTCAAGCATATAGAAAATAAAGGCCAGCTAGTGGTTGCGTGTCCGTGTCGACCAGAACAAACGGCCAATCAACATTTAGTTATTCAATGTTGGAAGCCTAAGACTAGAAGTGGAGCACATTTAAGAATTTTATTTTGTTGTCGAATGGCTTTTAGTGTCCTTCTTTCTTGCGATTGTATTTGGAACAATGTAGTTTTTAATAAAAATTCACCTAATTCAACCGAAGATTGATTACATTTACAGTATTGAATTAAATATGGTAGGCCTTGAGATTTGAGAAATTGAACTTGGAGGAAAATTCTGTTGACATAGGCGTATCAGATATATATTTGTTGATCTAAATTTTGGGATTCAATAAGTGACGTAATTTGAAAAATCACTACGCAAACATGCGCGAACCAATGTTGGTTTTGCCATCCGAACGACACAGCTGGTTTCATCAAACGCATATTTTACAACGCTCAATGCCGTATAGTATCATTATCATGTTTCAGTTTAGAACAGATTCGGTTTCTCTTGAAGGGTGGATATTAAAATGGACAAATTTTTTAAATGGATATCAGAAAAGGTGGTTTGTCTTAACTGCTAACCAGTTATCTTATTATTTAACACCAGAGGATGTCCCGGAATCGTGCCGCGGTAAGATTTACCTGATTTCGGTTTCTATTAAGAAAGAAAGCAGTACCCGCATCGTCATTTCTAAAGGGGGTAATGTAATTTACGATTTGATTACTCAATCAGAAGCTGACTGTCAGAGGTGGATAACAGCGATGGAGTCGACTCCCGCTAGAGAGTGCGATTTATCTGATACGAGGGTCTTCTCAAACCTCTCACAAATCGAAGAAAAGTTTGAAAATTTGGAGAAATGCCTCAAACTATTATTTAAATAAGAGACCGATTTATATTCAGCGCTTGAAATAATAGAAGAAAATAGGGATTTGTCAAGACTAAGGAAAATATGTAAAAAATTTAAATCATTTGGTCGAGATTCTTCAGAAATGCTGGAAAAATGTTCAAATTTCATCCATGCTGCGAAAATAAAATGCATAGATTTGCATAAATGTATATCTCAGGAAAAAGCCTGCAAACATGTGGCGACGAGTTTTTTGGACGAAATTTCGGATGACGAAGATGAATTTGTAGATGCATCTGGGAGCCTTCTTGTTGGTGAAAGAATTCTGGTAGCCGAACGAAAATCACCAGACGCGTTATTTTCAGAAAATACTGGAGCGCCAAAATCACAGAATTACAGAACAAAAATTCCATTTAAACCAAATCATTGGATAAACCTGTGGAGTATTTTAAAAAACTGCATAGGACGAGATATCACAACATGCCGTTGCCCGTTTATTTTAACGAGCCTCTATCAATATTACAGCGATTAGCAGAAGAGCTCGAATACAGCACGTTGCTAGACAAAGCCGCGGAATGCAAGGACTCTGCCGAACAAATGGCCTTAGTAGTTGCATTTTCTATATCCTCATATTCAACTTCATCAAAACGAACCGGAAAACCTTTCAATCCGTTGCTTGGGGAAACCTACGAACTATAGATTGCTCGACGGAGCGTGGTTTTAAAATAATTTGTGAGCAAGTGAGTCACCATCCACCTATCGCGGCTGTTCATGTCAATTCAACAACAAATGGTTGGACGTTTTGGATGGACGCAACCCCTGAAAGCAAGTTTTGTGGCAATTATTTAATTTTAAAGCCAGTGGGTCTTTGCCATCTGAAATTTCACGATACCGGTCATCATTATACATGGAACAAAGCTACCATAAACGTGAATAATATAATTCTTGGTACAATGTGGATAGACCAAGTAGGAGAATCTGTATTCGAAAATCACTGCACCGGCGATAAATGCCAATTGATATTCTTTCAATACAATCTCTTCTCAAAAGATGATTTCAGAAAAGTTTCGGGAAGAGTGATCGATAAAACTGGAACGGAAGTATATTCAATATTTGGCAAATGGGACAGTTCAGTGACTTGCAAAAAGTTGAAATCTTCCGATACGAAACACGACGGAAGTGATCGATTACTGTGGAAAATCAGTCCACTACCTCCTAATTCAGAGAGGATGTATGACTTTACTTTGTTCTCTTTAATGCTGAATCAGTGGGTAGATGGCTCAGCGCCCACAGACTCGAGAAGAAGACCCGACCAGCGAAAAATGGAAGAAGGTGAGTGGGATATAGCAAACAATATCAAATTAGAACTTGAAGAAAGACAGCGCGAACGAAGGAGACACAAGGAAGCTGAGGATGCAAAACAAATTCCACGAGGCCTTCATGTGAAACCCTACGAACCGCGCTGGTTCAAAAAGGAAAAATGTTCACTTACAGGAGTCATGGTATTTGTTTACAAACACACGAGTACTGGGATGCAAAAGAGATGCAGAACTGGTCGCAAATTATTCCGATATTCAATACATCGAAGCCGGAGTGATTTTACCAGAAATCAAACGGGTTTAAAAATAATCGATGTTCCAAGAGAAGGAACCAAATAACCGCTGAAACACCGATATTGCACATTGCAACTGACGAAGAGAGACAGTGACCCCCACTGTTAGCATTGTGTATGTCAATAATCTGGCAACCGTTGTTGAAGTTTCGCCATTTTGGCGCGTTGTGTTCTCGGCCCAGTCTCTTGCGGCATACATTAGTATCTCTACAATCTGGAATTTATTCTTGATATTTTGTCTATAATACCTCTCTGGTGATGGACTGTATTCAACGGGTTTCATCTTAACGTCCAAAATTATGCACCAAACTCTTGAATTTGATGCAATAAAGAAGTTTCGAGCACACTGCAAGAAGAGTGCGTTCGGACAAACATGAATACATAGCACGCATTTTTCAATCACAGCGTTAAAATTGAAATAAAATCTCTAACGTATGTATTTTTGTGTATGTTTAAAGCGATTTCAATCAGTTTTCAAGTTCAAGTTCAATCCCAAATGTATGTGACTTTGACGTATTTTTAAAGCCATAAACACCAAATATCAAAACATATTGAACATGGTCACATGGCAATTCTGAAGCTTCCGACCAAAACTTCCTATTTAAATGCAATCTAGCAAACCATTAGCTTAATCCTGATCACGTGACTCTGTTTATGCAAAAACGTTCGGACCAGGCGCTCACTCCTTTCAATAGCAAGTCGCAATATTCGTTTTGCTTGGCTGTTAAAAATGGTTATTTCGTGTTGTGCCGTTGGTTTTACGTATAGACAACGAAACGGATCTTCGGTTATATTCCATAGGTTTCCAAAAGATCCGGAACGTCGCGCGAGGTGGTTATCATCTGTTAGGAGAGAGGGTTGGTGTCTCAGCCATCTCGCTCGTGTTTGCGGACAGCATTTCGTTGGTGATGCGTGATACGGTAATGTGCCGTTAACAGTTTCTCTAGATATCCATAAGCTTCTTCATTTTAATGGAAAATGTATGCCAAACAACCGTTGTTGGTAGGCCTACTTGCGTTTCGACTTAGTAAGAAATCACGGCGTCCAAAATGGCGGCATAAACAAAGTCACGTGATCAGTGAAAGTCCTTCATACTTGAAAAATATGCGAGATTTTCTGCAAGAAGTAAAACATAATGTTCTCCAATGCTCTCCATAAATTCTCCAATGCTTTTTTTCTGCTGTGTTTGTCTCTGATGTGCTACTAGCTATTTAAACGAAATTCGGAAACCTGATAGAAATGAGACATGAATTCAGTATGTTCCCCAGCTTTTCATTTTAGGAGGGGTGTTTCGAAATTATAGGGCGTGGTAAATATTTTACTATTTGTGACTATTTGTGAAAAAAATTTGTTATGTATTTGACAAACGATCCACATCAGGGGTTCCCAAAATTAATTGACCGCGGGCCAAAATAGGTAGCAGAAGAATATTAGAAAGCCAGAGAAGGGGAGTGACCAAAATGGCGATACGGCACGGCTGGGGTTAAGGGCTCAAGCGCCCCGAGAAAATTTTGAAAAATAAGCTACAAGACTGATTTTAGATACACCTAGCAGCGCATTTGATTATGTAGTAAAATTAATAAATATATTGGTTAGGTGATAGAATACCGGAGTGAATTTCAACAATGAATTTGCAACTGATAATGACCAATGAAGTTACTTGGGCATCTAGCAAACTGCCTCATATGAATGGCTACTTATGGCTTGTTTTGTTACACAAAAACATCCCAATGTATATATATATATATATATAGAAAAACGGAATGCAAAAATAATTTAGTTTAGTTAACATAGTGTATGTGTATGTTGTATATACCTATGTGTAAATGGGATTGGCTCGAAATCATATGTTCAAAACGTGGCTCCAATCCATTACATTGTATTTGCAATAACGCATTCAAGTGAATATCTGTCAGCCTGGACCGAAGTTTTAATTTGTTAGGGTTCAAAATTGTGTTGTTAGAAAGACTGATGCTGGAAAATTATCTTTTCATATCAGGAGAAATGACTTCTAAACTTGCAGCATACATATATTCGCGGAAAAATTCCCCATTTAACAAACGGGCGATTCTTTTTAGCGATGTTATGGGCTGCACTATAACTGGCCAATAACGTAGATTCACTTTTATTTTTTGAACATCTTTGTTTGACTTTTGTATGAATTTAGCACTGAATTAAATTTTGAAATACGCGCGTTCACTGATCAAAATTTGAAAAATGCTTCGTCTCATAACGAAGCGTAATGTTGTATTCCTTCATAACTGGAATATTTTGTTGACAGGGAAGACAAATCGCTCAAGTTTGATTCTTTTCAATAAAGAAAGAGGAAGGCTGACATTCATCTAAAACTGCAGAAAAACGTCTGTTTTCAGTGTCTAGTTTTTGTTTTTTGGCATATTTAATCTTTCTTAATATATGGCTGATACCTAAATTACTGCCGTATGTAATCCTCCGTATACATAAGATACCGGTATAATTGAATTGTTACGAAATACACACGCTTGAAGTGTGATAATGCTTTAACAATTGGCGGTATCTCAAACGCAAAAATAAAACACATAGTTTAACACAAAGTGTTAAACGTATTAGCATTTATTTGAGGTCAAAGTTTGACCGTTAAATTAATTCACTTAAGTTCGCAGGCCATTTTAAATTGTTGCGCCGGTTTATGGGAACCCGTGATCTACAATTATAAATATGTCATGTACTATATATATATTTAAATACAATTATACTTGAGTCAGATATTACAGTGTGGAACCGCACCTCAAAATGAGGAGGGGGGGAAGGGGTGTTCACCCCCTATAGGGAGGGTGTGGGGAAATCGTGATATGTTACACTGTTCCAGACAGAACCTGAAATAGATAAACTGATACCACCCATCTCATTGAACTGTACTAATCACATGCAATAAATATATGCTTGATACAACGGGTTGCTATTGTAAATTCTTAAGTAGGCTGCGTGTCAAAGGAAATATTGCAAAGTGACTGTTTTAAGAAGTTTGAAAACCACTCTAACCCAATACAGACTTCTTTTATAGTTATGGAATAAACCGACAGTTTAATCCAGCAGGTAAAAGTTGGAATATTCAAGATGGATTATCACATTTAAGATTTGATATATATAAAGTTATAGAGAAAGGACTTCATAACAAGTGAATAAATTTGTTTTGACAACAAATCTTTAACAATTTAAAAGCAAATCACAAGGCGATATTGCACAATATTGTAATCAAACTCCCTCAATAGTTTCAAATGCTTTAAATTGGTTAAAATGTACAGGTTTGTTTGTGTTCATTCAGTCTAGCAAAAATAATCATTGTTGCTTTTAAAAAAATTAGCGGGATAAATGGAAAGTACTCAATAGAGAGGGGTCAGATCTTCAGCAAGAACAATCTGCTAAATCAGGGTGATCCAAACCCTGGCACACGGGCACCCTTGACAGATATTTGTATTTATTGGCAACACGTTTTTTCAGCTATTCTAACTGAGATCAGCTATTCTAACTTCTAATTGTCTTTTGTAAATAGGGCGCGGCCAATAAACCGGCACCAAAACAATTCTATAAAATGCCCATTCGTTCGATAACAAGAACAACAAAGATTCGGCATGCGTATAGTGTACTTTGGATTTTGTCTGGATGTCAGCCTGTTTAGAATTGTTCATCTGTATTCGTAAATATATACGATTTTAATAAGGCAAACGGCGAATTGTATCCGTCAGATCAGAAATAAACAGCTTATCACCAGAAAATACACCACAGTCTAGCCTAGCATACAGATATATTTGCTACAATATGTCGCCCGAGCAGTTTGGTAACGCATTATTATGAAAGTCATAAGCTAATAATATTACTCCAAATGTCATGAAATCTTTAACCTTGAGTATATTTAGCAATTGTCTGGAGACGCTGCTTCTGTTTCCTGAAATCAATTATTGAGAGGAAGTGCATTATCCGTCTGGGACGCAATACACGTCAGTTATGCGCTGTAGCCTCACTGATTCTGTCGTGGTTCATAGCAGTGTAGAAGGACGTTTGGGAGATTGTGAGTCGATAGCGATATATAAATACACCAAAAAACTCGATGAGATACTATCTAATCGGCTTCAAGCTTGGGAGCATTGTGATACGACATGAATACAAGAGAGCTACGATCAAATTTATGACCGATCCTAACGGTATGATCTGAGAGTACTGAGTTTGCTGGAAGAAAAAGCAGGCAACCATTACGCAGGCGGTTATTCAATGCAGTTTACAAAGTGTCCCTATTCAAGCTATATAAAACAGAAGAAGTTTTGTTAAAATATAGGTAGGACTCAGCGAAAATTTTGGTGGAGTGAAAGTTATACTAGGGTTACCATATCTGAAAAGACAAAATCCCTGACAAAATTTTAATGAGCCACATTGATCAATTTTGCAACCAAAAACATCTATATTACGGTATAAATTCGCGATGTATTCCAGGGCACAAGCTGTCGTCGTTTTCGCGTGAGAATAGAATAAATACAGAACAAAACGAAAGGGGCAAAATTGTTGCTCAATCTTTAGCACTAGTGACTAAACCCTAGCACGGAATAAAGTACAAGTAAGGTGGTGCAACCAAGATACCGATTACAAAATGCTGGCTATTCAGGTCATATGTGACATCACTAATATCTGAATTCAACGCAATCTCTGTTGCACAAAAATGCTAGAATGTGACATATCCCTGAAAAAAATAGGATTTCGTGGATGCGCAATATCTGAACTCATGGATTTGTAGCAGGGATTCACTGTATTCGAAAATCCCTGACATTTAAGTACTTTTCAACATTTCTCCCTGACGCAAATTTAACCACTCAAATCCCGGACATGACAGGAAAAAATATGGCTTATGGGCCGTTATGGCAACCCTAAATTATACCCTGGACGAATACGAATTGGACATACATAATATCTGTTGTAGTGTATGGAATTACGGGGTGTCTCAAAAATGCCGTGTCTCACTTATAATACGTGTCCCACTTGTCTCACGTGGTGCACTTGTCCCATGTCTTCCACTTGTATTACGTGTACCACTTGTATCCTGTGACCCACTTGTCCCATTTGCAGCCCTAATTGTCCCACTTGTCAAACGTAACCCTTGACCCAGTTGTCCTACTTGCCCCGCTTATCAGTATTGCCAATATCGACCATTTTTTGTGTTATCGGTATCGACTAAAAATAGACCGATATTTTAGAGATATTCCGCTTTTTGACCTGATCTAGAATGTTTTAAAAGATAAATTAGTATATGGATGATGATAACTGAAATTCTTCTTCGTCGTGGAGGAATCATAAACTCTTCACAATGGTTATAGTAAAGTAGGCGATTGCGTACAAGCGTACTGAGCGTGATGACAACCGAGTCACGCTCGCTTCCCACCCTCACTGGCATTGTAACCTTACGTTTTCTGGTGCCATGACGTTTAATTGCGATTTTGATCTTCTTCCTGTTTTTATCTCTAAGTTATTACCAAATATACTTACCTGTAACTACAATTTTATATATTACGCAAATTCCTGCGCCTGTGCTCACGCAACTATGCATATGTACTAGGTTGGAAAGCAATTTACAGTGCAGTTGATTCAAGTACCCCCAAGTTGTTAGCTTTGATTCTAATGGCACGTCATTTATGCAGTTGAATCACAAATACCAGTTTTTTATGTTCTGGAACATCTGATCACTGTAAATAAAGTTCGCAGAAAACTATTTTATCCTGTCTGTCCCTCACAACCAAAATGGTGACGGCATTTTGAAACATCGGCGTGTGAACAGGCGATCCAAATTTTTGAATTAGGAAATAACTTTATAATTACAACAGTTTCATCAGGTATAGTTCACAAGAGCGTAGCCAGCTCAAAATTTTGAATTGGGGGGTATATAATGAAGTGATACGACGCTCCCTCGTGTATTTTGGTCTGAACAAAGCCATATACTAGTATATACTGGTATCTATCTATCAATATAAAAAATCGCTCTACAGACGTACGTCGCTGTTGAAGTTATCCAGGGCATACATATAAGCGCGCATTTTCATCTTGTTTGGTTCATTTTCTGAAAGAATTATTGATAGCAAGCCAGAAAACGTCCGGTTATTAGTAAATCGTTCAAGAATAGAGCAAAATGATGTTGAAAATTGCGTATGGATTTACTCCTTACTGCAAACGCCGCCAAATTACATTTAAAAAAACTTGTTGATTTTTTTTTTTTGGAGAGTGGGGAATAAGCCAACCCAAGTCGAATTATTCGAATATTTTCAACGAACACAACAACGAATAATGAGTATACTGTCATTTCAAACAACCGTATTTGGGATGTCGGCCGCCGAAACGATCGCCGTGACAATTTTATTTTTCGGAATTTACTTCAAGACTGAAAACTTCGCAACAATGCAGCGATTTTCATTTCCTAATTTTGTCATAATCCAAGGCCGCAGTAAATATTTTTGTCACCGCGATCCTTTCGGCGGCTTGACATCCCAATTGATGATGATAAACTATATTAAAGCACTTTTTATTCACTAGTATATATTAATTCTCGTGCAACGGCGGATATCGCAGTTTGGTTTTTATTTTTTGGACAGAAATTTGATTTCACATCGGCGACGATTTCAAAGACAATTATTTAAGAGGTGCATTCACAACACAAATTAATTTTATGCTGCTTTTTATCTTTTTTGAAGGATTTGTATCACAGTTTGTAAATTAAGGTCCCAATTTTAAGCGAACAGTATTACTGACCCCAGAATGCGATATTTGTGAAGCTGATAGTTGACTTTTTTATGCTTTTAATTTTATATCGTGTCCGTGTTACTTTCGTATTAAATAATAATAATTAAAAACTCCGCAAATTGGTAATCTCTCTAATACTCAGTGGTGAGAATTCACGTAACTCAGTTTTGGAATAAAACACTGATACTAAATACTTGAATAAATCGGCAATAATGGCATTTCCACGTGGTCAAAATAATATTTCTCCCCGTCCCCAATATCTCGGAAAATTTCTATAAAATACAGAATTTACCAGTCGTACTTATCTGGTTTGACAATTCTAAATTTACAGAAACGGTGTTGGCGCGCTTTATTCAAAATTAGAAATTAAAAAATATGATAATCCTTACCCGCAAGTGGGACACGTAGGACAAGTGGAACACGTGGTACACGTAGGACACGTGGTACAGTGGGACACAAGGTACAAGTGGAACACGTGGTACAAGTTGGACACGTGGGACACGACATTTTGGAGACACCGCCCCCAGGCTATGCCTTCAGTTCACCTATACTTCAATTTCAATAGCTTTGGGACAAGTAGGACACATGGTACAAGTTGGACACTGGGGCACGTGAAAAGCCCCAAATTTTCGAGTCACTGGAATTACGCAACTAAAAGCAATTGAGCACCGGGTAGTCCCGAGGTATCTACTCTAGATACTCTTTAATCGGTCTTTAAACATGTGAACATTGTGATAATACATGTCGTGTTCATACATGCTGGGGCTTTGTAGGCTAAATTAAAACAATAATTATCAGCGAATCGTAACCCCAACGATATTTAGGTAGTATTAACTCATCTAACTTTTTATTATTATTCATCAGTTACCTTCAATTATTTGTCTACTGTTGTAGTAGTTCGATAGCTCTCAACACACCTTCAGTATAGATAGAATGTACATTCTAAATGAAGCACAACTTAAGCGTCTGGATAAGTACAAGGAGAGCGTGCAGGGAACTTGTACCGTGGAAAAGTACATTGAACCATTCTGGGAATGGCTGATAAAATACTTTCCTGTGTGGATTCCATTCAATGCAATAACCTTAGTCGGTTTATTTGTCAATGCATTTGGAACGCTAATGATGCTATATTATACATCATATGGTAAAACGGCCGCGCCATCCTGGGTATATATTGCCAATGCAATAGCAATGTTCGCAGCTCAAACGCTGGACATATTCGATGGAATGCAGGACAGAAGAACAGGAAGCGTATCGCCGATCGGAGATTATGTCGATCATGCATGTGATTCCTTATCTGGAGTATTTATCGGAATAACCATGTCTTGTACATTCCTCTTAGGAAAATTTCCGTATTTAGCATTTAGTATGATTGTGTGCTCATTAGTTTTGTTCTATTGTGGTCATTGGGTGTCATACGCAACCGGTACGATTCATGTTATGAAAATTGATGTGGCTGAAATTCTAGTTTCTAGTCAAATTTTGCTTTTAATTACTGCTGCACTTGGAGGACGACTATGGGAAATGGTGCTACCAGTTGTCATTTTACCTATTAATACTTTACCGGTCTTTATGGTATTTTGCGGGAGTTCCATTACGTTTTTTCGTTTTGTTCATATTATCATAAACAAGAACGGTAAAGGTCCCAATAGATCTTCAATCGCACTCGCAAGCATCAAATCACCTTCGATCACAATATGTTTATTATTATTTATTACATTGGTCATTGTGAAACAATCCGGATTAGTTGAAAACCATCTATTTTTGTTTGTTCTGTTTTTTGGAATATTGAATTCCAAACAAACCAATCGTCTCATTATGGCACACCTTACTAGCAGTAAATGGCAAATAGTGGACGTATCTTTTCTAGCTCCGATTACCATATTTTTGAACTACCAGTTACCTAGTGATATTATCGTCAATGATTATTACCTTCTGCTGCTATGTTTGAATTTTGTTGCTATCGACCTTATATGGTATTTTACAGATATGTGTTTGCAGATATCTCGGCGTTTCAACACCACGGTATTCATGGTACATTATAAGGTCACGGGATCTATTAAAAAAAATACTACTGGGGAGAAACATGACTGAATAGACTTTTGAAAATTAAGTAGATTTCCCTTTGTTCTTAATTCTTATTTAATAAAGCGGAAGACTGAATTATAATCGGAGTAGATACATAGAACGTATTCAATTAAATTCATAACTTTTCTGAAATATACATTTTTTATTAGCAATAAATGTGCTATGTTGTTGCAGCTAATGTATTAAAATCATGTGCAGCAGAATACAATTACAATACAATCACCTTAAAGAAGAAAGCACATTTAGTTTTATATTCAGCGATATACCAAGATTTTTCACAACAGTAGCAAGCAAGTTTATGCCACTCCCTTCTTTGACAGAGTAACCGCATAGAAAAGCAAAGACTTGAATATTATGACTCATAACACAAAATTAGTCTCGCGTTTATTTACCTCTTTTCTAATCAATCCTTCAGGAAGAGTTGTCGTTACTAATTAGGGTTACCAAAACGGACGTTCGTCACCAAATTGAATGTATGATCGACAACTACATATCAGTAATGACTTCATAAATGATGTCAAGCATATAGAAAGTAAAGGCCAGCTAGTGGTTGCGTGTCCGTGTCGACCAGAACGAACGGCCAATCAACATTTAGTTGTTCAATGTTGGAAGCCTAAGACTAGAAGTGGATCACATTTAAGAATTTTATTTTGTTGTCGAATGGCTTTTAGTGTCCTTCTTTCTTGCGATTGTATTTGGAACAATGTAGTTTTTAATAAAAATTCACCTAATTCAACCGAAGATTGATTACATTTACAGTATTGAATTAAATATGGTAGGCCTTGAGATTTGAGAAATTGAACTTGGAGGAAAATTCTGTTGACATAGGCGTATCAGATATATATTTGTTGATCTAAATTTGGTGATTCAATAAGTGACGTAATTTGAAAAACCACTACGCAAACATGCGCGAACCAATGTTTGTTTTGCCATCCGAACGACACAGCTGGCTCCATCAAACGCATATTTTACAACGCTCAATGCCGTATAGTATCATTATCATGTTTCAGTTTAGAACAGATTCGGTTTCTCTTGAAGGGTGGATATTAAAATGGACAAATTATTTAAATGGATATCAGAAAAGGTGGTTTGTCTTAACTGCTAACCAGTTATCTTATTATTTAACACCAGAGGATGTCCCGGAATCGTGCCGCGGTAAGATTTACCTGATTTCGGTTTCTATTAAGAAAGAAAGCAGTACCCGCATCGTCATTTCTAAAGGGGGTAATGTAATTTACGATTTGATTACTCAATCAGAAGCTGACTGTCAGAGGTGGATAACAGCGATGGAGTCGACCCCCGCTAGAGAGTGCGATTTATCTGATACGAGGGTCTTCTCAAACCTCTCACAAATCGAAGAAAAGTTTGAAAATTTGGAGAAATGCCTCAAACTATTATTTAAATACGAGACCGATTTATATTCAGCGCTTGAAATAATAGAAGAAAATACGGATTTGTCAAGACTAAGGAAAATATGTAAAAAATTTAAATCATTTGGTCGAGATTCTTCAGAAATGCTGGAAAAATGTTCAGATTTCATCCATGTTGCAAAAATAAAATGCATAGATTTGCATAAATGTATATCTCAGGAAAAAGCCTGCAAACATGTGGCGACGAGTTTTTTGGACGAAATTTCGGATGACGAAGATGAATTTGTAGATGCATCTGGGAGCCTTCTTGTTGGGGAAAGAATTCTGGTAGCCGAACGAAAATCACCAGACGCGTTATTTTCAGAAAATACTGGAGCGCCAAAATCACAGAATTACAGAACAAAAATTCCATTTAAACCAAATCATTGGATAAACCTGTGGAGTATTTTAAAAAACTGCATAGGACGAGATATCACAACACTGCCGTTGCCCGTTTATTTTAACGAGCCTCTATCAATATTACAGCGATTAGCAGAAGAGCTCGAATACAGCACGTTGCTAGACAAAGCCGCGGAATGCAAGGACTCTGCCGAACAAATGGCCTTAGTAGTTGCATTTTCTATATCCTCATATTCAACTTCATCAAAACGAACCGGAAAACCTTTCAATCCGTTGCTTGGGGAAACCTACGAACTAGATTGCTCGAAGGAGCGTGGTTTTAAAATAATTTGTGAGCAAGTGAGTCACCATCCACCTATCGCGGCTGTTCATGTCAATTCAACAACAAATGGTTGGACGTTTTGGATGGACGCAACCCCTGAAAGCAAGTTTTGTGGCAATTATTTAATTTTAAAGCCTGTGGGTCTTTGCCATCTGAAATTTCACGATACCGGTCATCATTATACATGGAACAAAGCTACCATAAACGTGAATAATATAATTCTTGGTACAATGTGGATAGACCAAGTAGGAGAATCTGTATTCGAAAATCACTGCACCGGCGATAAATGCCAATTGATATTCTTTCAATACAATCTCTTCTCAAAAGATGATTTCAGAAAAGTTTCGGGAAGAGTGATTGATAAAACTGGAACGGAAGTATATTCAATATTTGGCAGATGGGACAGTTCAGTGACTTGCAAAAAGTTGAAATCTTCCGATACGAAACACGACGGAAGTGATCGATTACTGTGGAAAATCAGTCCACTACCTCCTAATTCAGAGAGGATGTATGACTTTACTTTGTTCTCTTTAATGCTGAATCAGTGGGTAGATGGCTCAGCGCCCACAGACTCGAGAAGAAGACCCGACCAGCGAAAAATGGAAGAAGGTGAGTGGGATATAGCAAACAATATCAAATTAGAACTTGAAGAAAGACAGCGCGAACGAAGGAGACACAAGGAAGCTGAGGATGCAAAACAAATTTCACGAGGCCTTCATGTGAAACCCTACGAACCGCGCTGGTTCAAAAAGGAAAAATGTTCACTTACAGGAGACATGGTATTTGTTTACAAACACGAGTACTGGGATGCAAAAGAAATGCAGAACTGGTCGCAAATTATTCCGATTTTCAATACATCGAAGCCGGAGTGATTTTACCAGAAATCAAACGGGTTTAAAAATAGTCGATGTTCCAAGAGAAGGAACCAAATAACCGCTGAAACACCGATATTGCACATTGCAACTGACGAAGAGAGACAGTGACCCCCACTGTTAGCATTGTGTATGTCAATAATCTGGCAACCGTTGTTGAAGTTTCGCCATTTTGGCGCGTTGTGTTCTCGGCCCAGTCTCTTGCGGCATACATTAGTATCTCTACAATCTGGAATTTATTCTTGATATTTTGTATATAATACCTCTCTGGTGATGGACTGTATTCAACGGGTTTCATCTTAACGTCCAAAATTATGCACCAAACTCTTGAATTTGATGCAATAAAGGAGTTTCGAGCACACTGCAAGAAGAGTGCGTTCGGACAAACATGAATACATAGCACGCATTTTTCGATCACTGCGTTAAAATTGAAATAAAATCTCTAACGTATGTATTTTTGTGTATGTTTAAAGCGATTTCAATCAGTTTAAGTTAAGTTTAGGTTAAATCTCAAATGTATGCGACTTTGACGTATTTTTAAAGCCCTAAACACCAAATATCAAAACATATTGAACATGGTCACATGGCAATTCTGAAGCTTCCGACCAAAACTTCCTACTTAAATGCAATCTAGCAAACCATTCGCTTAATCCTGTATATCTGCGCAACAATCCCAGTCATAATTCGAACACCCTTGAAATCATAACAGGCACCTTACTGGTTTCTATAGCTAGTTCAAAATTACACTGATATTCTCCTTAAATTCGCTGAAAAGAAGCTGTAATACAGCAGCAGCACAATTCTATAAAACTTGAAAACATCACAGAAACCTTCTTTACAACACCATATATTTTATGAACGAATTGATATCGAACAGCAAACATTATTATTACTTGGTCATAAATTGCACCATCATATTAAAGATATACACATTTGAAAAATATCCAAAATGCATTGTAAATAATCAGTAAACAGAACTAGATGTTTTCAGTTTCATTTCTTAAACACGATGGTAAAATATATGACGCATGTTCGCGGCAAAACTTGTTTCATGATTTATATGTAAACACACACATAACTACGATCTTGGTTAATATAGTTAATTATTGGCCAATAAATAAATGTTTAAACAGCAATTATGGAACATTTATCCTCTAATAATTTGTCACCTGAAACGACAATGGAACACAATTGAACTAAAATTATTTCAGAAACTTTGAATACAACTCAATCTAGAAATCATATTGAATAGAGCTTTACACAGGACCTTGAACTCACGTAAACTGACTATACAAGCTGTAGCATACTATGAATGATATCTAATCGGCACAAAGCAAAGCAACACCGCGTTCATGGAAACTAAGTTCATCTCCTTCTATTTCAAACTTCAATGTGAAAAGTAGATCTGATCTCATTCCATTGCGATATACTGGTAAAGTAACCTGTGAAAATAAGTTGTTCAGTCATACAAGCGCGGAAATAAAATGTATGGATATCAGTGAGGCTTGAAAACAATATTTCATATTACTAGACCAGGGTTGGCAAACCAATTAAAGTCAGTCGGGTATATTTTTGCCTTGTAATATATATCTTCTGTAAATGGTCACAGTACATGCAATAACATAATAATAATGCAGAGTATGCAGAATGGAAAATATTAAGGCATTCCAGCGCTGAAGATAACTCGACTTTATAGGAACTGCTTATACAGAGGTTTTTAGGAAGACGTGTAATAATGAATTGCATTTATTCTGTTTAAACTTTTCACTGATGACAAAGAAACTTTTCATGGATATATCTGAAAGCAAATATAACATATTTAATTAAAATCAAACTACACAAGAAAAAGTCACAAACCATGTTTCCAGATTTTTTGACCGAATCAGTTTTGACCCAGGAAAGCAGAGTCAATGGAAGTTTTGTTGACAATTCATTCGACAAACTCAGCTTATTTTTCACACAATTTGCTCCTTGAAGAATCAAACCTGAAGCACAAAAATAGGGACATAAAATTCGATCCAGAAGGGCAACCTAGGCTTTCTATAAATCCAACACATAGATCCTAACCATTCCAACATTCAATGTTAGTTGCAATTATAATGTGATTGCATAACCTCTCTTATTGATAGGCATTCAATATCAGTTAGAACCCCCAAACTGCGGGTCGCACATCAAATTTTTCGGGGGTCCCACTCCCAAAAAGTACACCAATTTCACACAATGTACTACTATATCTACAGTATTATTTTAGACTTTTGATTCGATTTTTGATTATTAAAACTAGTGCAATACATGAATTTCACAATTTCGAGAGAATACATAAGATCAGAGAAGCGGTACGCTTGCATAACAATGCTGACTTAACAGGGGGTTGCGGCAAAATTTGATATATTGTAAGGGATCACGAGCTTGGAAGTTTGGGAAGCCTTGAGTAAAAAAACTAACAGACAATCATTACATAAGATATAAATGGCAAAGCTGTCAAGCCATAAAAATATCAACAATTTTTCAAACAAAACATGAATAAAATTTTTTCTTAGTTCTTAGTTCTTCTACCCGTTTTCTACACCTTGTTGAAAAAAAAAAACTATATACCTGTCGTTGCAAAACTATTTCCATCAATTTGTACATCGGTAGTGCCTTTGTCCAATACTTTGACAACAAGAGATAATTCTTCAAGTGAGATACTGTTAGCTTGTGCAACAAATTGTCGGGTAGCTGTTATATAAGCTTCAGGGACGAAAAGTCCACCAAGCCAAACTTTCAAATTCTAGAAAATGATCAGATATAATCACCATTCATTACATCCAAATACATTGCAATATAGGGATAAAGACAATTGAAGTTATAACGCTGTTTGGAATTAGGCATTAGTAAGGTAACAAACAATACTTTGTTTGTGGAGACTGTTTTTTTCTTATTTAAAAATTCACCAAATAGGGAGACAAGATGAATAAATTGAACAATTTACATAATTCGGTTTTTCGTATTTAAATCTTGTAAGGGGAAAGCGAAGAAATGACTTAATTATATGGTAAACCACAGCATCTCATCTGATTACTCCTGCGTGTTGAATTATGAGAGAGGTACAGCCTATTTGTTCCAGATGAATGGACTTGGTAGCGAAGTGGGTCGTAACCAACCAGTGGTTATATGAACCATTACAATTAGCATACGCAGGATTCAAACCTGCAAATCCAGGCCGTGTAACCAGTGGTGCAATGACAAGAATGTTTCTAACGCTTAGCAAAGGCTTTGGAACACAAAATGCTTTATTATATTACATAAATTAGGTTTTAGGAAATGCATAAACGCTTCTCTCACACTCACTTTTACATATTAGAAATTAATTGAGCCAAATTCTATCATGATGTTGTGTGGACTGTTAACCAGACAACAAAGAGCTTTCATGTATTATATGATTAACATTTGTCAATCTTTCTTTCTTTTATAAACATAAAAATCATATATCTTATGTTAGCTGATATAATTAAAAAGGCCGACAAAGCTTAACAAATGTTATTTAGCACTGACGAGCACAGAATTCAGTTAATGAGTCTTATATGAAAATTGAGGTAATACTCGAATGGCTACATAAAGAATAATAAAAGAAGAAGTAAATTGTGGATTTACTTTCAAGCCTTGAGTGCCAGATGCTGCAGAAACTCTTTGTAATTGTTGAATTCTCTCACTGAAATCAGTTATCCATTGCATGACTGTCCATCCCGCTGGTATTTTATACCTGAAATAAATGAATACGGTAGTAACAAAGAAGGAAAGAATATGTCAGTCACAATAATTTAACTTTCAAATAAGAATTTTCATATCAAATATTGCTCATTATGTCTGAAAATAGTGATCAGATTCTGAAAATATTATTTGATAATTTCATGCTACTACAACTTTGCCTAAATATACTTAGATAAAAGGAAATGGGCTCGTTACAAAGTGGTTCCATCGAGCAGTGTTGCTCACAATAACTACGAATTGAGACAGTCTAGTTCTTACTCTTTTTACAAAAGATATGCAAACTAATTCTTATAATTAATACATATATATTAGTAGCATGTGCATTAGAAAAGGGAGTACTGTATTACGTTGGGCGATAGTCAAGTTTAAAACCAAATTTTAGCCATTACTTATTCAAAATTAATCCAACCATTTACCATTGGTAAATCTCTACAACCAACGTCAAAGATGTGTATAAATATGTTCGTATTTTATCTTTTTTCATTCTGGCAGAACTGCCCAAGCAAAAAAAGGTTTTGATTAGTTTTTACATACTTATTCCAAGATTCTGGCAGAATTCCTTTAGTAAGCTGAGCAATTAGTGTTCGATGATAATTAGTTTGTTTCTTTCTTGCATCACACACTGATATAACTTCGGCCAAGTCAGATTGTACATCCTTCAATAACTTCACACCAAGGTTCACTTCTCTTTCAAAGAATCTATGAGATAAACAATAAAAATAATAAATACAATGTACACCAAAGAGTAGACCGAAATAGAAAAAAAAGTTCATGGTAAGTCATTACAACATTGGGCTAATGATCTACGCTATTAAAAAATCTACTTTTGTGAAAATAGGGCAAAATAATAATCTTGTCATAGCAAAATATACTATACCAAGGTTAAGAGTTGCCAACTGTTTCTAATACTATTACTGAAGGTTGCTGAGGTTCAAATTGAAAAAATATTTTTGATAAAAAGTGTCTGTTATTTTTTGACAAAATGAAGCAAAAACAACTTTTATCATGAATTTTTCCTTTTTCCCATTCACACATTTGGTTCTAAGGGGTGGCTGTACAACCTTTAATACAGGAGGCCCAGATACAAGTAACTGGGTGAAACCGCGTAACGCACCGTTTTTAACATAGGTAGGCTTTCTAGAGTTTGCAGGCACAAATATTTTGGTATTGGCTTTGCAACGCGAAGGGATTGGGATTACTCACACAATCCAGATTAAACTGAAGTAAAATACCGTTTTGCGGGCCGAACACCATTCAAAATTGGCACTTCTCCACAGGCTGCACAATTTTTCCTTGCGGGCCACATGTGGCCCACGATCCGCAGGTTGCACACCCCTGCTTTCATCGCTTAGCCATCGTGCCCACAGCCATATTCATAATTAAAAATGAAAGGAAAAAACAAAACCTGAAGAGTGGATCCTTGATATTTTCAGCAGTTCTCAACAATCCTCTAAGTTGTGTTGGAATAACAGATTTCCAATTTCGTGCAGTTTTTAACAATGATCTCATCCATTGTGGTCTTCCGTCACCTTCAGATAATGTAGACGAAGTTCTTCTACGTCTTGATTTACCATCAGATGATTCAGTGAAAGTCACCTAATGGTGTAGCAAATGAAATAGGATCACAAGTCTTAAGCATAAAATATAACTTATAATCAGACCAGTACAAAGTCTTACAACCTGCTTCAATCACAGATTGAAAAATAATTTGTTGACAAACAGTAACAGGCTATGTTACTAGGAGTATATATATTAATCGAGATAGTGCAAAACAATCCTATATTTTAATGCCATAAGCAGTATTCTAGTAAAATGAAATTAAAATATTTGTTATTGGACATATTTTCAAAATTATAAATATCAATGGTTATAGTTAACGAAAATCAACAAAAAATTTTGGTCCAATTGTATTCTGTTTTTAACATTAGTAAAACATAGAAAATAAAGGAGGATAGAATCAATCTAAATAACAAACTTATTTTTTAAGCACATAACACCTGCATAAAACGTAACAACATTACTGTAATAATTTCAACTTGTCATTTCAGCAATAACATAACCAAAGGCAGTGTTGAACAGTGAAGCAAAAAAATACACCAAAAGTTTATAATTTAGAATTTTTTCTCAATCTATACATTTTTTCAAGCCAAAATTTGACAAAAAAAAAGAGAATAGAAAAGACGCTTCGAATTCAATACCAATAGCAATGAATCAAGGCTTAGAAAAATCCCAAGAACCATTACAATAATATATAATGAATTATCCTTTCAAGGATTTGTGGAAACAGTTTCAATATTTCTAACAAGTGATAATATGCATTCTGTTTATTAATAAGGACCAGCAACACCATAGAAAGCCACCCAATAAATAAAATAAAAAGCAACAAAAAGCATTTGTGAAGTGCGATATATTATACACAAATATTCGTGATAATATTCTGTGACAGAAGCAACAACTCTTTACCAAAATTTCTTTCAATTCCTCCTCCATTGCTTTCTGCATTGTTAAATTAATAGTAAACAATAGTTATAATTAGGTTTGCAATCCCATTATTAGTCACCAAAGCAGTTACTATTAGCTGCAATAAGGTTATATTACAAAAAATTATGACTGTAAAATAATTTGCCTACTTTCACTGGTCAATTACAGCTTCATATTATGCTAACAATTCACGAATAAAAATTTTAATTAATTTCAAATCTACTTGATCAGATATCTGAAATAGTTTTATTACTTATCGATCTTAAGATCGGTAAGTATATTGATAGGTATTTGTCTGTCTGTCTGTGTGTCTGTTAGATGCACGCGATATCTCACGAAAGCGAGATTGAATCTGCTCCAGATTTTGCATGTGCATTCATCTTATCTCGGACCAGAAGCCTATTGATTTTGGGCGAATTATGTCGTATAATTAGCGAGTTATCAATCAATTATTGATATAGTGATCTAGATTTTTGTAAAGCGAGAGAATTTTGAAACCCGCCGAGTGTGTGTGTGCGATGCGCAGTGCGCAAGTTACAAGAGCGGATGAATCGAAACTGCAGTTTCTGTTTTGGGGGATACCCTAACTATCGATCGATAAGTCTTCGGTTTCCAACCGATATTCTCGTTTTATCTCTTGTCAAGCCTAATTACGCAAAGATCTAGTACCCAGATTTTTCCCTTCCCAAACATTCACATTTTACACTGTTCTGATATATAATCTATATATATATGAACCAGGGAACCATCTGGTGGGCAGGCACATGAGATACTCCTCATGTTTTAAACTTTTTTATAGGTTTTGCCTGCCCTCCAGAATTTTCCATTTTCAATTTATGTTTGTTATGTCGTTTTCGAAATAAACTATCTAACTATCTATCTAACCAACGGTCAAATATATGGACAGGAAGCACAGGTATGAAATCTGTCACAGTACACTACCGGTACCGGAATCCTCAATACTAATGCGTAATGGAACACCACTAGTTGCGTAATTTTTGATGACGTCATGGCACACAATAGACTGATCCCATAGAGGCCACAGGATTTTTTGAAAAAATGAAAGTAATAACCTTCTAGCAAAAAATACAATCTCCAACATCTGAAAATTTCTAAGCATTGGTCCAGTAATTGAGGAGAAAAGTTCAATGTCCAATTATGACAAATGTTAAGAAGCTGCTAGGTTAACAAAAAACACAAGAAACCAACCTTTTCATAAGTTAGATCATCTTCTTCATCAAGGAGTTGAGTTCTGAGTAACTTTCGAACAATGTCGGTTCCTGCAATAGAAAATATCTATAAATAGTACTGTTGTCATGAAATACTGAATACCTACATCATAACATTTTTATAACTAATCTCCTTAGAAGTATTGAAATTTTTCCGAGCTTTTGGCGATGGAATTTTTATATTTTAAACTAGTAACTATGAGAGGAAATGGTTAAGCCTAATTAGCTTAACCTATATTCACAATAGTTTGAAATTAGCAGTATGTATCTAATGTAATTTGTACTGCACGGTGTTGGTTGGTTTAATATATTTGTACCTTTGGTGTTACTGCTTGATAACCAGTTTCCCTCCCCCAGAGAAATGTGTGTTTAATTTTATTCTTTTAAATTTTGCATGCTATTTTTACTGTATGAAAAAAATAAACTTGACTATGTTATACAAGTATGTCATCGACACTGAAGAGGTTATTTGGATCATATTCCAGAGATAATATAACTTTTGTGCAGAGCCGCTTTGACTATTGAAGCCTACTGCACAAACAGAAGTTTAAGAGTAAACAAACCTAAATAAATTTTCTTCATTTTCATAGATGTAATTAGGAAAATTCATGGGTTCTGTTTCCTTGCAACACCTTGTATTAGAGCCACGCCATATTAATTTACTATTCAGATTTTGGAATACATTTGAAAATTTAAAAAAATATTTTTGAATAAAGTTTTTTTCTATCTATATAGTTTTAGAACTCTATTTGTCGCATGACCACCAAACAATAAACTATCGTAAACTATTTTTAAATTAAAAATTCATAATATTGAATATAAGTTATTTAGATATTGATTCAAGCATTCGATTCAATTTGAGATTCCTGTCATATCATTGAAATGATTATTTGGGGGTAGATATGGAGTCCTTAATTCCCATACAAAGACAAATACATGTTTAGGAAGGTAAATCAAAAATGTGGCCAATACCTCTTGCAGTAAGTAACAATTTCTCAGCATTGTTAGGCAATCCAAGCCATGAAGGGGTTTGTTTTTCTGGTAAACATTCAGTCCATTCAACAAATTGTTGTTGTCTTGTGGCTTGTTCCATCATAACAATACCACGGCCAGACAATCCAGAACCTTCTGTTGGTTTAACAAGAGCGAAATCATGCTCAAAACTGAAACAATAAAAAATTGAGAATAAATAAAAGTGACATAAACCAGGGCTTCCCAAACTTTTAAGCATGCGACCCCTTCCAATATATAAAAATTTTCAGCAACCCCTGTTATATCCGCATCGTTATGCAAGTGCGTATTTTCTGGGTTTTACAATCAAAGTCGGCATTGCTATGCAGGCATGCTGCTTCTCTGGTATTATGTATTTTCTCGAAATTGTGAGATTTATTTTTTGCACTAGTTTTAATAATTGTGTTTCAAATCAAAAGTCTAGAAAAGTACAATAGATATAGTACTTTGTGTGAGATTGGTGTACTCTTTGCGACCCCTAAAGTTCGTTGCGCGGACCTCTGCGATGTCGTGAGCCCCAGTTTGAGAAGTCCTGACAAAAACGATACTACCCACAAACCTATATTTTCTACAAAGAATTGGAAATAAGACTTTGAAATGTTTTTATGGGGAGTCTCTAACAAAGCGCTGGATCAGCTAAATTCAACTGAACTAAATATATCACACACTGCATGAGGTATAGACTTGTGGGCATAAATTTCCAACTCTATATCTTTAATCCATGATGTCAATGTAGCACGAACCATGTTGGAAAATATTTACCAAATTGGGAAATAGTGCAGTTCAATAAGGTAACAATGGACATAATGGTATTATTATAATGGCCACGAAATAATTTTTGATTGTTAGATTCCTGAAAGCTCTCGAGGAAACAGAAACAGAATTGTTTGAACCATATTCTTACAACGACATATAAAAATTTACAGATCTTTTTATTATTCAAATTTAATAGGGAATCAATCAGTATGTCAACAGTTCACATGGCCTGAATAGGTGAAGCGAGTGAATTGGTAGGGTACATAGTCTGAACCAGTAATGGAATATGCCAGGGTTTCCCAACTTTTTGGGCCGTGGACCCCTGTTTGTGAATCTTATTTGATGGACCCCCATCCTTTGGCGTATCATTTTCTGTGCCTAAGCAACGAGGAAAGATAATGTTTCAAACAACAACACAAACGACAATAATGTGATGAAGAAAGCTGCTTTTCAGCAATTTGTGATAAGGAAACTCATAGGTCTGACTCCACAGCAAGTCTCGGCCTCCATTTTGTCATCATGTTGGTAAGATGAAATTAATTTTAAATTGAAAACAATCATTGAAGACCGATCAGACGCTTCATATCGCTGCGGACCCCCTGCGCAGTCATCACGGACCCCCAGGGGTCGGCGGATCCCAGTTTGGGAAACCCTGGAATTCACAGCGCAACAGATTAGTCAAGCTACACATTTAACGATGCAATACCTGGCAGGTGTGAAAAGTCTCTCAAGGAAAGTATTGAGAAGACGTTGGTCAAATTCATTGTCAATTCTTCCACCATAAACCGCTTGAGAGAAAAGAGTTCGCAGAGCAGACCAAGGCACTTTATCGGGAGGAAGATTAGCTCGACCTTTAGCAGCATCGTCGATCCATGTATCGATCGTATCGCAAGCACATCGAAGATCAGAATCATTAAACTCGTATCTGTTGGATAAAAAAGTAAGAGAATGAATTGAAATACTTTCATGTTTCCCCGAAAATAAGACTGGGTCTTATTTTTAATTTTTATTCAAATGATAACACCAGGGCCTATTTTTTGGGGATGTCTTTTAATTTTTATACATCAAAAAAAAAAAATTAAAAAGTAGAAAATTACGAGATTTACAAAATATAAAAACCGATATCCACCCACTTTTAAATAGCATTTAACCCACTTTTAAATTTTTATTTAAATTGTGCTAAACATTCTGCTAAACATAGAATATTAATCATTTAAATTGTGTAGGAGAGATTTCTCACTATCGACTAAGTAAAAAAAATTCCACGCTATTGACTAGGTCCTATTTTAAGGGGAGAGGTTATATTTTCAGGCTAGGTCTTATTTTCGGAGAAACCTGGTATGTAGAAGTCATGAATATTGCATAACAACAGTAAAAACCATTCCAATAATTTGTATTTGCTATTTTGAAAAAATCAAGGAGAAATTCATGTTCAGTATAAACACAACTCTATAAAATCATTATTTCAGAGTTAATGTGTGATAATACATACTGGACTGATTAGTTTAAAGCCTTGTAAATCACAAAGCAATTGTGAAAATTGCAAAACAAAAATTTTAAAGGTAAAAAAATATTGGCAATGCAGTACTGGACTAATGGGCCTTTATACAATTTCTTAAAACTGTAGTAACGGAGATCCAATCACATCATTGTTTATAGCAAGTTTCCAGCCCAACTATGGTTAGTTTTAACCTAGAAAGAATCAAAAGTTTGTCAATGTGTTATTGCAAGCAGTATTTCAAGATAATCACTCACTTTTTACTCCATCCAAGTGGAGCATATCTCAATCTCTCTTGTACTACAGCATGAAACCAGGCGAGCAGGAAATACATTCTGGCACGTTCTGCAGGTGCTTTCTGAACCCGTTGAGCTGAAGCGACACGATTGAATGTTGAAAGTAAATTTGCTTTGACACCAGGAGGAGACTCGAATACAATTACACGTCCAGCACGAAGAAGATTGACTGGAATCTGAAAACAAAATGAATTGTTGTTAGCAGGGTTATGGAGAAGTTTAGCATGTTTTCACTGAAGTAATATTTTCAAACTACGCAGAAGTAATTCAGAATTTCATATAATCAGAGTTACTGCTAATGGTAAAAAAAACATGCAAGACCTCCCACTAAAATTCAAATAGCATTAATTTTACTAAACTTCATCTATTGAAGAAAGTCCGTACACTCTAAAGTTTTTGTTATTAAAATATTTTCAGAGTTCGAAGCTCGAGCCCAAATTTTCAAACAACCCAGTGTGAGGGGTCGCATTCAATATTTTTCTTTACTCTGAATTGAGAGTCGTAACCAATTTTTTTTTTTCAATTTCTGACTTCACAGATCTGATTGTAAGATATCCCGAGTTATGCCAGTTAGTGGATTTTTTCCACTATCCAATCTCTAGTTGATGCATTTTGATATGTTCAATAGAGTAAAAAATGTGTTTGGTGTCAACAATGGAATCATGATCATGCGTTTACCAAACTATACAAATTCATTTTGAGAAAAATTTTCTGGCTTTTTTTCTTTTGTTGCGTAAAATTATTCTTACATACAATTTATTGAGTATGTAGTTGAGTCACTTCCAAGTGTGCATTTCTTGCACAGTATATGGATGAAATTATGATTTATTTCAAATCGAAATCAATATAGAAAATTTATAGTAGTCCCACATTTCCTGTCCATCAATCCATCAGTATATTCAGTATACTCTTTAAACTTCTACTAAATATTTACTGTGAAAAAACTTTGTTCATTATATCGAAATCATAATTTGAAAGTAATCCAACCTTTGGTGTAATTTCCATTGTCAAGAAAAGTCTGAACTGAGCATGAGGTTGCAGAGAGTGAAGTTTCTTCTCGAGTTGTACGAGCCAACCAGGAGCAAGATGTACATTTTTCAACAAAACCCATCTGCCCGATCTCGAAGCAGAATTGATCGCTTTCTCAGCCTGAAAACGTTCAATATATGGAAATAGATGTGAAATTTTTAGTGTAAAGGTACCTCACAATTCAGTAAAAACTTATAGTGAACACTGGATAGCAGTACATTACATTTTAAACCTATCTATAAATATGACTAGGAACCAGTCTTTGTTGAGATTGCATATTGAAAATAAAATGTTTACCTGGCTGAAACCCTCAGCAGATCCAATAGCTATAGATGTAATTTGTCTGTTAAGTTGCATTGCAAGATCATCAACTCTATTACTTGCATCATATCCAGGAACAGAACAGAGTAGTAAAGGTTCGTTTGCCTGAGAGGGAAACGTATCGTTATACTTCTGCTCTATCCTCATAAGAAAATTTTTTTTTTCACAGAAGTTACTGATTTACAACTTCGTAAGTGAGCTAAGAACTGGAGAAGTAGTGAAATACATTTTCCTTTTTTTGAAAGTTTCCAGACAAAACGTGAATTTCGAATTTTGAAATATTTTTTCAAATATTACAAAGAAATTTGTGCTCTTGATTCATAATGTGAGGCAATATTCCCCAGCATATTTCAATAAAAAATTACAGACAGGAGTATGTTTCCCTCATTTTATCAAAACAGTGGATTTATGTTACGACCCTTTCAGTTTAAAGTGCTCTATTTTAGATTACATCAGATTATGAACACACAAAATTAAAAATTTGACCAGATTTTTATTTCAGCACATACCAAATCTATAAATTAACCTACTTTAACTTCTTCTTCCACAATTGTCACCATGTTGATTTCCTGTTCACAAACAGCAGTGAAATGATCACCAAACACTGAATTGACGTAAGTATCTGATGCTGCTGAAACTCTGTCACCGCGTAACGCTTGAGTTAATAACATTGCTCGTAGAGCCGAGACGATCTTACTTGGAGGCTGAGGATGAAAAGAGAAAAATTTATGCTCAAAACTGAATTTACTGTAAAAATGTATATAATTTGTGGATACAAGTTTTGCAAAGACAATGAAAGAATCGATTAAAGTGAAACTCATATTTTAGTTTCAAAAGAACAATATTAATAACAAAAATATAAACAGGAAATTATAATGGCATTGATGGTAACTCAAACAGCGAATTCCTTGTTTACTTCCATAACATTGGCCAATCAGTGAGTTGTTAACTGTGATGCAACAATTGCAATTTTAGCAACTACCAAGACACTTTTTAACTCTGAAGAATTTTCAGGCATTGGGGTAAACATTAGCTTGTTTTCATGGTTTTGCTAGTCATTTGTCAATTATCAGTTGTGTTTCTGAAATTATTCAATGGCCTTGCAATAACAAAAAATAAATCTCGATCATGCTGAGTTACATTAATCAGACATCAGTGCTTGTGAATGGCAGATGGTAATACATATTGATTCAAAAAAGATGATGATAACCATATAAACGTTTTTGTAAGTGCAAGGTGAGAAAATTCTAAAAACAATCATCAAAAATTTCATAATGGTAAAGTATTGAAATTTTTCTGTGGTCGAAGAAGGGAAAGAAAAAACATTTGTTTTAGCATCTGACCTGTGGTTTTCCATCAACAATTTGATCAGCAGCCCAATTATCAGGAACTTCACCTTCGGGTGTTGAGCATTTCATCCAAATATCCAAGTCTTCAGGTGAAGCCTGAATAGAAGCAAATTTGATTTAGGAAAGTAGCAGATTGGGACAGAATGCTGCCAATCGTATACACCAGGGGTATCGTCGAATAAGATCAACTAAAATTTTCGTAACACCTTGCGATCAAATGAACGATAATTTAGCCACACACAGAAATGAATGACAACTAAAAATTCTCATCTCTCAGAATTAATAAATATCAACAAAATGGACATTCTGATGTCAGTGTTGCAGTTGTGAATAAAATATATTTCAGTATATCATCTTTTATATCGGCATGAACCGCATTTCCCCTCTTTCAGATCGCAAAACAATCCTTCAGTGAATGTCAGTTGAAGAGAATTCTAGCATGTCATTAAGCTCGCTCAAAACCATACGCGGTCATATGGCTACCACTGGTATACACAATCTGTTCTACTATAAAGTAGGTATGTTACAAAAAAATTAAAGTTCATCCGATTTGAATAAAAACTGCACCAGTGGATAGATCTAAGTGAAAATAAGAAAACAATACCAAGTTTGCGAAAAACGGTCAAGAATTAACGGAGATATCGGCATTTCAGTACCGCCTGATAGGCCAATTTTTTCCATAAGGATTGTATTGCGCCGACTCAAAAACTGTGACCGCGAGAATGTCAGACCGATAAACAACAGAATGTATCTCGGCTATTTTTGAAGGTAATCGAAGTAAAATAGGAACGAGAAGTTATTGTGAATAGAAGAACCTAATGCAAAAAAATTTACAAATTCTTTTCAACGAAATTAGCTGCTTTCCAATTAATTATGTACGAGAAAGTCTCTGAACTTTACATAACCTCTGGTCGGCAACGACTTTGCCACTACGCAAGTTCCCGCCTATGCGGCAATTAACTGATTCAGCGTTTTTCATATCCGACCTTAATTGATGAACGATTAATTATTATTTAATATTCTTTATCTCGTAAGATACTTACCGCGCTTAGTGAAACGCAAAACGAGAGAAATCGCTGCGAGGAAAAATGTCGGCATTCAATCGATAACTGATGCGCGTTGACAGACGCGTGCTAAGATCATACTTCCCGTACGTTGAATTAATTTGTACCGTTTCGTAAACGTATGCGAATTGACTTTTTTTAATAAGAACCTTAATGAATATGAAAAAAGAACACATATCAATGACTAATCTTTCGATGTACGTCACATCTACGAAATATTGGGATTATTTTGGGATTTTATTCTAGCATCGGTCATTGACGCCGTCGGAAGATCGTCGCAAATCAACCCTGGAGTTGTGCATATTAGTTTGACAGTGCCTCGTTGCGGGTAATAATTAACAATGTTCTGATTGAACAAACTTCATCAAAATTGGTAAGTATCAAGTTAGGAATGACATACACGCGTCCATATATATTTTATTGGTGTCCATAGACAATATCATTAATTTGCAGTACGTATACCGTGAGCGTAATTTTTAAAAGCCCCGAATGTTGGGAAATTTATGCGCTAATGAAAAAATTCAAATACCGAAGCATAGTTGTGTATTTTATCTAAGTTATGTCAAAATTTCATGGAATTCCAAACAACAGCAGGCAGTCTGTAATCGTTTTTATGAGCGGTATTCTGACACGTCGTAACGGTACTTAGCAGACGTGGTGCGTACATTTTTTGGCGCGGAAAAGCGCGTTTTCTAACATTCCTATATAAAGTCATAAATGTGAAAGATTAATTTTGTTTCATATCCAATTATAAGACAAATTGTTTTAATAAAATTTTGGTGCATACTAGGTTATCAAATCATTTGCTAAATCAAAGCAATACCTGAAACTTGGAAGAAATATTTTTGAAAGTTTCCAAATGTGCAAGACGTTGTAAATTGTCACGATATTCGGGAGTCAGTCCAGATATATTTGCAAATGTGGATCCAGATCTAAGACATAAAAAATTCATTTAGTTAGTTCAATACCAATCATACGTTTGTAAGGTATCACTTGGGAGCATTAAAATAGTATACTTTGCAGATGTCAGGGATGTCGAGAGGAAATGGAAGCCAATAGTTCAAAAATTAATTGGTAGGAACGAATCTATGAATAGGAAACTTAGTTTAAGAAAGATAGTCGTTTTTAGATAGTTGAGCACTATTATTGTATTACATGCATGAAAAAGATACTAATGGAGATATTTGACAATGCAGCAATGTGAAAAAAATCGAACAATTTACGATTCTGAATTCTATTCTAAAATACTATCTTTGGATATAAAAAATCAGATATATATCGTCAGTTGGGTCATGTTCTACAACATCAAGGTCAATCAATGTATTTTCAATGGATTTGAATTTCATAATGGCGGAAAGTTGAGATAAACAATGAAAACAAATGAAGTTTTTTTTACATATTAGGAGAATGGCAATTTTTCAACTGAAAACATTCTAAGGTATTCATGAAATCGAGAATTTGAAAACACTGAATATAATTAAGTTCAAATCGATTCGGTAATTCAATTATTCTCAGACTTCTAGGCAATACAGTATCACAACATATACAGAATCTTACTTCGTCAAGACGAGTTGTTGTCCTCTTAGGAAGTGATCATATTCATTCTGCATTGCATTGTCAGTGTCAAATCCCCGTAGATATATTCTTGCAAGAAGTATAGCAAACATCACACGATCATCATGAAGAAGTGATCGAGCTACTCGATTGTACGAAACCTAAATCAAGAGATATTTTAAAGAGATTATGGGTAAATATGTTTTATGATGAGTGGATCAGCTTGATTTTTCAATACTATCTTCTTGACTTCGTAATTCTCACGATGACTCAGGTTTGAGTGAGTCTTTGCAAATGATTACATCCAAGTTATGTCAATTGTATGGTTTGGCTCACAAATAGTAAACTATGCTTGAGAAAGAGTCGCAATGTCTTTATGGTTGTCTTTTTTATTAAGTTCGATCTGGAGATTCTGACCAATCTAAGTATTAATTAGCACTAAATCATCCTTTTAGTTAGAGCTAGAGGTGAACCCAATTGAACTATAGTTGGGACTGGAATCTTTTTCTTTTGAGCAAGTTTTGACTTCAGCTCAGGAGTTGGCAGTAAACTCAACATAACACTTTCAAGTACACTATACAAGTAAAAATTTACTTGGAAAAGATCTTTGATGATGATACTAAGCCTCTGACCATATTCTTTGACTTGCTGCAGTCTATCGTTTTCATACAACACTGTGTGGTAGACGCTCAAGAAGAATTTCAACGAGTACTGAAAGATAAAAATTAACAGGTTTACCCGGTATAACCAACGGAAGAGGAAGTTCGTTATTTTTGAGAAGGAAATACAGAAACTCAAAAAGCAATAAATTTACCAAACAATCCACCGGCATAGACAAATATATTTTTTTAGCTAAAGCGGGAGTTAGAATACTTCAACTCAGAGTTGATTGTGAATTTTCACCGACACCCCATTCCTGTTATTAATAATACAATAATACAAATAAATGACATGTATATTTTTGAAAACATACCTGATATAAGAAATGAACATGTTGTAGAGACTCCAATGTAAAATATATGGATGAGCAGGCAGATGCGAGAGGAACGTATTGTTGTGATACTGTTTCTACTTCTGCCATTACAACATCTGTCTCTTCAACTTTTCTTGAAACCTGAAACACAGTTTCATTTGGATATTATTCATGACAGCAGACATTTAGTAATAAGAGCTTGGTACATTAAATACTGTAATATGGAAATAAATAGGACTCAACAAGCAGGAAATTAAACATTTTTCACTAGAAAACCTCGACTTCTCACAACAAGATCACAACTTTACCGCACATTTTTTAAGCCATAAATCCAAATCCAAATTAATTGTTAAGAAAGTAGAGAGCAATGCTCAAATATACGACACTGAGGCCAAATGTCAAAAAATGCTCCCATTCGTCATGTAAAAGTGTTCCCATGAACACAAAATAAAATACTCAAGAATTTGGGTACAATATTGGGTCCCAATAGGAGTTTAGTGGAAAATTAAAGTAACAGGCTTCTGCTTCTAGTGGCTTCAACCATCTTGAAGCAGTGAAAATTTTAAATAATTCATCTATTTGTTCTGAAAAGCGATTTATTCCCAACAACAAGAATAACAATTTCAACAACAGCAATAACCCGAACAACAACTTAGAAAATCAAAGAAAAAGCACACTATGTGTCCAAAACTATAAAACTGTAGAATATGGAAACTCCTGGTGTCCATTACATGACATTCTTGATAGTACCTACTCAATCGCTGTAAACATAAAAATACTATTAAATAAAAAGTAAAACAATCTACCTCAGCTGCCTCTTTCTTCAATGTTTCCAGAGCAGTAATAATCCTGTCATCATCCAATATTCTACCTTTGACATCGTTCAATGTTTGTAGAAGTGACTTCTCTAGTTGACGTACTCTCCCTACGTTAATAGTTAATAAATTATACAAAAAAATAGATTCTAGAAGCCTATAAATACAGCCCTTGATTCTCAAATCAATTTAACTGATAGCTTCAACATTTTTGCAACATAAATGTCCCAACTTCCGAATTGGAAAACCTGATATATACAATATATACCTGAAGTTTGAGCAAGTCTGATCGTTTTGCATCGACGTCTGGTCTTTCCGATCTCAACACTTCATTCAGACATTGTGATTGCAGAGATCCACGAGTTACCGTGAAGTTGATAAAAGTTACTCGAGAACAAAGATCAGGACTGAACTCTGCAGTTGGATCTCGAGTTGTCAGGAATATTGTGAAAGCAGGAGACAAATCAATGTCTTGGTCACCAATGGTGATGAGTACCCGACCTCCAGTGCGACGAAGTTCTCTGAATTAAGAAAGACCTATGTCACGCTGTTCATTATTTTTATTTTGCATATTCTGTGCTAAACCACACAATGAATATTTTCAAAATTTTCAGATGACATAATTGTTGCATCAGTTTGAAAACTTTATCCTGAATGCAAGAAACGTTCCTGCATAATGGTTCTGCAGTGGAAAATAAAAATCGAAATTGAAAGAAGAGAAGATTTATTGTCAGATTATCATTCTTATCATCTTAGATTTTTTTAATGGTTGAGTTTTGAGTTGTCTCCACATACCTGATATCTACAGCTTCACTTATTAATAACTTCTATTTCTAACCTTACCTATTCAGTACAGGGTTAAGTATAGGATCGTAGCTTTCCACGTCTTGTACAAGTAGAGGATTCCCAAATCTGAGAGAACTTTCTAGATTTTTCCTGAATGCGTCATCTAAGAACGACGTCTGAGAGATCTTCTTATCAGCATATTGTTTAAGAATATATTCTGTCGCTTGTCCAGATGGATCAATGATAAGAGGATATCGGTTGAAACGCTGAAAACGCAACAACAGAAACTTACCGTCTGATACAAACAATTCAATGTCTTACAACAATAATTTCTATGATGATAGTCTAATGAAATATATACTAGATTACTAGTGTATTCAATATTTGAGTAGAAATGCATAGTATGAACAAAATCTCAATCATTTTTTTTGTTTACTTCAATCTAGCTTTGTCGCAATATTCTTTTGCAAGTTTGCTATGTTATTCAAAAGTGGCTAAAGGATCAGGAGTTTGAACGAATCCTCATCATAATATATTGAATGATAGATACCCAAAGCAGTTCAAGATAATACAGCTAAAAACAAAGGAGAGGAGTAAACAGAAAAGGCCGTCACCAGGCAACCATTGATACAAGATTTCAAGAAGTTTAAGACAGCATTGTCGAAGGATGAATTCGAGTTAATAATGAAGATATATTTTCAAAAAAACTTTTTTCATGGAGATATTGCTAATTGCTTTCAGTAAATAAAACGAAAGCTACCAATTAGGAAAGACAATCAAAACAAGACTTTACTATTTATAGCTGTTTGGTTAATATTATTGACATGACTTGCTTTAAGCCAGTATTTATACACTATGATTCTTTATATTGTCAGTAGCTCTTGGCATGTTAGTGGTTTCCTGAAGCTTCGTTCAGAGATCAGTCTCCTATGTTTGAGTGAGAAAGGTACTCTAAGCAAATCTCCCCCAAAAGAAAAAATCACCTTCAGCATAATTGCATTCTCAGTGCACAAGTCATCAACTGGAAGTGAATTAGCTTGCCACTGCATTCGTTCATCGACTGTCGATAAATATTCAACTCTAGCAAGATCTGGTCTGTATCTAATGTTAGCTTGCTGTAGATGAGTGGTCCATGCATGGAAGAGTTGTTCACGCATACTCTGATCAAAGTATCCAGCATAGGAGACGAAGGCTGCTGATATCAATGAATCCCCTGGCATGGTGGACATCTGGAATTTAAAATATACAAATTGTTGAATTCCTGTGAGTTTTATTATTTTTTTGAACAGTAATATTCATAAAACTTGTAAAAACTAAACCAAGTATAGTGGAATGTGAACAAAACCAAAATTATTTAATAATAGGCTAATTGTTTTCTTTTTTTATGATGAAAAGGGCTAAATAGCCACTTTTCTATTGCTATTGCAGTGTATTAAATTCCATAATCTCAGTCAGTAATAAACAACAGAACAAAAAAAAATTATAAAAACCAAATGCAGGAATTTTCTTTATATGATTTGAAAGACTTTCACTCTGAAGAAACAGCGAATACCATGGAAGCTACAATTTTTGGCAGGATTATCATTTTGAGTTCGATTTCGTAATCATCTTTCAAGTTCATCATTGTTAACCCAATTTATTAACCCGTGGGTCAAGGTTGGAGGCATTTGACGTGAAATCAAGATTTCAAAACTGTCATGACAACACAGTGGAGCCTGCAATACCTGGCTACACATACATACCTGGCTTTTGAAGGAATCACTAGACTGTTCCCATCGTTCCCTTTCAAAACTCAATGAATGAAGAAGACTTGTACTCCGAGTTACTTTAGCCTCAACAGTTGTCATTTCTTGTTTGATTGCCTGTGCCTCACTGATCAATAGAGCATATTCTTCCTTGTATCTAAAATATGGAATGATGATCAAAGTCAATTCAATAGGGCATACTAAACAGATCGCTTCGATCCTGGTAATATAGTGATGATATTCGGATGGTTGGCATGGAGGTTGGCCCAGTGTTGACAATTGTTATTCAGAAATGGCAAAACATGTTCAATATCCGATGCGCAAACAATCATAGTTTATGTTATTGGAATATCTCAGATTTTGTGGTACTAGTCAAGCGGGTATTGGGAACTGAAAAGGTTGTTCATGTTATTGAGAAAATGTCTGTGAAATGTTTGCAATGAAGTTTAACAGTTTTTAAAATTGCAATTTTAGGTATCTGAGCACAAGAAAAAAAATCAATAAAATTTTCCATTTTTAATCAAATTATTTACACTAAAGTTGAATTCTGATGGTTTTTCAACAATGTGAACTTCAGGTAATGTGAAGAAATAATGTCCGAGTAATAATGACCCATCAAATGATATCTCTAAAATAAGTAATAAGGAAAAACATCAGTCGAAATTGTGACAGAAAAAAAAAAAATCATTTTTGATGGGGTATTCCCCAATTAAAAAATGTCTTGCAACCAGAAAACAATTTCAACATATGTAATAACAACATACTTAGCAATAGATTTCTCCAAATGAGCAATAAGTTGTTCAACTTCTTCAGCTTCTCTCTGATTTCTATCAGCTCGACTTTCCAAAGTTTTTAATTCAGAGCGTAGTGGATCAACTTTCTTCAACATGTCAGCATAACTTAATTGCGCAATCGCCCATTTAACAAGAGGTCCACAAGCCAAACTAGCACGATTTATTGTTTCATACTTATATGCTGGGTTGTTCAGATACCTGAAACAATTGTAATAACAATCAATGATAGTTTAAGATGGGCGGAGATATTTATGTAATTCATAATTGATGACGAATTTGATGATTACAAGCATTGAAATAAATAAGAGATTAAAAATCCATTTTTGAAAATGTGACATAATCAACTTGGGGTTTACTGTGGTGATATACCAATAATTCATGATCCCCAAAATTGGGGTAACCAACTAGCTAGTAGCCGCATACCAAATTAACTAACCCATCCTGATAATGGTAAACTGCTCAAATGAAATTTGGTGATTCAGAAAACGATCGATTCAATATAATATTACTTATGGTGAATTGGGCAGTACTAGACTTAACCTGCTGTATCTTGTGACACATTCACAGGTTATTATCATGTTTAGCTAAGCAACGCCTACCTTTCAATCATTTAGGGTAAATTCAAATACTTGATAAAATAGACATAAAGAACTTATGTATGAAAAGTACAAAAAAGCTGGTTACTATCATAATATCAAGTACCATATGAATATTGCAATAGAAATGGTTAGAAAAATGTAATGTAACTCGCATTTGTGATTATAAATCATGCATAATGGGAATCGACCAGTCCTGATTTTAAATACGGGAATGGATTTCTGAGTATACAGTACTCTTACTTTTCTCTCATATGTTTTCTCGTAGTATCTGATATATCGTCGGTAGAGAAGTTGATGATAGTTGGAATAAAATTATCCTTGATGATTGATTGTCGAATTGATTTCCAATCGGTTGTTTGTTCGCCAAGTAAAAGACAGATAGATTCAAGACAGAGTTTCACACCTGGGAAAAATTTAATGAATGAATGTCATTGCAGTAACGTATCTCTTAATACTCAACCCAAGGGAAACTTGGCAGAGTTGCAACTTGCATTAGATAGGTTTCAGGCTGAGAATGATCATAAATTTTTATACTAGCAATCCAAATTCATTTAACTCATGTCAGCTCTACATAATAGTACTAGAACTGTATCAAATTTATAGGGCATTTAGAACACATACTAGAGAGAACATAACCTTTGTGCAAATGTCCAAGATACTGGAATTTTGGGTACACTCATACACAAATAGAAGTTCAAGTGTTATATTATATTGATTTTCATAGAAATAGTGGAAAAATTTATGGGTTCTTTTTTTGAGCTCATCCTGTATATTTTGGTTTTACTATGTAAATATTAACTGTACTGTACAGTCAAGCTTCTTTTTTAGATTTGCCATAATTTAAATATAAAACGAAGTCAAAATATGATTTTTTGAGATTCGTTGAAATGTTCTAGTATCTAAATCTGAAACAACCTAACCATATATGCTTCAGCTTTGAATGCATATAACTCAATCGAACGTGAAACATTGATGGATCATGCCGATGAGGCATGGTCCATCAATGGTTCATGTTCGACAAAAACTAGCAGAAATGGTTCTAATACTATCGATTGTAAACGTTGCAACCTACCAGCAGGTGGATTTCCCATAGATCGGATCTCAACAAGATGTTGTTTTTTGATAGATCTAACAGCTTGTTTCGCATCTTGAACTGCGGGTTCGACTCCAGATAATTCTTCTCGTACTTTCTCAGTTTCTTCTTGAATGTGTTGATTCAATTCTTCCAGTTGTTTTCTAGAATCAGAATGAAGTTTAAAATACTGAATTTTTAATATTAATCAATGGGCATGAATTATATACACACATCACGATGGAGATAAGCATAACATTTTATTTTCTCTCAATTATAATGCCAACTCAAAGGATCCACTGTTCCATAATTGGAATATTAGAAAAAGCAGTAAAATCTTTTATCACACTGAAAAAATTTAGTTTCAAAATGCATATAATTTCCATTACCTGATTTGTTGAGATGTTTTCTTCTTGTTTTCAGCTTCTTGTTGTTCTTTCACCATTTTCTTTAGTTTTTCATTGGCGAGATTATTCTTTTGTTGAAGTTCTGAATTCTTACGAGACAAATCACGACGAAGTTCTTCAACTTGTTCCACTGTTTCCTTGATTTTTCTCAAACCAACATTCAAGTGAACCTGGAATTGGAAGAGTATTAGAACTCATACCTAAGAACCAATTCACAATTAAGTTGATATTCAAGTAGGTAAATAAGAATGCCAGTTGAAACCCAGTCTTTTTCTAGATAGGCTGGTTACTATAACAACGAAAAATGCATACGCTTGCTAGCTGACAACTGCTAAATGCTGTATCTAAGGTTTCGAAAGCAAATTAAAAAATAAAATAAATAAAATTTGACGTATTTTATATATAGTGCACAAAGGTATAGGTTGCCGTCAGGGTAAACATGAGTACTTATACGAGTATGGCAAATTAAAGTACTATATATGAATTGGAATGTCTGTTATTTTCCTGGTACATCATGCACATTCTATATACCATTTATATTTATTTACAGTGTCGAGGTTCCTGCAATGGTAAGATTGATCACATACTGTTGATGTTCTTACATGGGTGGGGACAATACAGTTTTTGCAGGTGACAAATTTCTAAAACATAAAATCAAAACAATACTTGTTGTTCTTCCAAATCTTCTCTCTTTTCATGCATGAGCTTTGCATAATGATTTATAAAATCAAGGAAAGCTCTTGGTGAGATGGTCACAACACGATCTCCACGTTTAGCGAGTCGTCTGTTAGCTTGATGCAATGTTTGATGAACGAATACACAGGCATTGACAATCATGTCCCTGTGAAGAACAAATTTTTGTCATATTTATCCCGGGAAAAGGAAAGCTAAGTCCATGTCTCTTGGAGAGGAGTCTAGCAATTCAAATCTAGCAAAATAAGTCACTAACAAGTCTAGCAAAATATTATTTTGCATACTACAGTCTATCCTTAAATATACAATCATGAAATCCAGCACTTACCTATGCAATGGATTCTTTGGTAATTCTTCATAAACAGCAGGAATATAATCTGGTACGGTATATTGTGGATCTTCCAAGTCAAGTTTAGAAGTAAATTCCTTACCAACTTGGTAAAGTGCTTCAATTGACCAATCACCAAACCAATTCAAGACACATCTGAAATAGAATGGTCAAAATTAAAAACTGTGAAACTGTCAATATATAGGAGGTAAATTACGTTATCATAAACAGGATCCGTTCGTTTTATATTAGGATTGGACGATTCCATGCTTAAACATGGTGGAATCAAAGGTTACGAAACAAATGGGAAAAAACTCGGTCCTTCCATAAATAGTAGCCTCTTACATTAATGTTATCATATACAGGAAATCTTCTGGGGTGAGAAAGCATCAAAAACAGCGTATTCATAATTTATATAGGCAGTAAGCATAGGTTTTACGGGGAAAACGGCCGACAAAGGTAACCTAAAGTTTGGGGTCCATATGTCTATAAAATGTGTTTTCAAGTAAACAAATATGAACAAAATGCATATAAAGTTATTAATATTAAAAATATGAATTTACCTGTTGAAAAGAGCAGGTGATGTTGCAGCTCTGTCTTTCAAACCTTCTTCAGAAGGATTCATTGTGAAAACAACGTGTAAATTCTGCATGACTTCAGCAGTAAACCATCTGTATAATTCTTCTTGACTGTCCAACATCAATCCCTCTCTAAAAACAGTTTTAATAATATGTTTCAAATAAATGATATATTTTTCTATGAATGTATACAGAAAATAAAAGACATTTGCTTCACAAAACAATGAAAAATAATTCAGATATTTAGAAAGAATGATTATATACATATTATACAAGTTATGGTACTCCTGTAGTGTGTGTACTATTCATATAAAACTATTCTAAAATTCCTGAATTGATACAAATAAACAATTGTTTTGTACATCCCCTCACAATACACACTACTAACAACCATCCAAAACATTTACTATTACCTTTGAGCCCCTTCCTTGCATTGTGTCATCAATGTAGTGAACTCGTCACCTTCAAATAGACCAGGCACTTCACCGTTAGCAAGTAAAGTATTCATCCGTTCCAAGAAAGATGAATCAAGCACATTTGATTCGTCCATGATGAAAGCAATGCGTTCTCCTTTACAACCAGAACGACGTAAAACATTTCGCAAATCTTCATCAAAATCAGCGCCAGTGTATTTACGATGAACCTTGGAATGAAAAAAAATAATTAGGAGTTTAAATATTCATCTTGGGGAAAGGAAAGCCGATAAGATGACTCAATCATGTGATGTTCTATGGCCTCTCATCCGGTTACCAGTCCATGTTGGGTATGCATTACTTAGCCAGTTATTTTGTTTGAGATGCATGGACTTGATGGTGGGGGAAGCCATAGCAGACCAGCGGTTATGTGAACCACCCCACTGCAGCAATGAGTCCAGCAATCCTCTAACACATAATTATCCCCCACTGGATTGGAACCTGCAAAGCCACGATGGGTAATCAAAGGTGAGGTGGCATATTCCTAATGCTTAGCATGATGCGCCACACCACCAATGCTATTGCGCAAGAGATGTAATTAATATAAATTATAGGTTAATATGTGTGAAGGATTCCTCTGTACCTTGTTGAGTCTGGCAAATCCTAATTGCTATAAGAGAACCTACTTTGACTTGAAATACACTCAATCCATTCATCCAAGCAACAAATCTGGATAAAGTTGTTTTTCCAGATCCTGACACTCCAATCAACAATAGATGACCTTGTGGTTGTCTGAATATTCTATCAATTCTCAATACATTGTCAAGAACTTCGTTGAAAAGCACAAGAGGAACGTCCAATTCTTCCTCATAGAAAACCTAGATGAGATTGTATGTATTTTGAATGACAGAAAGACAAAATGGGTTGAAATGTGCTGTAAACAGCTGACAGATCAGATCCTTCATTGCCAAGGATGAAATGCAGTATATTGGATGAATATACTAGTAAATCTAATTCTCATTCTCTATTTAAACAGACCTATTGTTATTGAAATACTATGTTCACGAATATGATAAAATGAAAAATTTCCACATCAAACAGTCATCATAACTTCACTAAAGTAATAAATGCAGAATCACATATAAAGTGATGGAAAGGTTTATCATTAGTCACAGTATATCGAAAAAGTGTATCCACAACAAGACGAGTCACATAAATAGTCTATTACAGTATTCCTATGATAGTATTTTACCTTCAATCTTGCTTTAGTGTATTCTCTCAATTTCTCCTGATCTACAGGTACATAGTCTTTGCTTAGCCAGTTGCTGTATAAGATGGGTCTGATAAATGAAAAGCGAGAAATTATAAGATTTGTCCAGGAACATAATTCATATTACTAAAATCTAATTCTCTAGAATTTAGTTACCGCTTCAAAGCTGCTACTCTGTTAATATTAGGGAAATGTTTCACGGCAACCATATCAATATTTGTCTCAGTCCAGTGTCTTTCTTCATCATGAACAAGACGATCCTGCAAGGAAGAAAGTCGATGAAATTATTAAAAAGTGTATTACAGTTTCAAGCAATTTTGTGCGATATATTTACAAAGGTATCACGGATAACGGTAGTTATGACAAGATGACAACTATACACGAGCGTTAAGAGCAAGGCCCACATCTCCATTATCAAATAACACCGAGTCAATCTATTCTGAATGACTGAAAATCGTGCATACATTTCACTCATTGGATAGAGATAGAATTTACATATTTATCCCGGAAGAGAGAAAAGACCATAAAACGGCCTAATCATATGGCGTAACACGACCACTCGTCCGGTTACCAGTCCATGTCGGGATGGATGAGATTAGTCTGCCAATTGTTTCAGATGCATGAACTTGCTGGAGGAGGAGGCCATACCCGAACAGCAGTTACGTGAACCACCCACCCTAAGGCAGTAACGAGTCCAGCAACCCTTCCTCACATAATTATCTCCCACCATATTCAAACCTGCGAACACTTGCAGGGTAATCACAGGAGCATATTCCTAACGCTCAGCACAATGTGCCACAATGCCGAGCCAATTCACACATTCATTACTAACAGTGCTCCATACCAGCTTTCATTGACGAGTGAGAAGCTTGGTAGGGAATCTTCCCGGTTGAGATAATTTCAATGCTCTAGCCATAGACAAATTTTGATTTGAATAATAATATCACGGCAAATGGCAAATCTCAAGTCAATTGGAAGCAATTACTTTAAAATGTAAAGTACACTATTTTTTTTTCATTTTACCTGGAATAATCTGAGAGCTTCATGAGCCCATATTCTGACAAGACCTTCCACAGCCAGACTTTCAAGAGGTCTTAATGCTTCACAAATACCTCTGACCCAACGAGACATTTCACGAGGTGAATAAATGTAGTGGGGTTGCATGTCCTAAAATAAACAAAATCGTGAATATTAGATAAAACAAATACAGGTACAAAGCTAAAGTGATATATATTTTTTGAAAACCAGCAAAATTTTGGGTTAAACGATGAGCCATGGGGTGTCCAGAAGAAAGTTGAAAAACAAATGAATACCAGCCTTCAATTCTACTCACTCCTACTTATTTATCTAATACTGGTATGTTTGATCTTCAATCATCTATTTTTCGATAATTACCATAATGAAAACAGGCTAAATACCTGGGTGAATCGTTCCTGTGACATAGTATAGAAATCCACCATTGCGTTGGTCAGTGGGTCAGCGTAAGCCCGAAGTGATGGAATGAGTCTCAGCATAGCACGATTGAATGTACCGTAGATTTGACCCAGTGATGCAGCACCAGGGTGGTCAACGTAGATGACAGGTACGTGTCGCAGAAATCTATGAGAGTTCAGTTATATAAATTAACTTTTTGGCGTTCAATTGAATAAAATCAACTGATATTCTATGGCTGTGGGATAATTGGCAAGGGGTTTCAAAAATTAAATATTTCAATATTTCGAATTTCTGTACTGTTTAAAGCAATGTAGCATAAAACTGGTATTCAGTAACGAAAATTAAACCAATAACAACTACAGTATTCCACACACTAGGCCACATTGGGATAAACAAAATTATAGACATGCAACCTTCTACTTTTCAAAATTACCTGTGCGACATTGGTTTTCTTCCAGGATCAGTAGGTGGGTTACAAGCTCCAACAAATTGCACTCGTTCTAGTTTGACCCAAGCCTGATCCGAAGAACGATAGAATCCGCCGTGTTCGACCATTTGTCTCAAAAATGAGATGACACGTTGTGTGCCGTATCGATCCATATCAGGTAAATTGATTTCATCACAAAATAAGACAAGCCATTTGTTTAACTGAGCAGGAGCCAATACAACTCCATGGGGTGTTCGCCTAATGATAAAAATGTTTCATGAAATTGTTAAAAGATATAAAAGATATTTTTTTGATAACGTCCCGTTTGAGGTATTCAAAATATGAATGTGAAAAAAGGTAAATTTCAAACATTTCAGATAAAATACTGTTACATTGGACAAATTGTTTTGTATAAAAATATTAAGACAGACTAAATTTACAAGATTATTCAAGATGGCTAAATAAATCAACATTCAAAATTCTTTTTTGTCTGGTTTCTCAAATAGTAAATCTTGTCCCACATGTTGTAAACATTACATAGCAACAAAATTTCATAAGAATGATCCATCAGAATTTGAAAAGAAAAAATAAGAAGATATTTATCCCTACCTGTACTCGCAATAATGATCAAAAGTTTTCAGCAATAGTTCAGGAGTTGTCGCACTTGAGAAATTCAATCCAACAACTTCCATGTCAGGTAATGCACGTAGAGCAGAGAATAATGTCATGGTTTTGCCAGATCCTGGAACAGAATATGCATATGTTCAATTCATTTTAAAAATACAGGTATACAATACGCTAGAAAAGCAGAAAATCTGAAGGTCAGATGAGATCACGAATAAAATGCGTGGGGGATAATTATGTGCAAGACGATGGTTGGACTCCTCACCACAGAATTTGAATTCAAAAATCATTTAGAATATTTTTGTTTAAATCTGAAGATTTTAATAAACCATCAGGCAAGCAGATCAAAACGTACCATATCTCAACTGGTAACATACAATACAACATAGAAAAAATAATGACTTTCATATTATGTTGTTCGCACCCAATTTAGAATGTACTCAATATTTCATATCCAAAAATATTTTCTCAGAACAGTGAAATATTTGGTTTTGGCCATCCCTGGGTCTCAAATTCGACTTTATTTAAAATATTTGCAACAGTATAAATTCACCAAATTTATCGTCATTCCAATATTACCAACAAGCAAGACAGAACTGAACAGATTAAAAGCAATATATACCCCAACTTACAGTATGTATGTGTTTCCCTAATGTCTCCTAATAACCAGAAGTTCTAATTTAACCTAAAATCGGCGTTTTGTTTAAAATCTTACCTGGAGGGCCACACAGAACAATAGGTTTATGTTCAGCAAGCCAAGTGTAAAGCAATGCTTCGTGTCGTACTGTATCAAGCGTTGGTACGACAACATCTGGAGCAGCAACTTTATGAGTTTCAACTTCGATTTGTGGGACTTTGTTTACCCATGGTACCCATTGTCCTTGCATTGTAACCTTGATCAAAAGTGGAATTAAAAGTCATTCTAGATTACAGATGTTTTTGAATATGGAATGAACCTGTGAATGAACCTAAGGGGAGACCCCAAAAAAACGGAACCCAGGCCATTTGGAACATATTGTATGGATTCCGTTTTTTCTGGGTCACCCTGTAAGAGACCAATCAATGTCCAATATTTAGTACTCAAAGATGGAACAAGAAATGCTAACACTTCACCAAAAATTTTGTTTTTTAAATTCAGAAGCACACCCTTCATACATATCACCTTCAATTCTTGCAGTATTCGGCTAGACTTTAGCTGTTATTGTGTGCATTTTAATAAGACTTTGGTCAAAGCCATGTCTCGCACAACCCACAAACTAGGTGGTATCGAGACTAGAACCAATTTGTCTTCACACAAATACACCAAGAAATGGTTTTCAGATAGTTTACCTCAAAATCAATGATTCCCATATTCTGTTGAGCGGGTAGGGTAACACTGGTTGATCTTCTGATAAATTGACCCATTTCTTCACGAAGTTTTAACTTTCCATCACCAGATAAAGACCACAGGATGCAATACAGAAGATACTTTTGCAGATATTGTTCCATTACTGTGAACTAAAAATACGATTTGAAGTTAATTGGATATTGTAGAGAATTTTAAAAACCCATGTAATAATTCAGAGTTATCTAAAAGAAAGATCCTTGTAGAAGAGCTATTTCAGATACCGTGTTTCCCTAAAATAAGACCTAGCCTGAAAATAAGACCAAGACTGAATTTTAATAATAATTTCAATATAATCCCTTCCCTTAAAATAAGACCTAGTCGACAGCGCAAAATTTTTTCGACCTAGTCAATAGCCACACGTTTTAAAGGGTTAATCCAAAGCAAGCGAGAAAATTTATGTTAAGCTGTTTTTTTCAAATATGATCGTTATATTTATAAGTAAATGGATATCGATTTTCATATTTTGTATTATTGGAAATCTCGTAATTCTCTACTTTGTAATTTTGTTTTTAAATTGAAAATAAAAGAAATCCCTCCAAAACAAGCTCTAGTGTTATTTTTCGGATGAAAATTGAAATAGGACCCTATCTTATTTTCGGGGAAGTCATAATCGAGTTACAATATGTCAATTTTACAACAGATGACCAAATCTTTCAGAGGACTTTTTAAATTTTCATATTGCACTCCATATGTAATAAAATTGAGAAAATTGAAATTTGCTAATTCCAGCTACGATGTATATATGAAAATGTGTTACGAATCCATAATGAATTCATCAGTCTACTTCAACTAGATGCACCAGAGCATTTAAAATACTGTTATAAAATTTAAAAAGAACTCATTAAGCATGTTAAATTTAAAAATACAATGCAACAAGAAGAAACCTTATCTCATCAGGTTATAAAATTGGTGAAAGCTATACATGACTTACTTCCATTGGGAAATCGTAATGAGTTTGATTGTATTGTTGAATATTTCTCACACCCTGATCAACCATGGAAAATAGAGAGTTGAGAGCACGTAGTCGAGTGAAATCCATCACATGATCCTGAGTGAAAATAAAAAATAAAGTTACCTGAATCTATTAATTTGAAAGAAGGAATTATCATAAACCCTTAACCTCAGATTGTATATATAACAGAATATTCCCTGTCACACACTATTAAATGACACCGTTAATATCAGATTAGAGGAAAGAATGCAAATAAAAGAAATCTTCGATAGATGGTAGTAACCCAGAGGTTTGTGCATTTCTCCTAACATGGGTGAGCGAACACGTACTACTTTTTTTAACAACACCTTTCGATCTAAAATATGTGCATTTTAAACCTTATTCAAGTTTTTTTCGTCCTCCCGATTCCATAATCAGTTTTTAGTTTTTTTTCATAAATTATTTCATCGTCTATTATGCTGATTATGGAGTTCTTATACTTGACTTGTACTTATAACTCAGGATTGAGTCCTGGTACAGTTGCAGATCGTAATCAAGCCAACCACTTTAGCCACACATATAGCATAGAAGTTATAATAAAACCATAAATACTCGAGTCTCTCCCTACAATTAACTGTTCACGTTTGTGCTTTTTTAGGTTAAGTTTATACTGATGTGGATGCTGTTTGCAATTGTAAATTTTGCCCAGCAGAATAATAACAAACGGATTACCTGTTTCTCAGCATATTCCAGTACTCTCACTATCAAACCATCAGATGAAAAGAAGGATTGTAATATTGATGCTGCATCATTCTGTACTCGCATTGATGGTGATAATGTCTTCTCCTCTGTAAATTCGATGAAAATTATTGCGATAGAGAAAACAAATTTCCTAACTTACATCAGGTTACTTTATTAACAACAGAAAATTTTTTTTTTTATTATTTCATTCAAAATACCCTTTCCTAACTACAGATCTCTTGACTTATTGATCAAACACCTCTGTAATGACTCTAAAGTAATTTTCTCGCACATATTCGTTTTACATAGAATTTAAGCAGACCAAGAGAAGGAAATCAGTGGGGCTAAGGAAAGAGGGTCCCTGATGTTTATAATGGGCAAACTCTTTGGATAAATAAATGACATTAATAGGCTTTCAACCTGCAGAAGACGTTTTTCCTTTTCCACCAACAACAAATTCTTCTTCTCCTTCTTCAAGTGGAATATGTCGGAGTCTTTGTAAGAAGTTATTGAAGATCATATCGGTTGACAAAACATCTTCACTAAACCAAATCATACCACATCGAGAGACAGTTGCCATGGTAGCATATTTGAGATTCTGAAACAATTGAGAAAGTAAATATAGTAAAAAAAAAGGCATTTGAAAATTGATTTTAAACAAAATGAAGTTGAAGTATATAAAATGAACTTTTTTGTAAAGATAGGAGAAGATCGGAGGTATTCATATTTAATTAATGTGAAAAATAGAACACACTGAGTATTCATATGCAAAACTAATTGCCCTAAAGACCTTCTTAAAATAGTGTACCTTAAAGAGTTAGGCTCTATGATGGGTATCCACATCAATAATAGGCTACATACCTGCACTTCAAACATGACTCTGAAGCATGTAGGCAAAGCCAATCTTTCACCATTAGGCAGGGTTAGTAATTTATTGTCATCAAGAACAGAGTTAAGATTTTCAACCCATTCAGGATCGACGTCACCATCGAAAATGACCCAGTGTCGTTTGCCGAGTTCTCCACGAACATTGTCAATGACACGTCGTAGGATGGAAGTGAACAAACCATCTGTCCATTCTCTAGTGTTGGGATCTAGATTTCCATACAGTTGTTCCTGAGAATAAAAGTTGAATAAAATATATATTTTCAGGATGGAATAGGATCCCCTCATTTATAGTAGGGGAGAAGGAAGCAGATAAGACAGCTTAATCCTATGGCGAACAACGACCTCTAGTCCAGACACCAGTACATGTTGGGCACAGAAACTCATTTGATAGTAGAGGAAGCCGTAACAGACCAGTACTACATGAATCACCAGCGAAGAGTCGAGCAATTCTTTGACACAGAATTCGAAAATCCGAACTCGTACCGGGTAATCAGAGGTGTAATGGCCAAACATATACCAATGCTTAGCTCCATTTTCGAATACGGAATATTGCATGACGTTATAAATGTGTTATGTTCAATATAACAAAGAAGTTTGAACTTGGATGTGCAGAAAAAATAATTATTTTCCTATTTTTTAAAGATTCTAGATCAAAGAAAGCATTCTGTCATACTAATGAACATCAATCGCGCAAAATGTTTGAGTATTTGTTTTGTTTTCTGAATCCATGTACCTTGCTAATGGCTTTTGGATCGATGACATAGCTGATGCCTTCTGTTCCTTCCAATCTCTGTAAAGCTTTGAGCAATACACGCCATGCAGATGATTTACCAGAACCACTTGGCCCGACCATCATTAATCCATGATTAATTTGAGATACTTGATAAAGTTGAATGACTTTTTCAACCCACGCAGTTCCTGGAATAAATGGTAAAATTCGATCTCCTTGAACGGTCAAATCACCAGCAATGAGACAAGATTTTTGCAGAATTCTGGTTGTTAGTTTAATGTCTACATCTTAATGGTCCGCATTCAGGATTTCAAATATACTAATGTCTACAAAGTTCCGTTCTCATAGATTCGTCAGTTATATCTATCCGAGTTGTCTGTACAACTATGACTGTGAATGAGTTTTTTATTGTCATGATCTTGTGTTCAACAAAATAACATAAAAAAATGAGTGTCACAAAATGACAATATATGGTATTATTTCATAAATTTTAATTGCTACTTTTTTTTTTCTAGAGAAAAAATTAGTAATTTATTCGGAAGAAACTCTCTCACCCTCTCACTACTCATACCTGTTTCCTCATTCTCTCCATAGACAAGATAATCTTCTTCACAAACTTTTTTAATTTCCTCTCTCAATGCCTGCATTTTGTCATGTCTATACACAATGTTGGGGAAAACGTCTTGCAACAGACTGTTGAGCAAAGGTATATCTTCTGCTACAAGTTTTGGAAGCATAGTCTCCATGATACTCTGAAAAATTTCAATTTTTTTTATTATTTTCAAAGCATGAACTGAACTAAAACAATCACCACTTGTAACAGACCAGTGAAACTGAAAACAAAGCATTGACGAGCAGAATAAGACTTGGATGTGGACATTTATAATCACCTATAAGTATTATAGCATAGATTTGGTATAGATTGAGATGACATATATGTAAAGACAAGCAAGAAAAGGCATAAATACAGAGTGTTCATATATCAAATTATGGGCAACAATAATCAAAATAAATTTGAAAAAAATTAGGATTAACGTCAAATACTTTTAGGAAAATTTGAAGTAGTGTCGGCAGTGCACATAGAGAAAATTATTTACATATATTTTTCACATATTTATTCCGGGGGAGAGGAAAACCGTTAAGACGGCTTAATCATATAGCGAATCACAGCCTCTTGTCAGGTTACCAGTCCATGTCGGGTATGGAATTAGTTAGCCTGTTATTTTTGTTTTCAGTTGCATAGACTTGATTGTGAAGGAAGTCCACCATCATAACCAACCAGTGGTTGTGTGAACCACCCTAGGGCATAGGGCATTGAGGAGTCCAACAATCCTCATGCACAAAATTATCTCCACAGGATTCAAACCTGCAAACCCTGGTAATGCTTGTGTTAGAAGACAAGTTTGGCAATAGCACAGGTCATGACGTCAATTGCCAGGTCACTGTAATCATAGCAAGATGCGCCACACTGCCAATACTAAATGTCAAATGTCATCTTTACCTGAATCAAAATTTCTTGTTCAGGAAGGTTTTCAGCAATCTGAGCTTCATCTACCGTTTCCCCTCTGTCTTGTTTTTCTTGTTTAATCGTCTGAATACGAACTCTTTTGACATTACCAGCAGAAACCAGGACATATTTGAGAGCACGAAGTCCAAAATCATAATGAGATTGTCTGCTGAGTTGTTCGTCGCAAAGTTTGAAGAATGGAACGACTTTGCTTGCAAGTTTTTCAGCTGTACGGAATCCCTGCCGGATAAAAGGTAAAAAATATGAAACAGTGTAGTTTAGCAAGTAGTATTATTGAAATAACTAAATATAATAGTACAAAAAAAATGAGTTTGTAACAAATTTTACAACAAACTTGATATATATGGGTTAGCTCAGTCTGATAATATCGGATGCGTCGCAAAGTATCAGTTCATTTTCTCAAAAGTTACTTCTCATCTTGCCATCAAATTGATATATTATTATGTTAAAATCGATGTTGAGAGGGAAGTATGGTTAAATATGTCTGACAATCATTCCTGGTATGATCGTTTATTTTAAGTGGACTAAAGTGTAAAGTTGACAATACAACTCAGTTCAAAGTCAATACATCGATTAATACAGATTAATAAAACCACAAACTAATAATGAGCATGCTGCCCAAACAGTGAAAACAGAAGACAAAACACAATAGAAAATTATTCACGCCTGAGCGAACATAATAAATGAAGCAAAACGAAAGTGAAAGAATGCAGTGCTTGAAATGAATAAAGTAGAACAGTAACAAATTCACTGTGTTTTATTTTAAGTTTAGGAAAGACGTAATTGTCCGAGGGTAAGCGTTTGAACGAGTCGTTCAGGAGATGCCCCTTTTTTGGTAAGAACATCAGCCAATTGTTTTTTCGATTCGACCCAGCTTATGCTGTTGATTTCTTTGTTTTGAATCATCTCCTTCAGCATCCCTATTTCAACTCGTAAGCGTTTGTTGGAAACATTTTTACTGGATCGGAGTGCTTCACATAGTGATCGATTGTCGGTTATGACATCGAGTTGTAGGCTTTTGAGTTTTCCAAAATATATCTCCGCAAACATATCTTTGATAAAAACAGCATTGTCAACTGCGTCTGACAATGACAGTGTTTCTGCTGTGAGAGTACTTTTGGCAACGCGACGAATCCTCTTGGACTGCCAGCTTAGCAGAGAGCATTCATTATTTTCTCCAACCAAGAACACCAAATTGCCACCTTGGCTTCCACCATCTCTCAGGTTACCATAAGCAGCATCAGCGAAGACGACAATCTTTAATAATTCATCATTTCCTAAATTTTTGTATTTCAATGATAATTGCTGGTTTTTCAGTCTTCTTATTATCTTGTTTATATAGAGCAAATCTTTTTTCTTCCCATCTTTAAGGTTAGAAGCAAGCTGACAAACATCATAGCTCACGTCAGGACGTGTCTGATTGCTTGCCCAGAGAAGACGGCCAATATTCGCTCTTAAAATATCTATTTGAGAAGACGAAAGACACTCTGCATCATCTGAGGTCACTTTTATGGTCTCAAGGTTTTTTACATACAATTCTTGATTGATCAATATTTCATCGGCTGATTGTTGTATGTCTAGTCCCAAATATTTGAATGCCTCGTTTTTCTCCGAGCTAATTAGAAATGTTGACCTCAGTTTCGAAATCAAATTGTTCTCAAAATACTCTGTGCCAGACCACAGAATATCATCAACATGAATCCCAGCTATTCCTTGTAATTCCCCATTGCAGTATACATAGAATACTGCTGAATCAGATGCTGATACTTTTGCTCCTTGGTCAACGAGAAACTTCTTTAGTCGATTGTACCATTTGAGTGATGCATCACTTAACCCATAAACACATTTGTTTAGTTTCCATAGCTTGGTAGTTCCAGCCTCTTTGGGAGGCTTTAAAAATATTTCTCTATCCACACAATTTCCCTGTAAGAAAGCTGTTTTAATGTCAATCGTATGAAGCTTCCATTTCTTTTGTGCGACAATGGCAATAATAACCCTGAGTGAATCTTTTGAACAGGTGGGCGATTCTTTAGCAATATCGTCAGTTTGTTCTTCAAAGCCTCTTGCGACAAGTCTGGCTTTGGGAATGATTCCATCTTCAGTATCTTTCATTGAACACACCCATCGTACGGAAATTGTTGGTTGACCAACATTTTCGACTTCATTGTAGACCTTATTTTGTCTCCAGCTTTTCAACTCTGACTTCTTTGCTTCTAGAAAGTCAACATTTTCCAAGACCAACACATCTTCATGAGTGTTTTCATCCATTTCCTTCTCGTTCAGATTTTCCACTTTATCAAAATCTACGTACCCAGATTTTCCTCTAAAACTTTCTGGATTACAATATTCAACATTGTAGCTTTTCCCATATTTCCCGGTTGATTTACCTGCACGACTAAGGATTTTGGCTTCATAGTCTTCACCAGCTAATGTAAAAGAGACAATTTTGCCTTTAGTCAAGTTGAGATTACGTCTGCCACCAGTTGCTGCTTGAACTGGATTGCCAATTGCACTTTGGTCAATATCCATATTTTCAGAATCATTGCTTTCATTTGAAATTTCTGGAACAGACTGTTCCTCATCTTCTATATGATCATTACCATTAGACGAAGCGTCAATTCCATCATTAGAATCTGTTGGAATGCAAACCTCCTTTGTCCGAGGAAAATCCTGAAGATAACGGTTGGCATGCTGGACTCTGCATGAATGTGCTCTGATTAGCTGTCCGCCATGTCGTATAAAAATAACCGGTCCATCTTGCCCAATTACTTTTGCAGGGCCCTTCCAACGTTTTTGATCCTCTCTCTTATAATAAACCTCTTCTCCCGTGAAGAATTCATCCCGAGTCTGTCGGGTTTGTGTTCGTAATGCTCTTCTTATTTTTTCAGAAGATTCTGATTCAATAACTGCTTTCCTGGCAGCTTGCATTGCAAATATATTATTGGCTACAGTGAGACTTATAGATTCACCTTCCAAGGCAGGTGGGTCATCATGAGTAACTGATGGCAAAGTGGGATTCCTTCCAAACACGAGCTGGTTAGGGCTGAAGCCATTGTTATTCACAAGTGAGTTTTTTTGCGCTAACAGCCCAAGCAAGTGCAGTTTCCATATCACATTTCTCAGCTGCCTTAACCTTCATCAATGTTTCTGTCAATGTCCTATTGTGTCGCTCGCAGAGTCCATTAGACCACGGTGAGTATGCAGCTGTCGTCGTGAATGTTATATTAAAATTTCCACACATATCTTTGAACACTTCAGAATCAAATTCTCCGCCGTTGTCACTCAGAATACGAGCCGGACTTCCAAAAATGCTTATCCAATTTTGCATGAATTTCTTTACAATTGTTGATGAAAATTTATTTCTCACAATGGCAGCTCTACTGTATCGAGTGAAGTGATCAATCATATGCAAATACCACATATCAGAACCTAGCTGATGTAGGTCGACCGCCACTGTTTGATTAAAATCATTTGCCCATGAAAGTCCTACAACTGGACGTGGCGAAGGTTTCTTGTAAACTTTACATATTTCACAATCACTGACTGTTTCTTCAATCAGGCTCGAAAGTTCTGCATTCCATTTTCCTGCATTCTGAATGAGCTTCTTTAATTTGTCTTGTGACGCATGGCCGAACTGTTTATGCAATTTTGTAATTTCAGCTTTCCCAAATTCTTTATGCCCAGTGCTTTCTGATGCAAGGATTTCATTACGACAACCAACTTCTGCCTTCATTTTAGGCAGTATATCTACCGCATAATGTCCATTGGTAGATAAATGCAACTTAAGATCTTGCTTGAGCATTATCGCACGATCGTTCTGCATGTCAAGTACAGTGCCTGCACGCTTTAGTGTGCTTTTGCTGAGTAACAATGGCAAGTTTTCTTCATTCACAATTTCAACCTCCATTCTCAGCAACGTTCGGCCAATTTGTACAGGAATTATAGCCTTTTTCTCAGCTTGAATTTCTTTCCCATCTCCAAATTTAAATCTCTTCATTGAGGGAAAAATCTCAACTCTGCTCGACAAGTTTTCGTTTAAGAGCCCAAGATAATTCCTGAACCATTTTTTACCAGCTACTGTCTTCGTGCAAGCAGTATCTACTATTGCAGCCTTGGCAGCTTCAACTTCAAAAATATCTGAAGAACTTTCATCTGTTATCAAAACCATTTGTATTTGTTCGCAAACACCATCTTGCGCATCGGAACAATAAACTTGATTCTCCTTATGTGGACATTGTTTGGCCCAGTGCATTTTTGATTCACAAATTGCACATCTAGATATATTTCCGTATTTGTCCCGTGGATTCAGTTGAGCTTTTACTGTCGATTCATGATGCTTGAATCGCTGCTTTGCTCCTCCGCCACTACCGGTGGCGTATCTCGATCTCTCTTTGAAAAATTCTTTCTTAAATTTTGGCCTACCAGTACCGGTATCACGAGTCACAAATGCATTCTCCTTTTTAATATTCGATGCAACATCATCTTCATCAAAATCATAATTCTTTTCATCGCCATCTTGCTTTGAAAGAATCCTTTTTAAGGCTGATTTCATAGATTCGAACTTCAAGTCGCTTCCAACAGTAAGAACCATTTGGCGCTGTTGATCAGTTAGGCCTGCAGCATCTAATATCTTAAAAGCCAGAATGGTATCTGGTAGCTTCATGTCATATTTTACAAGTCTAGCATACCGGTGTTCAAACTCCAGGATAAAATCCACCATTGAAATATCAGAACTTTTCTGATATTTACTAAATAGCGTGTAGGCTAAATAGGCCTCATCAGTTTTCTCTGACTGAAATGCACCATCAAGTTTTCCAAGAAGTTTGTCCAACCCATCATCAGCTTTCAACTGTTCACTAGTTAACTCTGACACAGCTTTCTCAGCTTTATTATTTCCATCAAGCGACTGCAGACGCACCAAAATTGCCTGCTTTTCCTTTGGCACTTCTGTTATGGAAATCCACATGTCCAACTTATTTTTCCATTCTGCATAGCTAGTACCGCCTCCAAACCTTGGTGGTGGTATTTGTTTGGAAGTCATTTTCCTCTGCTACCATGTAAAGTTGACAATACAACTCAGTTCAAAGTCAATACATCGATTAATACAGATTAATAAAACCACAAACTAATAATGAGCATGCTGCCCAAACAGTGAAAACAGAAGACAAAACACAATAGAAAATTATTCACGCCTGAGCGAACATAATAAATGAAGCAAAACGAAAGTGAAAGAATGCAGTGCTTGAAATGAATAAAGTAGAACAGTAACATAAAGCATATATATATATTTTTCTTGAGGTAATTTAATGTTAACGAAGTCAAATTTTACGTTCCTAAAGTCAGTAATGATTTGAATGATACAAAGTGAATGTGTGGCGAGTTTGAAGAGTTCGACAACCTAGGAATTGAATAAATGAAGAAAGCGGACACCTGAATTGAGTTGAGAGAGTGTTCAAAAAAGTTTGCAAACGATTTATAAATTTTTTTACTCTAGACAGGGAATCCTTGGCTTACGACGTTGTGCCGTTCTTGAGCAGCAGTGTAAACGACATTTCAGTGTAAGTCGGAACATTATACATATCGTACTGTATTGTAAAGTATGGTACAGTAATAAAATGTACAAATAATGCAAAAAGTACGATGTAAATGACGAAAACCAATGAGCCTGAGGCACTGATTTTCTTGATCACAATGATCCTTAAGGGCTTCGATATATTTCAGTACAGTATTAACTTTTATATTTTTATGGAGTGCGTTCGTAACCTCTAAACAGCATTATGGAGTGCGCGTTCGTAACCTCGAAACAGAGTGAGTCGCGACCGTCGTAACCCGAGGACTCCCTGTATATTGCTAATTTCATATTTTCTCACATTGATGGGCAATCTACAAACATTTTTGTGCTACTGCAATTTTTTAAAAAGGATTGAGACTTTTAATAATAAGTTAATAGTTGATCTACCAGCATGACATTACCTGTGAGTATAATAGAACTTGAGCAATCAACTGTCTGTCTGGTTTAGTCATTGCCAAGCTTCTGAATAATTTCTTCAAGTTGTCAGGTAGGTTAGAACGTCCAGCATATCCAGGATTCATTGTGATGAAAATTGCCATCTCAGGACTCACTTTTACCTACGAAGAAAAAGTGGTAAGAATTATAAGAAATAAAAATGAATACCTATACATGTACGCTTATATTAGAATAGCAGCAAAAAAGTGTTAGCTCGTCAGAGGTAAAATATATTGTTCTTTTAGGTGAAAATACTCCAATTATTCTGAATTCAGATAAATTTCAAGGGTTTAATTCTATATTAGCAAATACGGAATCCCCGATACTCATATGTAGATAATAGTCTGTATTAAAATCTTAGTAATACCACATCATCATGTATTTTACTACTGTCAAGAAAGCAAATTTATAATTTACATGTTAAATATCCAATAGACCTATGCAAAAGCTCGAATGTGGGTAATCAATAAATATGATAATATGATAAAATAAGCCTTTGAAGACAAACTATAATGCAGAACTAACCTGTTTTCCAAGCAGTTCAACACAAACACTCTTTGATGTATCACGAGCAGGATCAGAATGAAGTTTCAAAGCTTCTTGAATTTGTTGAATTTGCTGAGACACAGCAGACAACATTCTCTCTTCCAATCTATTGAATTCATCGAAACATCCCCAAGCTCCTACTTGACATAAACCAACAAAGATTCTTCCCATGGCCTGAATAGAAAATATAACCGGACTTAGGATTTTCTTATTTGCGTGAGGATAAGGAAACCTGATAGAATGGAAAATCATATATTCTTGTCTGGTTATGGCCGAGCTTAGAGTTAACAGTTTACAAAAGTTCCACATGCATGAAGTGGTTGGTAGAAAATGAAACCAGCTGGGGGGTTGTGAAGTCACTTCGACGAACCTGTAAATTCTCTTTCATATAACCACCTGACATTGAACCCATGCATATTCAATGTAGTAAATTCTAGATTTTGGAACAATGTTCAACACTTTCATTTAAAAATTTCGATAAATTTACAATTTGTGGATTTCTCTACTAAACATTATGACATTGAACATTCTATTCGATTTACCATACTTGAAAATATTCATGGGCATTACTGCAATGATTAGCACTTTTCTAATGAATAACAAAATAAACCAATTTTTACATGCCACAAAAATCATAGATAAAACAAGGCAAGGAATACCGTACTTGGAAATCGAATGTTTCATCGCAGTTGAATACCAGCACAAATCGTCCCATTTGATGACCAAGTGCTTTCACTGTTTCTGTTTTACCAGTACCAGCCGGTCCAAAAGGAGATCCACCCAATCTTGCCTCAAGAGCTTGGGTCATAGTCAAATAGCATCTAACAACAAACAAGATGAATACTTGAATTCATTTCAAGCATATCATCTATCAAAATCAGGAGTGTGCAACCTTTTATACAGGAGGGCCAGATAGAAATAACTGGGTGAAACCGTGGGCCGCACCTTTGTTTAACATAGGCTTTCTAGTAGTTTCAGGCACAAAAATTTTGGTTATTGATCCTATGACATGCGCACAATCTAACTGTTTAGGCATTGTAACAACATAGGCATAATAAATTGGACTTAGATGTAGGCTTGGCAACGCAAATGGATTGTTATTACTGGTACTGCATTAAACTAAAACAAAAACTCGTTTCGCGGGCCGCACACCATTCAAAATTGGCACTTCACCGCTGGTCCCATGGTTTTTCCTTGTGGGCTGCATTTGGCCCTTAGACCACAGATTGCACACCCCTGATCTGAATCATACCTATCGAACACAACAATTATTTGAGAACCATTGATGGAGCAATAAAATTTTTGCTTATCTAAAACCATTTAAAAATTATTAATTCATAAACCCATTTTTCTAAAATTTGTCTGGGAATAAAATACGAGTCAAAATGGACGTTTTATATTAGTTTTAATTTCAATACAACATTTCACAAAGTATTTGTTGGAATTAAGCAAAACATAATTCTATTTTCTACTTGAGGGGTGTGCAACCTTTAACATAGGACGGCCAAATACAAATAACTGGTTTAAACCGCGGGCAGCATCTTCAGTCACAAAAATATTAGTTATTGATCTTATGGCATGCGTTGTTCACTTTGCACAAGCACTTGCAGCCCAAAAGGATTAGAATTATTCGCACGTATAAGATTAAACTAATTTAAAACTCATTTCGTTGGCACACCATTTAAAATTAGCACTTTCCTGCGGGCCGGACGTTTTTTCTTGTAGGCCGCATTTGGCCCACGGGCCGCAGGTTGCACACCACTACTTCAAAGTACTTATCATTCTACAATTACCTGTCAGTAAGTGGAGTTTGTACAAGTTTATCTTGGACTCCGAGATATTCGAAACCATATTGGAATCTCGCATTTGCCATATGAATGGATAGTTGTTGCAGGACGTCAGATTGTTTTGGATCATAGTAAAATCTCATCTGCATCAGCCATGAGAAATCTTGAGGACTTTTTGCGCATTCCTGTGAAATTGTAATCAAAAGATATTTAAATTTGATACTTTAATAAGAATTTATAATTTGTTACTCATAAATAAAAGAAAATATAAAAAGGTGGTTTGTTCATAAAGCAATACTACTGGTACTGGTTTTGAGTGTAGGTAATAAGCATAAAGCACTGCCTGATCTATATATTAGACGCATGGCCGATTTCAAATAAAAAAAAAAAAGTGCGTATTATAATCTGTAAAATACAGTACATGAAATTTTTAAACAAGTCAAGAGGTGTATTGAAATCCAAACTTTTCTTTATTTTATTTTTATTTTATAAAATTTATTAAAAACTTTGGTCACCATATGAGCTATCAAACCACTGAGAAATACATCGCCATTGCTTGAAGATTGATACTGTCAGCTAGGTGTAATACTGACACGAAAATGCGATGAATTATGGCTATGGTGCACATCGGATTAAATGCCAGAACGCATAAACCAGTTACTCCAAAAGTGCCACAGTCAATGGAGCAAATCATATTATATACAAAGCCAATATATCATATACTGTACACTATATAGAAAAGATTTAAAAATTGCTGGAAAGATCAACTTCACACGACTATAAAATTGAATCCTAAGACAGTAACTTGAATGCAAGAAACTAATTCGGAAGTCAATAATACAATACAAAAACTTCAGCATCAAGACTTTAGAACAGAGGCAGGCACGGACCGGCAAGTCATGTAAGTGTGACTTACAAAGTTAAAGTAACATTTTATAAACAATATTTACATTATTACAAAAGCAAAAGTAGAAAACAAGGAGACTCTTATCAAAACTAAATTAAATCACAATCTCAACAAACTCCTTAAGCTATTTTTAGCTAAAACATCAAACTTTGGTTTTAGTTTGGTTGTGGCAGCACCAGGCAGGCCAGATTGAATTAACCAACGGGCTGGATGTGGCCCACGGACGGTAGTTTGCCTATGTCAGCTCTAGAATATTCTAGACTCTAAAATATTTAAAACTGCAAGTCTTAACACTCGCAGAAGCAAACACTACCAACCTTGATTAAAAGTCTTGTAGTATCTCTTTGATGAACAAGTTCAGTGATCAAATGTTCAAGTTTTCGACGTCGAACAGCAGGTTGTTCGTGAAGTACAGAATCCGCAAGTACATTCAATGTTTGCTCAACTTGTACCAAAACACCTAGAATTCAAAACATTGCTTTGTTGAACGGGTGATAATATCACGGTATCCGTTATATTTTGCCTATATTTGGTACATTATTCTGATGTATTTCACAAAATTTCAGTCAAATTTTTTAATGCAATTTGTCACCATTTCTGATAATAAAAATAGAAAACTATTGGATATGAAATAACTAGAATCTTCCTTATTAAGCATAGTTTTTCCATATTTCTTGCACTCTAGGTGAGAGATTGATCTTGACAGGATCATACATTTTTTGATTACTGTACTTTGCGGACCATAAGGCAACCACACCATATTATAAGGCAAACTGGAAATAAATTGTGTAGATTGGATTTTTATTCATGCATAAGGCACATCAAGCTATGAGATGTGACGATTTTAAAAACAATACCGGTAATGATTTTGAGGGTAGGCATTAAGCACTACCTGATCCATACATTTGGCACACCGGCTTATAGGGATTCGGAGTGCACCCTAAAGTCCATAAAATACGGTAAGTATTTTTTGGAGTTTTACAAAATAAATACAATTTAGGTGCTATTCAAAGAAATTTGCATTTTGAGTGGTAAAAACCATCACTTTAATTGCATCCAGACTTTGCACCAAAATTCAGTGAATCAGGTTAATATTGCATTCTTTATTAAAATCTTCTAGCGAATGATGACAACAATGACCATATTACCCTGCTGTCTTGAGTATTGTTTTCAATATAAATCTGGTTTAATTGGGTATATTTAACTCTGTATATTCTGGTTAACAGGCCTATTCATTACCATACATACCTTGCAAAGCACTGTTATCTGGTTTTTTCATATCAGCTGTCGTTTGTAATGCACGTTCAACATTTTCAGACCATGATATTTGAGCAGATAAGATAACAAGTTGTGCCTGATATTTATCCATCCATTCCATATATTGCTGACGATCAACTTCTTTGTCCCTGAGTAAATAAATACCGTATTTTCCGGCGAATAAGACTACCCGGCCAATAAGACGAGGCCTGTTTTTGGCACCAAAAAAAGGGGTTTTTCCGTGTATTCGTCCAATAAGACGAGTAAGAAGATCGCATCCCTGCGTCTCCGTTCGACAGTTAGCAAAAAAGCGCACTATTATTTTTAACCGATTCTGTTGTTGTATTTTTCAGTTACGCGCTAATGCTCTCTCATTTCATCGATTACTTTTGCTCGTGATGCACACACAAATGCGACGCCATCTTGGCGACTTATACTCTGCTCGTGATGCACACGCAAATGTGGAAACTTCAAATACAATAATTAAAAAGCGTTTATATTCCAGATTTACCAAGCGAGAACGCCTATTCATCAAACTAAACTGTCGGGGAGGGCATATTATCGCTCGCAAGATATTTCATGGTCCTAATTGCAGAATAAACTGACATCGAAAAAAATCAATATTACCATATTCGCCCAATAAGACGACCCCCCCTAAATCAGGCCAAAAATTTAGGTCTAGAAAATCGTCTTATTCGCCGGAAAATACGGTAAATTATATGGAGCCAGAGAAAAATGTCATGCAACTAGGAGTTATTTAAAAATGCAATTTCAAGTTAATGAAAAATTGCTTTAATCCCAGGGCGCGAGATTGAGAATGGCAAAATTTTGACAAACTCCTGTGATAACAAACAGATTGAAAACTCAGTAAGCAAATTCCATTTTTGAATATAAAACTTATGACTCCCGTTCCTGAATATAAACAATTTTAAACATTTAGATTCCAACTCAGGATGTTTATAATAAATACCAGGAATCCAAAAACTTCAATTACGCAATTCGAACTATTACCCAGTAAATGAAAAGCAATTTTCTGTTTATCCATTTCTATCATAATACAACATATAAAAACATCATGATAATTTCGGACATACAAATATTAATATTAGTTTATTCCAATAGCATATTTCCACATATGATATAAAAATAGAAAAAACTGATGAAAATATACAATGGCTAAATAAAGAAATAATAGATAGAGCAACGCCTGAAACAATGATTGTTCTAGCTTTTTATCGATTCTATATAAGAACTTACTTGAATGAAGCAACATCAGTAACAGATTGAGCAAGTAACTTAGCAAGTGTTTGTTTCATTTCTTGTTCTAATCTTGTCAACCATTCATTGATCTTGGGATGTTTTGCAAGAGACACAGGCGATTTATATTCAACCTAGAAATATACAATTTCTATGATAACGATTGAGTAAACAAATATAAATTACAGCTGGCTTATCGAACAACAAAGCGTAGAATCAAGTTATATAAAACAGAATTTTTCCTAGCAATACTGATTCACACTAGACAAAAAAAAGTACACATCAGTGATGCAACACCATGAAAATCCATTCCTTACCAAAGTTTGCCTAAAAAATTGTTGAGCTTCTCAACGGATAACACAGAACACAAGTATTCTACAAATCACCAATTTTATGATTCCCAGTACATAATACATATGCAACTCTTTAAGTTTATATTTACAGTAACCAGGAAACGGGATGGAAGGAACTTTTACTTCATCATTGAGACTAAATTCTGGAACAGTATTTCCGCATATGGAATGATGAATATTTTATGAACTGAATCATTTTTCACAGAGAAATTTGAACAAATCAGTGCAAGTTAATGCTTAATGATGTTTTAATGATTTTTTACAGTGTCACGAATGAAATCTATTTTTTGCATGACATGCCAATCAATGTCTAGCGTTCAAAATGCTAAATTTGAAATCAAACTATTCTAAATCATTAGTGAAATCGATAAACAAAAGTTGAATGTAAATTAATATCCCTCCTTTTGTAATACATTTGTTATAAAAAAACTTCCAATAAAAACATCCTATAAATTCTAGTAATGACTGAATAAACGAATAAATAAACGAAAGCCCACCTGCTCTGCTTCTTTTGATAGAATTCCAGTAATAATCATGTTCTCATCAGTCAATGCAAGAGATGCAATACCAGCAAACATTTTCTTGAAATGTTTTTGCAGTTTGGGAATACTTTTTGAATTTCCAATGATTTCAAGAAGATCTTCATCACCAACAAAGTAGAATCTGGTATGAGTGAATAATATTAGAAGTAAAAGGTTAAACTCACTGGCCATCATTACGAATATAAATATTACGCAATAGGAATCAAGTAATAAAGATGAAGTTCAATTTTTCAGCAAATTAATGGCATTAATTTGGGCGCTCCAGAAGTGTGTGTACCAATGTCCAATATGGAGGTAACTAATTTTGTTCGCCTACTTTACATCAAGTTGTGCAAAGGGATGAAAGCCTGTGGGCAGGGGAATAAAATTATGGCCTAACTTTGTATGTTAAGTGTCATTTCTTCCAACACACCTCTGATTACCCTGCGAGGTAGATTCAAATCCAGTCGGGGATAATTTTATAATAATACAACAGGAGGATTGTGCATACAAAATTTTCCAAACCCTTGACTAGAATATTGATATTGCACAGACCTTGGAAACGATGCTCTTTCTCGTTCCAAATATTCACCAAGTGCTTTCTGTATTTTTCCAAGAAGATCAGCCAGACGTTCTAATGATCTTTGAACACCAGGTATATTCATTACATCCAGTACAAGAGGAGATCGAGCAACCTGCCATTAACAAAATATATAGAACAATCATCAATAGTATTACAAAATATAAATTAATCTATTTTAGATTCATCATTATCCATCACAACCGATTTTTAGAGTCGAAAAGTTCAAACGTTAGCGATAAAATACCAAAACACATGTCAAGTATATGAGTAAAATTGGAATGGAGTAACTAACTATAAATGTTTTGAATCAAACCCTTTAATTCTAGCATAAGTAGTTTTACGCTCGAAATGGCTCAAAATCTAGCACATATATCGATATTGTATACAGAACATAGAATAACTTTTGATGAAATAAAAGCAGCATAGATTATAAGTGTTCAAAACCTATTGATAACATAGGTATTGGAAAATTTTAGCAATATGTAAATAGGTATTAAATCTGCGAAAAACATTATCTGTAACACATCCAATCTGATGAGGTTTCATAATTGCACCATATAATGTTACAACAAATATTGATACCTTTTTCATGAGTTGTAAAAACTCAGATGATATTGATGCAAATCTTTGTGATTCGACAGGCAGAAGATGAGGAATGTCAGCACTTCCAGTAAATATACCTTCCAAATAAACCCATCTCCTCTGTACATCAATCCAAACATCAAACAAAGCAGAAATTCGATTAAGTTTTTCTTCCCATGAAGTGGCTTCTTCTTCAAAAACCTGATAAGGAAAACACATAAGCATTTTTGCACTACAACAACTGACTACAACAAAAATAGAATAGGAATTTCGTATTTATCCTGAGGGAGAGAAAAGCTGACAAAACGGCTAAATCATATGGCAAGCCACAGTCATATTGCCACAGTCAACCAGTTACCAATTCGTGTTGGGTATAGGAATAGAGATATTTGTTTGAGATGCATGGAAAGTGTGATTGAGCATTGGTTACACAGCAGTCGCACATAATCATCCTCCAAGAAATTAAACATGCTGAGGTGCCAGAATAACCAAAGGTGTGGTTTCAAACTCCGCCATGAGAATATTTCAAAAACTAGATATATTAAAAATATTTAAATTCTGAATATTGAAATTTTAGTATTCTTAAAACTGTAAACATTATACATATGCGTGCGAATTTAGCGGAAGCCGACTCTTTGATGATTACATGCATTTTTATCCCGGTCGGAAAAATAATATCTCCCTGTTAGAACCCATCAAACGGCTGTCGATTACAGAATAACTTAACTAAACTGTAACTAAATGATCTGTTTACCTTGTAGTAAGGACTGAGTTTCATAGCGGATACGGAATTGATATGATCTTTGACTTTGTTGAATAAATCATCCCATCCTCGAATAATTCTGCATTTATTCTGATAGTTGATTAAATCCAGTTCATAAGCTTGCCATTCTTCACGGACCTGAAAATTGTATAATGTTTTGAAAAAAAAAACTTCAGATATCAGCAATTTAGTAAAATTATAATAAATATTAACTCTTTACAAAGCTTGAAAAGAAAAGAAAATTACATAGAGAATAGGGCACATGCTTTTGTCAACAATCTTTAGTGAAGTCATCTACAATTTTACCCCTTTTTACTGACCGGAGTCATAAATACACTTACCTGTGTTAGGTATTGTTCCAAAGCCATTTCACCTTGAGCAACAGAAAGTATGTCACGTATGATGTTCTCATTTCTCAGTAGATCAACATCCCAGACTTGGCCCAATGTTAAATCACTGAGAACCCATGATACCCTTAACTGTCTCATCAGTTGTTTCCAATGACGTTCTTTAACAGCAGATCCTTTCAGTTCAACAACCATCCAGTTAACCTAAGAAGAGAAGGAATTTAGGAAATCAATATTTCAGCGTAGCTTAGTTTTGAAATGTTTTTCCCACAAAAAGATAAAACAATGTACTGTGGCTCGAATCAAGGCACTGACAACAACCTTTGAATAGTTTTATTTTGCCAAGCAAACAATTTGAAATTTTATTACCATCTGGCAAATTAATTTTGTTCCTGTTTCCTGTTTGAAATTACAGTTTTTATAGTTTTTTTAAAAGTTGATAACTTGGAAACTGACATATTTTCTGTTAGTTATAGAATGATAGGTGATAAGGATATTTTTAGAATCCCGCATTAGACATGGAATACCGATATATACCGGTACTCATAAATTTCTCCCAGTGCCATTCATATTAATTATATTTGCAAAAGATCAGTTAATTGGTCAATAGCAATATACCTTGATGAAGGCTTTTACGGAGTTACTGATGTGTTCATATGCAGAATATTGTCTCAAACGAGCAGGAAATTTCTTCAACTGTTCGGCAAAAACTTCCAATCCTTGTCTTAGTTTGCGTGGTTGAACTGATAACCATTGTTGATCTTTCATTTGTTCGACTTGATCCCAAACTTTAGATAATTCAGACCAAACTTCTTTAAGATCTTTCATTTCTTCAACAGCCACCTGGAAAATGGAATAAAAGATAAAATAGTAGATCCATACATATCAGTGCTGTCTGTATATTGGGAGTGAAAAGTGTGAAAACACTGAATAAAGATAATAGAAAAATAACAAACAGTAACTCTGAGAGCAGAGAGCAACTGATATTACTTGGACTGGTTAACCTAAAAAATTGAAAGTTTAGTGTATGCATCTTAGATATCATCATCAGATTTGATTTGGAATCGAAACAAATGTTTCGAATGTATCTCTATGGGGGCCCATCGTTGTCACGCGTAAAATGAAAAAGAAAAATTCAAAAAAAAAATAAATAAAAAAAATAATTAGCAATTAAAATCAATAAGGTTGACAAGGATGGGTCGGGAAACAATTAAACTTCATTAAACTAGCAAGAGCTGGTGTTTTTTAACAAAAAGCATTGCTTTGTACCAGGAATAGTCATTTTTTATAAAAAACGAATATAGCACTAAAAGTTCATATCCATAGCAATACATTAAAAAAGCAAGTTACAAAATGTAAATCTTTGTAACTAAATCAGGAAGTATTAACATGATCTAAAGTTTCTCACTTGTACTCTTTCTTCGGATGGGCTGACCATTCCAGCATCAGACAATTCTAAAGCTTCTTTTGCTTTCACTAAGTTAGTTCTGTCATCTTGCAGGCGTTGAAATTTCCCTTCGAAAATAGTGATTGAGCGCAGTGCTTCTTCTGGACGTAAATGTCCTGCAACTGGCTTACCACGTTCCCAGTCAGAAAGTAGGTCACTGGTCCTGTTTAGAAAAAAACATTAAATTAGGTGAGGGATTTCCTAGGCAGAGATGCATGATGGCAAATAATATTACAGAGTGTTACACAGTTAAACTGTGACAGATTAACCGCAATGGTTCCCTCAAGAGAAACATGAAAATCTGACTAATCTGGGTTCAAGCTGAAGATGCTATACCATGATAACAACTTTCAACCAGGTTACCCTGTTGTTGAAGCAATCAAATTGTATATCAATAAAGTTGGATCAAAGGGAGGTTTGGTACTGAACTACAGAGTAAAACAAATTAGATTTGTTACCTTTGTTCCACAGCTCTATCTTCAGTAACAATCTTCATTTGCAAGCTTGCTACTTGTGTCTGGATAGCTCCTTCCTTGCGTTTCATGATATCTGTAAACGCCATCCATTCACCTTCTATGTTATCAATGTAAAGCCAGGATGAAGGAAATTGGAATCTATGTTTCTCGAGCAGACGTTGACCTTCACGATACATTTCAACCTGTGACAACGACAAGTTAATTTGTCAATAAATGATAACAGAAGTTGGGAAAGCAATAAATACTATTTTGAAATTGATACCCTAAAATACACAAGATAATTAAAATTTCATTTATGTTATTTTTTCACTGTGAAGCAGGCTCTTCAAATTTCAAGATTGACAAATGAAATTTCGAAATAGATTTATAATATGAAAAATCAAAAATGATTGTTACGCTGCTATCAATACGAAATATTACTACAATAAACAAACATAAATATGAATTGTAGAAGAAGCATACCTTGTTCATGTTCAAATTTGCATACAAAATTTATCATAACATTAAAAGCAATGTACGTATTGAGATTCCCCAAAGCTAAATGATATTACTGTTATGTATTACTGTCATGCATTTACTAACATATAATTCTACACTACAATTTGTTATAGCGTAGGTAGCTGTTGACAGTGTAATCGTCGCTCGTAGCTTTATTTTTGCATGCATCCTTTATTTCTAAATGATTGAGCCTAAACTTGCAAATTTTTTATCAATAGATTTCCAAATTTCAATTTACCAGAACTAAAATACGTTTTCCACATTCCTATATTTTAAACCCTATTCCCTACCTGTTTTTCCCAGCCTTTCACATTCCTCTTCAGCGCTTGCACATTAGTGATAACAGCAACAGCATCCGATGTGTTAGAAGTATCTACAGAAGATTGTTCCAATTCCGTACGAGATCGAGTTATTTGACCATGGAATTTACCCATTTCCTAAACAACAAAAGAACAATAGAAAATCAAAATAAGATTATACCACATGTTACAATATAAAGCCACAAACCACAATGACTATGTAAACAATAACATATTCTATACAGAATTTGACCAAGACAAATCAACAATTACCAAATGTCATACGACTTCAAAGTAGTGTGGAAAGAAGACCAACATGAATATTTTTTATTTACAGCTCTGAAAATAACATTCCATCAATTTTATCGTCGGATCATACCATAACACTGAATTAGCAGGTTTCTTTATATAATGGAATTACAACTTTACTTCTTTAGATGTACAACATACTATTACACCATTACTGGTGTAGGTATTGCCAGAACTTCCAGAAGGTTAAAACAAGAAATAGAACGAAAGTGTCAACACTTGCTAGTAAGGGCGGGAGAAATCAATTTTGAAATTTTTGTCTGTTAGCGAGAAGGCCGAGAATTGTGGACAAATTTTGCAGCATTCGATTCAGATATGTGCAAGTTCCCTGTCACATTTTACCAGATACTCGAATAGTTAAATACCATATTTCAATATTCGATTTGCTATTTGTTATTTAAATATTTTGCGCAATCCTCTTGCTAACGTTTTTATTTTCTACATAATGATTTCAACAATTTGATCTCAAATTGAATTTGTCTTTTACGCTTGTATGCAGAACACACTTAGCTTTGAAGTAATTCTTATATGCATGTCTCTTTTATATTGTGCATTGCAAAAATCGGATAGGACCAAAACATTTTACGGTATTGATTAGCTTGAGTCACTTAGGGATATATTTGGATTTTGACTTTACCAAGATCCACCGTTAATTTAAGATAATGACTAACAAACTGCAAAGTATGAATGAATAATAATTTCATTTGCTAGGTATATTCATAATTAAATTAAATTATGAATTTGACATGTCACCTCGTATACATATCAAACAACACTTTAACACAAATTATACAAACGAGATGCTTGCTTTCAAAAATAAGCCTATCTGAATTTTTTTGGCTATTCTGAAGGTAGAGTTGTGAATGAAAACATGTTACCTGTCCAATCAATTGTCCAAACTTAGTCAAAACTTCTTTGTGCCATGTGTCATATTTCAAGTTGACCTTTGACTGGACCTTAGCGTACTCAATAACAATCGGACCAAATGTACGTTTGGTCTCCGAAGTATCGAAAGTAGCACGTCGACGACGTATTTCAACCAGAAGTGCCTATAAATTTGAGTACATGGCGATAAAACGTCTGTTATAGACCGGTTGATCAAATTGTATATTTGAAGTGAAATCAGTGTTTTACATTGAAAGCTACAGCCTGGGTAAATAGCAATGAATATTGAAAAGCTTATGCATACTGAAATTTTCAAAATAAATCTATATGGTTTATGGAGATATTGTAAAGCCTCTTAAAAATAATACAATGCAGTTAGATTCCAAATGCGTGTCACTTATACATATGTTATGAAATTACAATTTACACATTCGATATCTATATCGGATAGAGAACAGCAGTTTAATCATAGTTTAATAATGATATGAAGAAATGTATCCTCTCATCACTAGAATACTAAATTGGTAAAGTTGGTCATTTGAAAATCATATCAATATTAGAGATACATACATTTTATGGTGATGATAGCGGTTACTGATCAGTGGTCAGGCAAACCAAATAGAACCAACAGAGTCACATACATAACAAGAATATGTGCTAAAAATTTATTCTGGCAGCATTTCAGAATATACTCAAAATTTGAGAATACCTATTTTGCTCTACCATCGTTTTACTATAACACCAACCTGCCATAATTGAATGTCATTTCCAAGTTTATTGTACATCAACTCAGCTTGCATATCCCATAGGCTCTGATATTGGAGCCATTCTTTTACATATGAAGTCACCTAAAGTACAACAAAAACAGCTCTTAAACCAACTTTTAAAAAGATATTTAGGATATGATAGAAGGATGGAAAGAAAAGGATTCATAATTTCAAAGTTATCCGGGGTCAGCATTCCTAACCGTGGAGAATTTTGTCATTTTGGGGGTATTTTGCTTAACCCAAATGGCAAGGAGTCCAGCAATCATCACGCACACAATTGTCCCCCATGGGACTCGAACTTGTGCAATGTAATCAAGGATGGGTTCGCAGGTGTGTTCCTGAAGAGCTTTAGCGCAAATGTTTATAATTCAACTTACATCAGAGAAAAGACTCTCGATGGCTTCATAACATCTCTGTAAAATGAGCGATCCAGTTGGTATTCTTGTCAAGCATTTTCGGTAATATAAATCCACATCAGTCAAACCAATATCCAATCCAACCTATTATTAAATGAAGATGCTATTAATACCTAAGAGCTGAGCAACAGGGTGCTTAGACTACATGCCTTGAAATAGAACAGATTTTTACCATATACCGGTACATACTGTAAATATTCTTTAGTGATGTGGAAAAAAAAGTAGTGTTACGTCTTATTTGTGTTTGGTCTGTCTGTCCAGCCCAGGTAGTCCAATACTGATTTTCCACTACACCTTTCTTATCAGTCTATACTCTTTTCAGTATTACCAACAGCCAAAAAGGGATGCTTGAGGTAGACTGTTTAAATAAAGGTGAATAAAAGATATACCTCCCCCAAGAGTATTACAAAATGCTGTAGCATATCCTTTCCCACTACTACAATTTCCTATTATTGTTAAGCATAAGATTGAAAATACCTGATAACGACTGCTAAGAATCCTTGGTAATCGCTGAATGATATCTTGCCATTGTTGCAGTTCATTAATCAGTTCCTGAAAGCCAAGAGCAAAAATTGGTTTCTTTCACTATAATTCTACCTATAAGTAACCACCACTCATTCCTAAGGAGACAACAGTTTATAAAAGGTATGATCATTGCATTATTACAGTACAATTTATGTATATATATTTTTATACAACTCTCATTCGCATATTTTGCTACAAACAAGGTATACAAATAAGACAGAGCAAACAATGTCTATATCAGCAGTTTCCAACCGGAGGCCCATGGCCCACCAAGCAGTTAGAGGAGGGTCCAATGCTATGCGCAAAACTGATTTTACTTTCATTCACAAAAAAAATTCGTTCTCCCTAGTTGACAGGGTGTTTTCACTTTGTTGAGTATGAATTGTTTGAACATAATGGAATTCGAAATATACCAATAAAAATAACAGTATAAATACTACTGTAATGAATACTGGGAGCCATGACTGCTAAAAGAAGGATGCCACAAGCCATAAAAGGTTGGGAACCACTGGTCTGCATAAAATAGGAATATTGATTATTTGATTAGAATTCACTCAGTTGAAATTACCCTTCTCATGCTGTTAAGTTCAGGATGCATGTAGATGACTTGATTCATGACTCTCATTTCATAAACAAGTTTAGCAATCTTAGGATCACCACCAAGTTTCTGTTGAGTTTTTGCAGTTGCGTCTCCTGATCCATCCGCATTTTTTGCTTCATCAAAATCTTCTTTCCTGTTGTCTTTCTTACCAAGCAATACCTGAAATTTCAGAAGAAAGAGTATTGCTAATTGTACAATAACATAGCAGTATATTTTTATAAATCAATCTTTAAATTGGAAATTATACCAAAAACAAATTTACAAGAAAACACTTGAAGTCTTATTTAGCTTCAGATAGCAGGAAGAAGATATCTTCAAGTACCTAGTTTAAAATGTTTCTAATCCTGAGCACTGGAATTCAAACCAAAATCAAGTCTAACTATACTGTAGGCATTTGACTCTTTTTTAGGATATGGCTAATAATAGTTAGATAGGGCTGTGAGTGAGACTAACTGAGAAAGTACCCTCTTTCAGAGATGCAGCAACCTTTTCTTATTGAAATGTATTTCTATTGATGCCTTGCTCGTTCTTTTCAGGAATTAGAAAACTTAGCTATACTTCATGTTATCAGGAAGGGAAGCTACCTGGCACCAAGCTTGCAGACCAGCTTCCAATCTGGCAGCCAATTTCTCCTCGACTTTCTCATCCAGTCTTCTCACCCAAAATGGTAGATTTGAGTATGAGTGAAGATTGAGATCATCCACAGACTTTTGGATACGACCTGAAACAAAGCGATGTAATATATAATCCTTATCTGCTTGCTAACTAATTTTAAACAAAGTACCACCCGTAGAAGACCAAAGTAGCTTATGTCATTTTTTTCAGAAATTGACTTTTTTTATTTTCTTTTTATTATGGACCTGTAACTGTTTTTTGGTCTGGGTTTTCAAATAAATACCTCATTTCTTTTAGGGTAGTACCTTATGTTCGTATTTAGGTTAGGCAGTTAAAACCAAACTGCAAACTTGTAACAAACAAATTTTTCAAAATCTAAAGGTGTTTTTGTGTATATGCTACACATTGATATATGTAGTGAGTAAACCAGATATTGTATATTTCGACTTCACCATATGACAATAAATATTACACCCGAATTTATTCTCCTAACAACAAAATAAAAAAACACCATCCTATAATTTTATTTTTATTTATCCAGACATCTTTAGAAACTCACCGATAATTTCTGAAAACACTTGGTGGTTATACGAGCAAGTTTCCAAGCTTCGTACTTCGTTAGCAACCCTATCATCAATTGAAATAAGATCGTCAATCTTTTCTTGAAAACCAAAAACTTGTTCGGCAAACTTTTGCACATATGGATCAAGCTTATATGATTCCCAGACCAACTGAACACCTGAATAGAAATCATAAATAGTTTGATATCCAGAGTTGTATACTGTTTATCTAAGATTATTGCTTTTCAAGTCGTATCTGGGAGTAATTACAAAAACAGTTTCAAGTGAATTCGAACTTAAGCACTGAAAAATGACATAGAATTTAAAGCATGAAATTTTGTTCAAAATCTGCATATTGGAAATTATACAGCTGGCAATTCTCCGAACAATACGCCAATATTCCCAAAATTTAAATGCACTTATGTCGGTTTGGTTTTCATTTATGGCGGTATTATACTTACATATAATAGTAGCCCATCATAATATGATATATTATATTCTTAGATATCAGTGGATGTATGTGCAAGGCCTTCTTGGAGCAAAAAGCGTTAATACATGTTGTTTAAAAAATCATTATAGGAGTTATTTTATAGTCAGATCATTTGTCAATGTTTCAAGTTGGCTAATATACTTTAGCCAATATTTTGTCAAAATTTTGTATGTGTATAATTATCCTGTAAATTAAGCATATGATAATTTTGCTGTTTCAATTCACAATAAGAATAAAACCATGAAGTATTTTGATGATACTATTTTAAATAATACAACATGAAGACCCCCCCCCCCCCCGAATGTAAATTGGGAATTTACCATACCTTCAATGATAGTATTATGTAGATCCCGTCGAAGCATTGCAACCAGAGTAATAATGTTCGGACGTTCTTCTATCTTTTGCAAAACACCTTCATAGGTTCGAACTGATTCCATGAGAGAAATAGCGAATGGGTAGAGTTGGTTAGCCTGTTGTAAAATACAGAATATAAGTAAGCTTATATACTATATTACTGGGACTGGGGCATGAAAGATGAGAGTTTATTATTAAATAATCAGGAAGCAAATGAATAGAACAATACATGTAATTGAAATCGATTTAAAGTGCTTGGTCCTAGTCCTAACAATGTTGCTTGATTTTTAAGACCCAGTTCAATGAGATTCAGGATCGATAGCTTTACAAAATGAACGATGCAGAAATTCAAAAGAAATGAGTGAAAAACACATTGAACCACAATTCAGATAAGTTTTTTATTTTAATAATCAACATAGGTAGATTGCACAGGGTGATATAAAATAATGGGCGCCCCAGAAGAGTGTGTACCAATATGGAGGTAACTGATTTTGTTCGCCTACTTTACATCAAGTTGTGTAAAGGGACTGAAGCCTATGGGCAGGGGGTACATTCTCTTGGCTAACACAGACAGTCAGCGAACTCGTAATAGAACTAACATAATGAAAATCGGAATAAAATCCTGACCTAACATGGACCTGGTACACACACTACGGGAGTACCAAGTAATGTGATGGTGGTTGTTATAAATAGTCGACATATAGAACTTTCTGTATTGTTCCCACTTTGCATCACTACGCAAAATAAAAACCATCTGAGACTTGGTGTCCATCGTTCACGACATTATTTATTTACGTAATATACTATTATGGTTAATCAACATATCATAAGATCATATAGTAAAATGCACCAACCTGATGTGCTTTGTTGACAATAGCCAACGGTACTCTAAATCCAAGCCATTTCAAATTCCTGACTTCTTTAGCAAGCATAATGATTTCTTTCTGTAACAAAAAACAACATAATTATGATTTAACATCTCCATTCAAGAATTTTGATAATATATAGTGCATAATATTTCGATCTCACCTGGAAATTGACTTTCAATCTTAAAAGTTTGAGTGGATCTCCTCCGGGAACCCGACGCAGAGCTCGAGTTTGATCAATAGCAAAGATGTGTCCTGTGACACCCAGATTCCTTTGGGTGACCTTATAGTAAAAAAGTAGTAAAATAAGCATGATCAGTACTGGAAAATTCCTACTCAATAAATCCTCGATCTGACATTCCACCTATAAAATAGGTTTTTTCAATTGATTTTTTTGAATAATGTTATACTTTTTACACCTGTTTCATGGGTGAAATTTTTGTTGTGGAATTTTATATGCAAAATATTATCCTACTATTTCTAGCATTTTCTACGTATACCACAGCGATTAGGCTAGCCAAAATCCATTTTATTCAGTTTGTAAATGCTGGAATGGGCCACGACCTGGCCCGCCGAACCATTTAGTGCCGAGCCATTAAGTCAACAATCAGAATTTTCCTCTTGAAGCATACATTCATAATCTAACAATTCATGTTTGAAAAGGCGCTCGCTTGGGTAAAAATACACATTTTTTCTCTTGTCGTAGCGTTAAATCTTTTCCTGTTTTGCCTGCTGCTTTTATTACTGTAATTCGTTGTGTAAATGGGAAAACTAAATTGTTTCGTGTGGCCCAGCTGGGTACCTGAAGTTGGTTATATGGCCCACCGACTAACAATGTTGCCTACCCCTGCTTTAAACCCAACACCAATAAAATAAGCAGAAATGCAGCACTGCATATAATCTCATTAACTATTTGTGGTTTCAAAAAAAGCTTCCATTTAACAAACAAACATAAAAAAACACACCAACCTTTCGTGACCAATCTTCAAACAATGCTTTTGTATCAAGTTTACTACGAAAACTATCTCCATCAGCTTTCAATTTCTGGCCTTCCATATGATTTTCCCATCCTTAAAAAGAAATATCATAAGAGAAAAATATAGACATAAATTTGTTACTAGCAGCCATAGCCTGAGGACCAGTTCAGATATTGACTTGATTCAAAATATTCCATCTTGAAAATTTTCGATACCAAGAATAATTCAAAATATATATATTTATTAGAAAAATTGTCATTTTGGGCGTTGTAAATCTCACAGTCAGACAAAAATAATCTCTATTCGTCAACTGTAAGGAAGAGTAAATCGAATGATAAAATGTTCCAACTTAATTTTTTCTGCATGATCGATTTGAATCTCTATAAATTTACAATGAATTATGTACCGGTAAATTTCTCCATTGAACATGACCAATCTAAAATGTATTTATATTTTCGCATTTGTAAATCAGAATATATACAGAATAGTAAATTTATTTCATCCTCGCTAGTTGCTACTGACCTTTTCCTAAGACATCTTCAACTCTTCTCATGTATGCAGACAATTGGCGTTCAATTTGTCGAGCCCATATGATAGAACCTGACACAGGTGGTAAATCCAAGCCACGAGACATTCTGGCAGATTTACTTGCAACGTATTGAATCTTAAACTTTTCATGCAAAGACTCAATGTCATCTTTTACCTGTGGTGAGAGTATCAACGATAACTTAAGAACACAAGGGAGCCATAATTAAATATACAGACATTAGGGTCAATTGACTAATATGACCAGAAAGCAGCCAAAAGTTAGAGGACTGTATCATTATGACCATTATATAAATCAGCCACGTTTTGGGTCAAATACCGGGTCCCATAGAAGTAATCATAAAGAAAAATAAATTTAATAGATTTCTAGTGACTTCTTCTATCATTAAGGTACTGTAAATATGAAATATAATGGGCTGCTATTTGTGAAGAAACGAGTATTTTTACACACCGCCAACAGGAACAATGATTTTGAAAAACTATCCATAGGACAACTTTTTGTCCAACAGCCAAATAATATTGTAATATAACATGGTTTGTGGTCTATTCTGCTATTAATGATTGTACCAGATTATGAAAATCGAACACAAACCCTTTTTTTCCATACATTAGAATATGTACTCACTCTTTGAATAAGTTGAGTCTGATATTCTCGAATAGCACCACGAATATGGGGACGAACAAACAATGCATTGAATCTGTAATGAGAGAAAAAAATTGAAGATACAGTCATGTTGTTTCCTATCTTAAAACATTCATCAGAAGCATAAGTCATGGATGTTTAGCACTATACAGTATTGGAATGAATAGAATAAGCGGCACACCTTGAAAAGATTCTGAACATCTCATTTGCATTCTTTGCTGTTCCAAGTTGATCTCTCAATCTAGCAGTGATCCGAGTTTCAACACGATCAATTCTTTCATCGTATCTCTTCAAAGCAGCTTCCCATGCATCGGTACCTATTGTGCATGATTATACCAGTATGAGGACTCAACATTCTATTAAATTTCAATAAGCTAGGGAATATAGGGTTAATTCGTGGATTTTTAATTTACAATACCTTCTTTTCCTACATCCAGTCCATCAACTTCTTTAACATTTTCGTAAGCAAGATTCACTTCTTCAATTGCGTTTGCATCAGCGGTCTCAAGAATAACAGCATTCACCTGCAGTATGTAAAAATTATATTTCAAATATAACCATATCAGTGTTGATACAGTAATGAGAGATTTATTGAAGACTTCATCTTGAAAAAGCAATGCACAAAACGGGGCTATTTAGTCAGATACACCCGTTTCGAACTCTTGAAAAATTTACAATAACGGTCTGGTAGTGAATTTAGGTCGACAAAAAACTCTGACTCGAGACGAAGAAATACATTTGGAAAACGAAAACTTTAGGTATTATAATCTTTCTTTAGTTATTTAGAATGCCTTAGCAAACTTAAAGCTTATTGAGTGTTTCGGCCAGAAAAATTTTTTAGACTTCAATTGGTCCGAATAAAAATCTTGAAGTTCAGACTCCAATCAAATTCAATATTTCTTTTCCAAGGAGTTGAACAATACAAGTCCGGCTTCGACTCCAATGTCGATAAAAACATGGACAATTCGACTCTACAGCTCTGATACAAAACAAGATTCAGGTGATTTAAAATTTTCAAGTGATTTTCCTTTCAGATTAATTTCTAGGATCTTGATTACTTACTCCCTTATTATCTCTGTTGTCTTCTTCATCAGAAGTTGCAACTTGTTGTTGCTGAACTTGAGGTCTTAATACTCTCAATATAACATTGCGCAATTGTTCATGTTGTCGTCTAAACTTTCTCATTCCATCCAACCTGAAATATTTTATTGAAAGAAATGAGATCCGCCCGATTTTTTATTTTTGTAGGTGGTATATTAGTTATAAAATGTGTGATTATAATATATTCTAAAATAATTACTTCCAATATATCGCGAACACGGTGATAAGATATCTTTTGTGGATAGAAAATTCTTGTCAAAAATCTACCGAAGTCTACCATTTCAATGTTTTTCAAAAATGAAGAAATGATAAAGAAAGCTAATGTAGCGTAGGGACTAGGGGGGGGAAGCATTAGTAAGTGTAGGCCTCAAATAATTGAGGAATGAAAAAGTGTATCTTCATGACAATTGATATCTAATAGAGAATGTGGAGTCATGGACGATTCAGTTATGCTATGTTATATAGGAGGTAACATGCTTGTGTTTTAGAGTGAAATACAACATATTGTACTGCCATGATTCTGTTTTAATAGTTACTGAAATATGTAGTATTATGAAATTATTTCTGTATTTCATCTTGTGATTATGAAGCAAATTTATTCTATATCACTGCAATGCTATTCATTTATATTGAAAAAGGAAATTTAATTACTTGACTATAGTTTTTCCCACAACAAACCGTGCTCAGATTACTTACCTGGTTTGCAATTTTTTATGAGCAGGAGTAATTCTCCAAACCATCTTCAAATTTTCATCTCTTTTCTTTTTCACAATATCTCGCATCAGACCCTGTTTATATATATATATTTAGGAAAATGTATTGTATGATTGATATATTTTAATGCAAAATTAGGATTATAGCAGTATCCCTCAGCTGTGGTATTACAGTCCAGCAGCAGAATGCCTTTAACCTAAGGTTATTATTAATACGGTAAGTTTAAAACTGAAAACACCCCAAAAGAAATGAGCTTATTATTATAAAGCTCACATTTATTAGTTACTAATAGATACAAAATCAGAATGATATGTCATAAATATTAAATACATAAAATATCAAGCACAGACTCATCCCCATGCAGAAATTGTTATGTAACTTTAGGAAGTCAGCGAACATAAAAAGAGTGGAGGGTCTTTCCATTATCTTTGCACCCACGCCTATTTACACCTGTATACTCTTGCGCCCACAGACAATTGTACCGATAGATTTGCAGTGGGTGCAAATGGGCAAATGTTGCTTACATGGGTGCAAGTGTCCTGGCAACAATATAACAAATTATACCTGAAGTTTTTCGTACTCATCATCCCACGCACCAAAAACTTCAAATGCAGAAATCATCACTTTCTCAAATTCTTCGTATGAAATATGCATCAAACGTCTTGTTCCAAGAACCTAAAAAACAACAAATATCACATAAAACAGGGCTTCCCATACTGGGGTTCGTGAACCCGCAGAGAGCCGCGCAACGAATTTTAGGGGTCGGAAGGAGTATACCAATTTCACACAAAGTACTATCTATTGTAACTAGTGTACTTTTTAGACTTTTGATTCAAAACACAATTATTAAAACCAATGCTAAACATAGAGCGCCTGTATAACAATGCCGACTTTGATCATAAGACTCGAGAAGATGCACGCTTGCATAACAATGCTGACTTAACAGGGATCGCGGAAAATTGTTATATATTGGAAGGGCGCGAGCTTAAGAGTTTGGGAAGCTCTCGACTTAAAATAGAAATAAAATGAATGTCCCACCTTGAGCATTTGTGCCATAAGATCCCTTGAAATAGCTTCGATCAATCTCAGAGCACGTTGGATAGGATATTGTTGACATGTCCTGATCTTTCTCATGTGAGAAAATATCGCAGTAAGAGCCTAGATACAAACAAGAAAGCGATGCTCAAATACATGGATACAAAGGTTAAATGACTTATATGGCCAAAGTAATACCAGCAGATGTATGAAGAATTGTATGGAATGCATGATGGTGTAACCGTGTATTATATAAAATACCAACATTTTCATGAAATATCATGCCCCATAGAAAAAAATTTGATAAAATAATTAAAGTAATAGCTTTCAAGCAACTTCTTTTTTCATCTTCAAATCTGAAAATTTTTAATCTAATGGTCTCTAAAGTTACAACAACAACCATAACAAGAACAACATCAATGTATTAAATCAATCCATAGGTCAGATTCTTGTCCAAATATGAATACGTTGTGTGGATAACTTCAGGAAATCAAGGCGAATAAAACTGAAGATTGACTTACGCTACGAATTCTCTCCAACTCAGTTGCTGACAATAAATCATTGAGTGGAAAATCTTTCATCAACGGATTATAATCGGCAACCTTTGCAAGCGCTTGTTTCAGACCTGAATTTATTAAATTATGGTTTAACAGAAAGAAAAAGACTTGGAATCGAGTTGCCATTCATCAAAGACTCTAAGTGACTTAAGTCAATAAAATGATTATACTCAAGACTCGTACTTGACTCGGTAATCGACTCAACTTCGAACTTGCATGACTCGTGACTTGAATTGATGCCTACTTGGGAATCTGTGACCTCTGCCCAATACTGCTTGCAAATACAAAAACCAACCAACCTGTGTCAGTGTCAAAACTGACAGTAGCGTGAAAACGCTTGCCATGTTTTAAAATATCCAAAGTGAGAGTAATTTCAGGTGATTCTCTCATATCTTGAATTCGCATCAAGGCACGATCAAGATTCAACCAAAAGTTGATTTCTTGCATTGCAGTTCCGGATGATGGATCTCGGTCAAGTTTGGTCACCTGTAATGAATAAAAAATAGAAACTTAAAATAAACTATGATGCGAAATATGTTCCATTCATCAGTTTTTTGTTACTACAGCCATTTTTAATCACAAATAGAAGTAACGAAAAAAAATCAATAGCATAATAAATCTAAATACCCAATTCTCGCTACTCATATTTCGACTTTGGAAATAATTTCAGTATTCAATATTGAAGTGCACTTCAAACATTTTAAAACACAAGATTTATGGAAATACAGTGACCACATTATCCCAACAAATTTCCAATATAGGAATATGAAGTGTACAAATAATATATACAGAAAATTAATCAATAAAAGTAACCAAAAGTGAAAGAAGCAGAATACCGTAATAGCATATTTTGTCACGAAATATGTGAAGCCAAGACAGCCCAAAAACTGAGTCAGATGATAAATAATTGATGGAGCCATCTTACATCACACATTACTGAGCTCAATCCAGACATATTGATCAGGACAAAAAAACACAGACCATAGGATCAAAAGTAAATTATATCACAAAAATTTTTTTTTTACCGAATTAGGTTTCTTATATACGGAGCGAGGCTTATTATCTGCTTTCATATGCTGTATAGTATTACAGACTGGTAAACCCAATCGAATCAGAAATAGTTTGAACTGAATATCACAAATTTTCCTTTTTTGGAATGTTTGAACCTGCTTTATCCAAAATCGAATTCAAATTGCCATATTGAGTACTTAGTCGCTCAATAAAACTATAAAGTCTTAATTGTCATTGTGAAAATTGACAAAAAAAAACACTTATATCATACCATGGTTAGTTTTTTCGATATTTCGATTTTCGAAAGTCAAACTCAATAAACATGCAATGAAATTATGTATGTTTTAAAAGAACATGATTCAGTTAAGATATTCAACATTACCTCATATTGTATTGGAATAAGCTGGTTATTCACCTTTGGTGGTGATCATAAGTGTTTCAGACAAGAAGTAAATGCAAACACACTAGGGCACCACATCACTCAAAGTGAATGTAACTAACAAGACCATGTCAAAAATTCCCCAAAATCAAATCTTCTAACCCACAGTATTTACTCTGTCTAAGTGGCTGAGAGTTTTGTTTGAAACAATGCTTTGAAAAAAAATTTTAACACTACTAGAGTAGAAAAAGGTACCAACTTTTTGAATTTCTCTTATCCAGCGGTTCACACCATTTTGTAGTGCATTCAGATATGTTGAATCTTCTACTTTGTCACCAAAATCTTGTACTCTTGCTCGTCTGCTCTCAGCCTGACATTTTCGTATTACCCCAGTTACAGTTGGATGAATCGGAAGTGATATTTCAGGTATATCAATATTTTGTTGAAGATGCAACAATCCCATTTCGAGCTCTGCGATCTTTTTCTCAACAGATGGAGCCATTTTGTCACCCTCCCTGTGATTATTTTATTTTAATTCGATTAGTAAAAAAAGACAATACAGATATACAACAGTATCAGAAGCACACAAAAAAAATACAATAAAAAAGATATTGAATTGTCCTTTATATAATAGCCCTTGATATGAATGAAAATTCAACTACAAAGAATGATTTTGATTGTATTGTCTGAATCAAGGGTTCTCAATCAGGGTATATTCAAATAACCTGGGGGGTAAATTTCGCAAGCAAGATATTAACATTTTCTCTACTTCAAGAATAGCGTACAGATCCATTCCAGTATAAGACCAGTTGACCACATCGCAGATTGTGACATTTTTGGGATTACATCATCCTATGTTGCGTAATAGATATTATTATGCTCACTACAAAGAGGTTGTCTGTTGATTAGTTATAAATGAAACAATTAACATTGTTGTGTGCTATAATGCTTAATTTATTGCCCTCAATGTATCTACAACCACAAAACAAAATTTTATATTCCAATTTCTAATATTGCGAAATGGCAAACCAGAAAATAAAAGTTGAGAACCCGGAGCCAAAATGCACCAACCAACCTGTCAATTTTTCCACTTTCACGAATGTATGACTTGAAGAATGGAGCAACAGCACAACTGACAAGAGAGTGTAATGTTTCATATGGAGAATCCTCAGTCAGAGTGATAGCACGAATCTGTTGCGATATTGGTTTATCAGCTTCAACAACCACACCTCTCTTGATAAGTGCCAAACTAAATGAAACAAAAAGTATTTTAAAGTGGAAGTTCTAGATTTAAAAAAAACTATTGAACAACAACTGCTATAATATTCTGATCTCAAAAAAGTGTTGGTTACCACATAGAAATAGTATCATGCCAGAAATGGTCTAATATTTCCGAAAATAGTATAGCTATCTTCTAAATTGGGTTGTACTTAACGGGGAAACTAATGGGAACTCGTAGAAATGAATTTGGTAAATGCAAACTAGTTGGATAAATAGTGCTTTAATCAGAAGTTGAACAAAGTCTATGGCGCTCCAGAAGTATGTGTACCAATATGGAGATAACTAATTTTGTTTGCCTATTTCACATCCAGTTGTGTGAAGGGACTGAGACCTATGGGCAAGGGTATATTCACTTGGTTAACACAGACAGTCCCCAAACTCGTAATAGAACTAAAATAGGGAAAATCGGAATAAAATTATGGCCTAACCCTAACCTGGTACACATACTATGGGAATATCAAGTCTGTTATTTGTTGTGACAATCGGATGACAATACCCAAAATGAAAAATTTACAAATAACTACAACTTGAATATTACTATTACTAAATTCAAGAATCTATATTCGATTCGTTTTGGACATCCCTGCATCATGCTGTATAAAATTGTGCAAAAAATAAAAAAAAATCAATACCCAGAAGCCTTCCCATTGCTGTAATGAACATCAACAGATATATTATAGCTTGGTTCTTGTTCTTCCGCTTCTTCACTTTCATCTGATAACAAAATGAAGAATAAAATGAAAATGACCAATTAGCCAATGCAAATTACCATAGTTGTATTCATAATGATTAGTATAAGGGAGAGTTGAGGCACCATTTATCAAAAACTAGAGTTCAGAAATTAGTCATGCTTAAACTTGTCTCGACTTCTTACTCGACTCGAGACTTTCAACGACTTGACCTGGCTCTGGGTTTTGCGGACTTAATCCTCTTCAGCATTCTTGCTAAACATAATATTATGGAACTATTTTCATGATCGTTTACATCCACATAAAGGTATACAAAGCAAATGGCAGTGACCTCATTCACACATTTAAAATTTAGACATTAGGAACAATTCAATGTTTATCAATATTGAAATATTTTCACAAAAATCACAAAAGCTACATATGAAAGTAAATGCATAATGTTCAATTGAACACCTTTATGAGATATTCGTTCCACCATAAGTGAGCGAACTTGAGGGTCCGATAGAAATTTTCTGATCGACTCTAAAATGATGCGATCCTCAAGAACTGCCTTCAATGTAGATGGCACCGTGCTTCCATCTTCCAGCAGCAAAGGAACCAACCTGAACAATAAATAAAAATAGCTAAATAAATGAAAATAAATAAATTTCGGCCAGACTTTTTTAACAATCATTATCAAACATAATTTTCAATTACTGAGCTAAGTAATCTACATACTTGCAAATATAGTCGATTAGAGCTGAAGATTCAGCAATCTCTTGAGTCTCTCCGCCTCCACTATTCTCAGCCATGGTTCCCAGCAAAGATTATTGAATAACTAAAAAATGGTCTGTACTTTTTCTTCGATTGTGATTTCCAATCAAGCGAAACAAAAAATATTAGGTTCACAGCAATCTTAGACTACTGTACTACAAATAAAACAATAAGTTATTGACTTTTGAATTCTGACATTTCAATAAACATGGCTGGATGATGACATGATATTCCTTTAATCGCTTAATAAGAATTATATTAACTAACAGTTAATCCAGTAAAATGCAAAATATATGGGAATTTGTTTAGACTTATAAATCCCCAAGTATCAAATATACTGAATATAACTATAAAGATAGCAAATTTCAATTAAATCAGAAAATGTATGGAAAAGTGGTATAGCCTATATACAGATATATTCTAATCATACAGTCATATCAGTACATAATTGATTGATTGATTAACTAATTCATTTCAGACTGTATGGTATGGCAACACATTACAAAAATTTAGGACGATGGCAAATGATATTGTTTCAGCATGCAATGACATAAAAGTACTAGATTGGAAATCTCATCATGTAATAGGGAACTACTGAACTGTGTGCAATATAATTGCCTAATTAAGCATTGAGATGGTGAGCAACGAGCACTGACATAATACAGGTCTTTATCCGCATGAATAGAATTCTAAACATATTGCTGTTTTGTGTGGTGTGCCAAGCATTCATCATTTCTTCAAATTAGAAAACTAAGCCAGACCGCTGGACCGCACACAATCATTTATGAAAATTCACAATTAGTGCTATTAACAGATTAAAGAAGTGAAGACGACAAGGCAACTATGCAAAGGAATGTTGAAGGACCTGATCTAGATCTTTCATCCATTCTGCTGGTCTGCGAGCATTGTCTATTTCTGCGAATGAATCGCGCTACAGCTGAGAGCGAGAAAGGAATTTTCAGAGTGATGACGATTTACCCGTTCAAGGTTCAACCCATCTGTTGTGGGATCAACACTAAGTGTCGCACATGGACTAGAGAATATTCGCAACCAAACTCTGACCATCGATTAAACCGTAAATATATACTATTACGATTAAACCAGCAAAAAGCGATTTTTCCGCACCAAGAAGTCTAACAGCAACAAGAGAGCTATGCTCAAATATATGGACACGAAAGCCAAAAGAGCAGTCCGGGTATTTAATCTGTCACAGTCAACGACTAACATACCAACGGAACAATACGAAATAACCATTTTCAACAGCCGAACAAAACGGAAACGTATAATCTGACTTGTAACTGACAGAAGCCAGCTGGACGTTTTTTTGCCGTCCAGTGAACAAAGTCACGTGACCCGTGCAAGTCTTCTATACAAGGTGAGAAATTTTTAATTCAATTAAATCAGAAAATGTATGGAAAAGTGGTATATATATACAGATATATTTTAATACCTGAATCGATACTTTGGCCAATGACATGGGCATGAAACATGTGATTGTTCTAACACAAAATATGAATATCATTATCAGCAGGTGGTATTTCGACTTTTTGTACACAAAATCTCCATATCGATCGTATTGCTATTCTATTGTTGTTGTTCGTGTTCATGTTTTTTCCTTGACTACGCTTGACTTCCTTGGCTTTTTTCATTAACTACGCTTTTATTCATTTCGAAAACTTCTGTGGGCACTATGGGATTTGTTTTATATGCTATGACGTCATCAAAATTAAAATTTTAGTGCAAAAAATCCCTTTTGCTGCTTTACTTTAATTCACAGGAACACTTCATACGTCGTATAGATTGGCAGACTCGTTGCTAGGTGCCGATGGGCACAAGGCAAGTCACTTCTCCAATCCCAAAATTTTACCGATATTCAGGCATATAAATCAGACAAACAATATTTGTGAGTGAAACGAAGCTGTCTGCGAGGGCGATGTTGAATGGAGCTAGGCTATTTTATTCTAGTTAAGGCTACTTGAGGTATTCGGCCTTCATGTCCATTTATATATAGTATACTACTATACTTATATTTAAGCATTGCTGACTTGTTTTTATTGGACTCGACGTGTACAAATGGATCGTTTTGCTAAATTCTTGTTGTTTTGGGGGTTTATCTTGTTATTTTTGGCAAAAATATGGCGCACTGTGACTTGGCAGAAATGTGTCTATGACTAGGGGACATACGCAATTTTGCAACTTGACTATATGTACCAGTCCTGAAAACCAAACAATTCAAAAGCAAATGTAATTCTTAGTATATACGAAGTCTAATTCCCAAAATAGCTAATCTGTTTTAATTACATTTTTTTATGTTTAAAAATATATATTTCATCAATACAACAAGCTCTGCACATCCACCGAAATAAGACTAAAGTTAAATATAAAGAATAAAACAGCAATGTACCCTTATATAAAAGCCAACCAAGGTGAATTGGACTCAGACAGTGAATATCACAAGTGCACGCCTTCCTATACTGGAGAATAAATTGAAATTTATAAGCGCTAAGCTAGAATCTGAGATGCCAAAACTCGAAAATCCTTCGCCGAGGTTATAGTGCTCTTGTGACGTCACAATAGTCCTTAGTCCACAATAGTCCGGTAACCTTGATAATTCATTATGACGAAACAATTGAACAAATTTGCATATCATACAAAATCTCTATTTTTATGGGTTTCGGAATTCTTAAATTAAAATCTGAGTTAACAGACAGGTGCGCAGCATTACATAAAAACATATTTTATGAAAAACTCAAAACCGCCAAAAATGACCTACGTAATTCGGTTATTAGCGTGACGATATTTGATCTAGACCAGAAAGCCAATGATATTATATAATTTATCATATGAAATAACCATCCCATCAGCTTTTCTTTTTTGAGATGACTGTGTAGTCGTAACATTTTTATTACCAATCCTTTACAGCAGTCTGAACTTTCACAGAAAGTAAATTTGAGGAATAAGATACCTAAAATGTTGGAAATATTAACAAAAATTATTTTAACCATGATGAAAAGAATTCAAACCAGAACTGTGGAGTGCAGCGGTCCCCAAACTTTTTGTTAATATGGCGCCAAAATTAACAGGGAAAAACTCACAGTGCACCAACACGAAAACAAAATGCTGCTTTAGAAAAAATCAATTTTGTGATCGTTATTGTGTACTTTATGCCTTTTAAGGTTTGTAAACATGTAGGCGTAAAGAATAAAGGCAAAATGTCAACTGTTTTTCTCATCTGTGCCTGCTTTTCATTTGAAATGATAAAAAAAATCACACATATATATTCGCCTAAACTCGGTTCAGCAGATAAAATAAACTGAAGTTCACGAAATTGCAGTATGTATTCATATACACAACATTTAAAATAAGAAACAATAAAACATTTATAGTAGATACAATATGCAAAATTTCCAATTATATTTTATTTATGTTTAACACAATCTATTAATTTTCGCGGCTGCTTAGCAACTAGACGCCGCGCACCCTCTGAGAATCGCTAGTATAGTGTGTATAGACTCGGGGGCATCGTATTTTGCAATCATCGTTGCAAACGTACCATTTGCAAAAATGTGACGTCCTCAGATGTTTTTATTTTGTTACTACGACAAACGTGAATTTCTAATTCTGAAATTGGTTATCGAAATTCAAACAAAAGCAATTAAGAACAAATACGATTCACGTAATTTAACGAAGCACTGTTTGGAGTGGTTCGAATTACGATGGTACGTTTTCTTACCAGAGATCAAACGCATGGACGATGCAGCGGAAGCATTTATGATAGGTTGGCAAACAAATTGAGTGGCATCATACAATGATCATACTGTTCTCACGATGAGTAAAGTATAAAGTGACTACTGTTCTTTACTGAATATGACCGATTGTAACTAGGTTTAATGCGAGTTAACAGTATTTTGATAAGAGAGATTAAAAATGATATACGCCTTATACGGCATATGATGAGTTTGCTCAATCCTCTTTTCTCTTGGTTCACAATTTTATTGAAAGTTGAATAATACTGTTTGAATTCACAATATATTTATTATAAATTTTTATTTCAGATATCAAGTATTAGGACCGGAAAGAGGAATAACGCACAAAGAACTGAAGGGCACAATAACCAATATAAAAACACCTAGAAACTTACATTGAACACATTTAATCAAATTCAAATTACGAATTTTTCATTGAAATATTTTATAGTATCTGAAATAACGCCGTGATGACTTTTTCTCAGGTGTCCTACGCTGCCTTCTCTCATTCCCTCAAACCCGTATATATTTTTTAATTCTTAGTGAAACAAATCGATTCTGTTCATTGCGAAAATTCTTTCCGTGTAACCCATGTCATTCTATTAAAGAGCGAAAGCTCGTCCATTCTCCAGAAGCGCTTAGAATCGCCAATCACGACTCACCATTTGATGGATGCGTCATAGGCGAATGGCAATTTAAAAATATGATAACTATCAATGAGATAAGAAATTATGTCGACGATACTTGATTAATTTCTGTGGAATGGATTGTTGCTTGTAAACCTCAATCTACATCTGAGTAACGTATTAAATTTTTATTTACATTTTATTCTTGATTGAAACAGTGATTGTGGTGTTTATCTTCAAAGATAGTGAACCGTACAAACAACTTCCGGTAAATATACACACAAATACACAACACATAACTCGAGCAATTCACATCAAGAGTTGAGGTTCTGATGGCACCAAATAAACTGTTTGTTTTGCTACCCACAAAACAAAGACTCTATTTATTTTCAATTTGAGATGAACACATCCAATAAACATGATATGAAATTGGATACAGTGACAACGATAATTGTCATAACGGATGTATACAAAATAAGTAAATCAAGCAGGTACATTTACATGCTAGACTTCCGCGAAAGATCGGACAATGAAGACAGAAGGACACACATTTATATCAAGATCATTGCTCTTTAAATCTGAACGCTTCCATGAAGATTGCTTTAGTTTCATTGTGCTGTACTTCTCTTGAATTTCAATTCTGCTAGAAGCAGTACTAAAATAACTAAAAACCTTTCAATTATGATTGCTACAAAAGTTAATTTATTTGTCAAAAAGTTTTGTGTGTTCAAAAACATTTTATAAATTTGATATTAGTTCTGAATCTTGTTGTATCCATTTCCTGTGCCGCAATATTCTCTTTATTCGACCCGAGAGCTAAGAGTAAAAATAACAATAGAAATAAGAGTCATGGCTAAAATCAAAAACCATCGACGATAACGGGACAACTGTACAAATCCGTGCAATTTGTCTGTAATAAAAATAAAATATCGCGTAAGTAGCCTAATGCAATTATTTCACAACGTGATAGGCCTACTCGTGATATACACTTATACACGCTCGCATCCACAGGACCCAGGCAATGTAGCGAGAGAAGAAAATATTATATATGGAAATAACGTATAGCTGACGGAACGGAAATGACATAATTTGGCGTAAATCAAAACTTGACGATCCAGTCATTACAATATTCGATTACTCCAAAATAATCAACTCACAAATACAACAAGAGGAATGATTCACTCACTTATATCATTTTGTTGTTGATATAATAAATCCCATGATGCATCTGAGATTATTTTACTCCTTGTTTTCAAGAAGTTTTCTCATTAGCATTCCCAAGTAAAAAATGATACAATATTTTGCCAAGGATAAGTTTATATAGAGTATATATGGTAATTTTGTGGGCACTAACTTGTCCAGTTGTTCGGCTTTTTAGCTTAAGTTTTCAAACCCGCTACAAAAGCAATTAACGAGAAATGTGTATGTTGTACATTAGGCCGATCAGGGGTCAAACAGATTAAAGGATGGGTCCTTAAGTGGGTACGTCAAGTACCCAGGAACATTTTCAGATAATTTTTTATTTGTAATATCAAGGGGTCAGTTACCAAATGAAGGATGGCATTACTAACGCTATTAATCACATATAATTATGCGTGAATATTATGCCTCCTAATCATTCGTTTAATTCTTGTAACATGTATGTAATACCTATTTTTTGTTTAAAAAACAATTAGCATGTGTTACGATTTGCAATAAATAACGCACTGATTAACTATATCGGCGTCAAGTTTAGAGACATCAGCTTCATGCCTTGTAATTTTGAGTTATTAATATCTCCAGTATACACGCCTTCTCCATAATAATATACCCATTTGGTAGAGTGTAGACAATACCAAATCGGCCAGTTTCAGATCTACGAATCCCAAATAGTTAAGTACGTACTCGGTTTGCGCCTAAAGCTTTTGAGCAAATGTGTAACACATAAAAAATGTCATACTCCACACAACATGTAATTTATTTAGTTACGCGAAAATGCATTTCGAACTTATAAACAAACTATAGCAGGTGTAATTGTGTATTGGAGGAACATATCGCCTATTGTCGTCTTCGTAACAAACACAAATTACCAACTGTTTACATGAATTCAAATAAATCACGATAACGTTTCCTAGGCAAATATAATTTGTTGTGTGACAAATTGAACAATATCTCGTGTTTATCAAGGTATAATAGATAACGATTTTCAATTATGGATACTATTTCTATATATTCTTACATAAGACAAGAGAAATTCGTAAAACATCTGTTTATAATCTGTATGGTGTTTGAAAGTCGCCTCGAAAAAGAATACGCACAGCAGTTCGGTGTACGATTAGGTTGATTAGCGGAATGACCATAGCTTGAACTAGAGATCTCTGGACTGATCCCGTTTAATATAGTTTGGAGAAAGAAAAAAGAAATATAACGCCCTATGGAAACAGCTGAACAATTCCCATCATATTCGAATACAAAAAAAAATCTTATTATGCAATTATGGGCACTTTGACTGTCCGTCCTATAACAAGTGTTATTATTTGTTATCATTTGTCACTATTAACTAAGCAATTCAATCATTTATTAGGGACTAAGAAAATCTTGGAAAAAATACTTACAGAAGACAAACCTGTCTGCGGTTCGCGTATAGTCTAATCTGGACCAGTAATAATAACTGGTCCAAATTTAATATCCTTGACATCAAAATTCAGAACGGAATTGAAATTTTTATGAATCTTTTCATCGTATCTTTGCTATTATTAACATTATAACTTATACAGGTATTCCGTCGGTAAAACTATAAACATATGAGTATGAGTGGATGCATATACAGGGTGGACCAAAAAATGTTACCATATTTTTTTTTAATTCAGAATGTGAAAAATGGTAACATTTTTTGACCCACCCTGTAAATGATCGCGGAAACTGCTGTGAACAGTCGCGATTTGCAATCTAAAACAGTATCTTGTTTTCTGTGGGAATGATAACACTTATGGATCTTTTATGATACGTCCAATATATTGAATAGAATTTAATACGGAAAAGATTTAAATAATTCACTGCCTGAATTCTTTATGTGTTTTTAAGACTATCTTCGATGAATTTAAAGTATTACAAACTTGTTTCTTAACAATTTTCAAGAAACCTATTGAGTAAATTTATAATATTTTTGAAACTAAATTGAACTATCAGGAAGTGGCACTTGACCTTGAATTTTATGAAGTATATACGCATTTGCTATCATACAATGTTCACCTTAGAACAAGTTATGCATTTTGGTATCAAATAACCATTTGTTTAGAATAAAATAGAAAAATAAAACAGTCAAAGGCTTTACATAATGACGAAAAAGAATTTTGTTTTCAATTCCACTTGGCGGCCACACGTACACTCGCATAAACATAAACATTGAATCATTACTGATGGACGAAGTACGACCTCGGATGTTTGGAAGTGAAGCGATTCAAAATGCTTTACAAAAACGAGGGCGTACGTGAGTGTATCTCAATTCATTTTAGACATAACAGCTGTGGTGCTTTGTTGTAAAACCTTAGTCCTAACAATATGAAAGTAATTTACAGTCTGATTGTCAGAGACAGTCCAACAAATTGGGATTAGTTCTAAGTTACAACTCATTGAAAATACCCTAACATTCCTCAAGCTAATTTTTATTCATGAGGGCAGAAGATCAAAATATCAATAGCCGAACAAGTACGAACGGTCAAGGTTCATGGTTTATTTCAAAACTTTTTTGTTTGAAACTAAATATTTTCATTATTTTCATTTGAAAATCAATGCGGCGGAAAGCAGGGGTTAAAATAATATCGCCTTTGTTAAAATCAGCGACACGGATTTTCGACAAATTTAAAACATGTCGGAAATTGCGCTGTCGTTTTGACATATTTTCGAACTGACAATACCACGAAAATATTATGTAAGTTTACGCAAATCGCTGATAAAAATACCTCCAACTCATATATATGTCATGCAGGTGGTCTTAACACATTTATAAATATGTTTGTTATAAGGTATATTATCCCAGAAAATGTTTTGTATGAGACCATCCTACATTCGATTTACACCTAATTAGGAATAGAAAAGGTGTCAACATCCGTCATATTTGCGTCAGGTTAGCCATTTCAGACTCGGATTAGTGGTTAGACGAATTAAATCCATTCTGTTGTCCATAATATTGCTCAAAATAGGGTTTTCTCTCACGGTTGTGAGCTATAAAAATAGCCTATTTCCGAATTAATGTTGAACGCCACAGGTTCCCAATTTAGCAAAAAATCTTTTGACCCACGTCACCCTTAACAAAAGAATGTCAAAAAGTAGATTTGTTTCATTCATCCACCCCGTTATTTGGATTAATCAATCCACGAGCCGTGAAACTATGTCATTCGAGGGTTTAATGAAAAATCGTGAGTCACGGACGTCGATGCAACGAGTACAATTTCATCGTCTAATAGCGGTCGAAATACGGCTGACATTATTCTTATCGTCGAGCTAAAAAAAATACACGTAAATCAGCCATTTTTTCTGTAAAAATAATATCCACGACGGAAAAAAATCTCAAATATTTCTCAAAAAAAATAATAATGACGTCAAACAAGGCGATGGGTTTAAAAGAGCCATTGATGTCAGGCAAAAATCACTTGCACATATTGTGAGTCTTTGGATGACATGAAAGATGGAACCAATACCCATCAACGCATGTCCTTGAGTACTTTTGTTAGAGAAAATCATTCGACAATCAGACTAAAACAAGCCTTTTCAAAATTTATTGTATCCAGTATTTACTAATGAACTAGTGACAAATTTGCTTTATACAAACCACGTTTAAAGTGATCTAATACAGAGTCAGAGATGCTTAGTGCAATTACCACAACTGCTTAGTTTTCATCACTCTGATGTAAAGTGGAGTGTAAAAATGTGTATAACGACATAACAAATAATTCGATCCTGAATGAGACGAGTTGTAGTCAAACGCTCGAACTCTCACGTTCGTCACCACACCATAGAAAAAACACTAAATTTCAAAGTGCTCGCCCGATAAAAGTACATTTGTTGTTGACTCGGTTCCGGTGATAATAAATTATCATTATCTGTAAAAAGTACACAAATCAAGTAGGTTGGCATGTGCGTTAAATATTTTAGATTCATTTTTTACTGTTTCACGCAATGCTGGTGCTATTCAGTGAACACGAGACAGATCAAGTTTAGTAGAAATTAAAAAAGCGAGAATTTTGATATTTTTAAGAAAAGGGAAATATTGGCAGACGTGTTATTAGACTGAGATGCATAATTATTTGATGCTAGTAATAACGAATGCTTTTTTGCTTTTAGATTTATATCTAACAAAAACAAGAAAAAGGATGAATTTTCGAGCATTATTCATGATTTTTATTATGCTTTCTACCAATTTTAAAGAATTAGTAGAATCCAAGCGAGGAAAAAGAGGAGATGGGAAGGGAGGCAGGAAAGGTCGACAAGTGCTTGTTGAGCCCGTAATGAATGAAAACACGCTTCGTTGTCCGTCGTGTGAAAAACTTCATTGCCTCAAACGAAATCCCAAAAAACTTAACTGCAAAGGCGGAATTACAACAGACGTATGTGGATGTTGCCCACGTTGCGCAAAACTAGATGGAGAATCATGTGGGGGACAACACGAATATCTTGGAAAATGTGACCGCGGTTTGCTTTGTGAACCCGAACCCCTCACCCCACATATTACGATGAGGACGTCTGCGCCGAGTATAGAAATGTCATCAACAACACCTACAATGAAAGATGGATGGAAAGGAAGATGCAGAGCAAGTAAATATTAATAATACTCACTAAATAATTAATTATCTTTTTAGGGCTGTATATTAAATTGAACAAAGAAAATTGATTTTAAAATATATCCGAGATATCACAGCGTAAAGGTAAATTTTAGTTATTATTTGTTCGGCTCATTTTAATTTTTAACCCGATTTTCGCGTTTCGAATATTTTTTTTAGTTTGTAGCTCTTGTCTAAAAACGATATTTTACGTAATTTCGTGATTTTGAACAACTTTATTTTGCCTCCATATTTGTTTCACGGGAAGCATGTGGCTTGATTTATGTCCCAAACTAGATCCACAACCATGTTTGTTAAAATATTGCTCCGCATTACAAAATAATGAATACGGGAGGCAGACTATACCGTTTGTAAAAGAAAATGCTCAAAGATAAATCAATTATATTGAAGACAATTTTAGTCGTCTGTGTTATTTTCGCGAAAGATCACATGTTGTTTTGAGAGAATTTTGTTGACATTTGGCTTCAGAGAATCTAGTAGCACCTGGCAAATAGACCACAAGTAAATGACCACAAAATATCTTGCGTGGAAAAAGTTCAACCACTATTAGTTTACACTGTAAATTGAGTGCGTTTCTGCCCTACCTACATGAAGGCAATTTTAATGACTCGCTCGACAAAAATGGTCCCAAAACGCGTCCGGAATTTGTGTTTGTACAAATTTTATCGATGTTTAGGCAATATATATTAACGACATAACCAGATTTAGCACGGGTACCTATTGGGGTGCTACGTGTGTTGGATTACCCTTTTATATTTAACTTTGACCCGATTAGTTGTTTTACACAAAATCTTGTCCAAATTTAGGTATGAAGCCGAATCGGTTGATGGGCCAACAATATTCTAAAACGAACACTAAAAACAGCTAATCTACCTGCCATAATTCAAGTACGGTTTCCCGACACTATCCACACCCTAAATTTGATAGATTACCCCACAAAAATCACATACCCTGGCAGATTAAAAATTGTCAAGTTATATGGCATTTCAAAGTATATGTATAAACAGCCGCCTACCTCAAATACACGTATGATAATATCTTGATAAATCACGAATGGGGCAGAGTTGAAAGAAATTCACAAGGCGGTGGAAAAATAATAAGCAAAGTGGGTGGGTGATACTGGCACGCAAGAAGTTAATTTCCCCTCGTTAATTAATTAATTTTGAAGTTGTTATTTTCGACCTAAATATTTGGTATGCGCCCATAAAAACGCAAAAAACTGCTACCCTTTAATTCAGTATGTTCGACATTTTAATATGTTTAAGAAAAATAATTTAGGGAAAGTATTTACTGTTATATTTCATACATTTTTATAAATGACCGAAATTGTAATAAAATTCGAAACTCCTTGTACTCAACAGACAAATATCTAACTCTAACTTGCAGTTTATCCAATATGCGATTAAAATCTGATTTACCTCAAATTACCGCCCAATGGTAACCGTTTATGGAGGGTGTGGCGTCCATGCATCAGTATGCAAGCGGATTATGAGGGGTGCATCAAGTGTCTAACCCAAAACAACAACGATCAATTTGTTAGATAAATAAGTAATTCATCACCAGATCAAGGATAAAACTAACCACACGAAACTTTACGCAGCACGCCATCTGGGTGTAAGGAGAGGAATTCGTGCATTATTTAAAATTGAGCGTGTAACCCGACAGTACAGTAATACCATTTTAAATTACCCCAAGGTAGTTTGTTTTTAGATACAGACTCCGCTTCGGACGCGAAAAGTTAGTTACTCTGATGCCAAATTAGACCCGATCCGAAATAGATCAATGGTACGTTTGGCACATTTGCTAGTGTGCCTGATCTGTTCTACAAAACTTGATGACTTAGACTTAGATTATGGTTCCGAACTAATTTTTTGTGTGCTCATGTCGAAACACTCAAGCCAGCACCCGATTGCACATAAAACTGTTGTATAAACGGACTTTCGCTTGAAAGGTTATAAAAAATTTCAAACTGCTTTCCATCTGCATTTCGATCCTTCACTCAAAATTGACCACAACAAATTTATAACATTTTTATAAAATCATAAACGCTTTTTTATATAATCACTAAGATCAAAATATGGATTTTCGGAATAAAAACATTCAAATATTTCATCAAGTTCAATATTTTAGCAATTTGAAATAAACCTGATGTGTAATGTACACTCGGATTTCCAAAAACCGCGTATGAAGTGGTATGGACTTGGTCTAATTATCCTCGTTTACACAAACACAAAATCATGTTTACAGTAAACAGTTTGGGCGTGTGCAAGATCAAGTTAAGAAAAATACCCGCTAGTTGGCTGCATTCGGAAATTTATAAAAGAATTCTGTATCAGTATCGGCCCGCATGGTGTTACCCCTTTTTATGCTACACTTTTACAAGTATCAAAAATGTTCGTGCATGATTATCGCGCATTTGTTGTGTATATTTTTACTGGAAGACGGGAGGGTTCATTTAACTTCAAAGCAAGATAGGCGAGATTTTAATTTTGGTTCTGGTTTTCAATATGGGAGCGGTTATAATAACTGACCCCATATAGACCCCGAGAGATAAACAAACGAAAACTCAAGCCAGAATTACCCATACATTATATTCCGAAATATAGTATGCTTACTTTTACGATCAATGCTTCACACGACTCTTGTGGCGACCGGTAGGTTATTTACCTTGGATTGGTGGGCGGGTCAAATCTATCGGATTAATTCAAATTGTATGTCGTTTAACTTCCTTCATTTGGATAAAAAGAAAAAAATACGCCAAATTTCATGGCATGAATGTATGAATCTTGAAATGGTCAACAACATAAGAGGGGACGTAAGATAATCGTCATGATTAATGTTACTTTTCTCTCTCCATCAAACGCAAATTGGAACCTTACGTTTACTTAACACTCAATTCAAATGATTTGGCTTCCTGGGAGGTTGTAAAATAATTTATATAATGATAAAAACTGTTTAGCTTCATCAAAATTTTGCAGTAAGCGCACAAAAGACATTTTTGGTCTTGCATTACATAAACACTGTTAAAAAATCACCGAAAACATCGAACTTTTGAAAGTGTGATGCCAGAATTTTGAAACTGTTGCATCATTCATTCACCAATAACGTCACTATTTTATACGGATCTCGTAACTCATAACAGTAGAGAAAAGAAAAGTATTTAGTACACTCATCAATCATAACGAGGAAGTAAATTCCGAAAAAGCACATTGCATTCATCGGCCATTGATAAGATTACGACAACGGACGCAGACAAAACTGATAGATTCACCAAATGGCTAATTCTCGGGCGTACCCACAAATGACATTAAATTGAATATCAAAATATTTTACTTATTAAAAAATCAATGTTCCTCTAATTTTGCCTGAATAATTTCCAATATTTATTTATACAGTATAGGCCCAAAATTTGTGCCCATATCTGAATAAGTTTTGAAATCGTTGCCGTTAGTGGTTACGAGTTAAATCAAATTACTGTAATTTAAATTAAGTTTCTTCCTATTATTATTTCAGTGGATAAAGTAACGGTAGACACTGATCCAAGAGAAGGGTTACCAAAATCAGAATCGTGTCAACCGGAATGCTCGGCAGATTTTTGTTTGGAGAATCCAAAGGCAATCTGTTCTGCCAGGTAAATGAAGTGATTTCTTTTTTGCAGTTGATACGTTGTAATATCGCCTAATTATTTTTGTGAGAATTTGCGCCGAATGGTGACATCCCTTCATTCAGAATTGAAGATATTACCTTCTAAATAGAGTCACAAGTGACCTCTTATATGCTCAGAGCAATGAGTAATTTATGTTAGGCACCATGTCCATAAGCAAACACTGATAACTTGCAATAACTTATTGGAAGGTCATTGGTTCAAAATTGTTTTGTCGTTGCTGCATTTGGCCCACGGTGAGTAACATAACGTGCGCCGTGGAACAGCAGCGTGAAATCGTACTTCAAACACTTTTTTGCTTTTCATTTTCCTGTGCAACGCTACTCTTGTTGCATAATTATATAAAAACAAACTAGGTTATTTATTATGCGACGAACTATATTATATTTGAAAAATTGACTGATTTGACCATCGCGTGTTGCCATCGCTAAACAGATTGATCCGTGCCAGGTGTGTTTTTCATCCAAAGTGTACTCAGCGTTTGACGTCTTGTGAAATCAAAGTCAAATTAATCTCGATCGTTTAATATTGATGCTCGTTCGGAATAGTTCTACGCGTACATGTATTCATGCCTGGTATACCGGAGGCGTAGAGTGTTGAGTGTAAGCCTTTTATCGCTTCCGCAATTGCCATCAAAGCAGTTGTCACTCGCGAATGATTCAAAGGACGAGTAAACACGCGTTGGTCCTCTAAAGCAAATCCAAGCCATTCCCACACCACTAAATACACTGTCACACAACCAGAAATTTGACTCTTATTTTACAGTAAGTATGGAACAGTAACTTTATAGTTTCGTTGTACTGAGTAATCATTGGCGCATTGGATATATATTCTGATTCGGCATGTTGTTAATTACCATAAATTCCAATAATATTGCGATTTTTTAGATTGTTTGTTAACCCTCTTTATACCGGAGTACTTGGAAACAATCGTAGAATAAAAAAATCCGTGACTGCGTCAATATGGGAATCCATCTGAAGTAATGTCCTTAAAACACTTATCAATCTGACAATCGCGTGCTTATGAAGCTTTTGTCCCATCTAGATGTTTTAATATAAAGTGTCTGGAGGTTTTGATCTATAGCCCGTGAAAATGGTAAACAATCAAATCTGGTGACAAACGAATGGGGATAACAAGTTAATTTAGATTTGTAGAAGTAGAAGACTAATATACACTTATGAATTGGTTCTAGGCATCAGAACATTGCGATATTTTCATTTTAAATGTCTCATTTTCTCCATGCTATGTAACATTCCTCAATTTCAAAAGACTAAACTTTTAAACAAACGATACCGATTAAACAATATGTTTGCAATTCTGGCAGTGTCAAATTTGTCAAAAAGGGCCATTGTTAATGACGTATATTTGTTAGAACAAGCAGAATTTTAAATGGGTGCGAAAACTCCAAAGCAATAGTATTATTCTCCTTGTCAGCATTAGTATTCATAACCTGTTTCTCGAAAGAAAAAAAATTTTGGATGATAAATCAAACTATCAAGGATTCCCATACAAAGAAATTTTTGGCGCTCGATTTTTTATAATGTAACATCTTTGTTATATATATTATTATAGGGGTGACTCGGTCATTTTCTGGAAAATAAATGGAACAAGGCATTCCAATCAACAACTCTTTAGAAACAATTCAACTGAGATAGGAAAATTATATTTGTGACCAACCTTACTTTAATTGGAAAACAAACCCCAATCCTTATTTCAACGTGTAATCTTGTCAGGAATATTCCCGGCATGTAATTTATGAGTAGACAAATGAGAATTGTTTGCCAACAATGATAATTCACCGGAAATAATACACAGCTCGCACCTTTTTACCAAAGATGCCGATGTGGACAATTATGTTGACGAGTGTATTCAGCATGATAATGCTGTCATTTACGGTTGTCGTAAAATAAATCTCAGTCAGTCGTAATGTGACAACTCCTATCTACAGAGTAACTTTGGGACGGTTAGTTATGTAATGCTACTGCCGTTCAATCCCCACCCTCGGGTTCAATGCACTTTTGATGTTTGGTTTTTATCTTTGCTCAAACCATCTTAAACAAAATGGCGTGAACGACGAACAAACTCTAAACCTGCTTCCCTGTTTTCTCACAGGAACGCCCTGATTGAAAGTCAGGATTGTCAAGGAAATTGTCAACACACAGCCTGCAGTGCATGCTTTTTTCAAGAAGAACCACCTTGCCCAAAGTGTGGAACAAATGACTTTTCGTGTATAAAAAAATTTGCCAAGTGTACAAAGAAAAAAACAACCTGTAAAAGAAATAAATTTCCGTGCAAAAAACAAAAGGTAAAAAAAATTCATCTGATATTGATTTTTAATTAGTATGTTTGATTGATCACATACAGTAACTGGCAACTGCCTTAAAAAGATTGACTTTTCATGGGTTATTAATTACCAATACTTAACTTTTTAAAACCCGCGGTTGGATAATCGTCAAAAATGTTAGCTGAGACTTTCGCATTTACGAAAACAAGTCATCAAGGTTGAACCACAGGTGTTTGAGGATCAGTCACCCGGACAGACCCATTCCTCAAGTACCGCGTGTTATTATTATTCTCCGGGGAGTTCTAGACGCACCAGCACGGGCAAAACATAAACTTGATCGTTTCTGAACTTTGTATTATTTGTAATATGATCATTGTAATAACCTCATCAAAGTCTAACACATGACATAATCATAACATTAAGTTCTTTGAGTTTGCCAAGTTTCAGCGCACAAAGTGATATGTTGTGATTCAACGAGCATTTTTCAACTAATAAATATTGATAGAAGTACGCCTACCAAAAGGTTTGGCGCTCCAGAAGTGTATGTACCAATATGGCGGTAACTAATTTGTTCGCCTACTTTACATCAAGTTTTGTAACGGGTCTGAAACCTATGGACATTGAGATATTCACTTGGCTAACACAGACAGGCCCGAACTCGTAATAGAAATGAAATATTCTTAGTTCAACCGGAAAGCTTAACGAAAAATCGGAATAAAATTATGGTCTAACCCTAATCCCCGGTAGGCTACATATATATACTACGGGAGTACCAAAGGGTGTAAATTGGTAACATGCAGAGTAACGAGAACTGTGTATACATTATATTGGACACGTCAGTGGACATAACGATCGTTTTGCATTTTATGCTGGCACTCTTCTTCTTCTTGTCCTTTGACACGTTTCTAAAAAGTCGCTTTTCTCTTTGATTACTGGACCAACCAAAATTTTTCAGTGCTTGAAGATTAAATTTTTCGCTAGAAGGCTATTATTTTCATTTATTTCAAATATTCCGGTGAGCTGCATGAGATTCGTTTTTTGACTGTGCTATGACGTCAATCGAATTCACCACTAGATGGCGCTACATGTCCATATATTTGAGCGTAGCTCTCTTGTTTTTTATTATCAAGTGTTAATATAACGTTAATATTTATTTCATACAGTGAAAAATCGAAATTACTATATTCAGCAAATCTTTTTCATTGGCTATTCCAACCTTTTAAGCTCCAATCCCTATTTATCTTTATTCCCATTGACTGAGTTTTTGTGAATTTTATTCAAGTCAAACAAAGGTGTATCCATTTATTCAATGAAAGCTCCCTCCCAATTCCAGCTATTCAACTTGTTTTCGTACTATTTACAGAAAGCTCAAGAGGGGAAATTCTTATGCTGGGTTCCGAAGTGTCTGGTATGAATAAAGAACATTCTGAAATGGCTGCTGAATTAGGACGGAGATAAGAAAGACCGTGGACTTGGTGCTATGCAAAAAAAGAATCTGCTAACTCTTTTGTGAATAAATTATACGCGTTACAACATGTTACAAGGATCCTAAAGTAGCGGATGTAGAGAATAAACTCACTTTACACATCCAAATACTAGAATTGATAAATCATAGAAATGAATAAAACAAAATGAGACTCAACGAGTCTGACCGTGTAAAAACACTTGGAAATCACCGCAAGAACATGGAAAAGCCCCTCGAGACATTATCTTAATGCTATACTGTCATATACAAATATATATTATATACACATAGGAAATTTCAGTAAATTGACTATATACTGTACTTACGTTGCGGCATTTGCTCCACAATCTTGGCATATGCATGCTTGCTTTTTGACCAAACTGACGAGTGACAAAAACAGTTGTTACTTTTTATTTTCTAGCTCAAACTAAAATTGTGACGGCTATAGTTGTATTCAGCAGCTATTTAAACTGAAAATATAACACAAATGACCTATTGATGAAGACGCTGGGCGTCCATCATCTGAATTTGATTAACTCGTTATTTTTGTGCCAACTTTCAATTATATTTCATTGTGCCATACTTTTATATTTGCGCTTGCTTGTTTCTATTGTCGATTACCAAATATGATAATAAATTATTACTCAATATTATGTACGCTTTTCTGTATCTGTAATTTGTTTTAGACTCTAAAGAGTCTAGGAATGTGTGTTAAATATTGCGAAAAAACAGTTGGAAAATGTTGTAGTACGATTCATCTTTGGTCGAATCCGACGTAAAATATCGAACCGAGGGATAAGAAACTCAATTCCACGCGGTCTTCTGATACCCTCACTATCGGCGGCACCTATCAGATATTTCATTATGCCAGTATTTTCTTCTAAATCTACACATCGAAGTGGCTAGCGCAGAATTCGTAATGGGGTAGGATACTTTATAATGATGTGTCAGATGAAACATTTTTCTTGATTTGACATCTTTAGATAGTCGAGATCAAACTTGACATAAGCGTGGTGCGCTACTTCAAGCAGGTAGGGATAATGTTACAGTTCATATGAGATTAATTACCAAATACACGAACGAGACAGCGATCGGAGATCGCCGACTCATCGATCTTCCGCAAAAAAATTTAATTAATAACTAGTTAATTATACGACATGATTCATCCAAAATCTATCCATCCATAGGCTTCTGGTCCGAAATATGGTAAATGCACATGCAAAATTTGAAGCAGATTCAACCTCGCTTTCGAGAGATAACGCTTAACATACGAAAGTGTCTAACAGACAGACAGACAAAAACCCATCAACATACTTACCGATCAAGATCGATAAGTAACTATTATATCGGTCGGAGACCGAAGACTTATCGATCGAAAGTTAGGGAATCCCCCAAAACAGAAACTGCGGTTTCGATTCATTCACTCTGGCTCTATAGTGACACCGCGTGTCCCATCACTAATTAATTGATAACTCGCTAATTATACGACATAATTCATCCAATCAAATCAATAGGCTTCTGGTCCGAGATATGATGAATGCACATGCAAAATTTGGAGCAGATTCAACCTCGCTTTCATGAGATATCGCGTAAGATACGAAAGTGCCTAACAGACTGACGAACAAACAAACAGACAGACAAACAAATACCTATCAACATACTTACCGATCAAGATCGATAGGTAATAACACAATCATTTTATTTGCGCACCATGCAGATCAAATTTGTGTGTTTATATTTTGATGACGTCGTCGCACACAAAAAATATAAAGGCCCAGTGGCGGCGCGTGGTCATTTTGACAACCGGGGCAAGCTACTGCGGGACCAAGTCACCCCCATCTACGGGGACAGGATGAGCGCTGTAAGTTCTCCCATCATTTTATGAGTATAAAAACCATTCCATCGGTAACAACCAATCGGCAAAAGCGACAATTTTTAACGATAAGAAAGTGTCTTTAAAACCGGTCCAAGTCAAGGGATTAATAAATATAGACATAGTTTATTTTGAAACCTCTTTCAAAAGGAAAGGCAACATTAACCCAGATAAATACAATGACATATTAACAGAAACTTCGGGAAAGCAGACAAAACCTAAAATAAGGTTTAAAACGTTACTATGAAGAAAGGAAAGCTAATGCAAAGATAAGGACATGCGGCGCTCACTCATAGATATATATGCTGCTAGACTTCTACTGCTTGAACATATATGCAACACGCCGCGGTTTCTTGGAAGCAAAATGCTCAATAACGCGCTGATTAAAGTCATGCATCCCAGAAATAACGTCTCTGTGAATGGATAAAACAGCCAAGGAATTTAATCTATCTTGCTTCATTGTGTTTCTGAGATACGTTTTAATACGCTTCAGCGTGCTGAATGTTCGCCCTGCGTCGGCGGAAGAAATAGGCGTCGTCAAAATGATGTCCAGAAATTTTGCAGACGCCGCAAAGGTAGTTACTAGAGTGTTATCTATGAGGAACCCATAGAGCGCGCAAGTTGATGTGATGTTCAAAAAAGTTTGATTGGTGTATATACATCGCAATTCATTTTCCAATTTACCCACGTTTATCATGGGGTAAAATTTGGAGACAGTAGCCAACAAATGGATGGGAAATTGACGTGCAAATTTTGAAAAATTTTTGGGGTTCATCAAAGAGAACGCGGCAAGGTGTTCAGTGCGCAGACGATCGCCTATTTGATTCACCAGAATGTCACAGCATTCCTTTGCAGACAAAATCAAACGCTGCGTTGTTTGCCCGCGGCGTAAAGAAGCACTCCATGTGTCGTCGTATTTTATTGTTTCCCGGATACGAGATACAGCATCGCAGAAGTCTGAAATACACGACTGCACAGACGCTCCATCCATTAGCCTTGACTGCAATGCGCCGTATAATACATCCACGTGATAGAATATTGTGGAGAAAAAAGCGAGAAAAAATGAAAACTCACCATCTTCTAGCAGACGCTTTAGACCTGCCGCCTCCCTCACAGAGCGTTCGTCCCAAACCGGAGAGCTCTGAATGCCATTGAAACACTCGATGAGCTCAGACCTAATTTCGGACACGCCCTGCACCACGCGTGATTGGAAGTTCCAACGTGTTGGTGCACAAGCTGGGAGACGGCGGCTACATATCTGGCGAAGGAGGTCAGAGCGCTTCGGCGAAACGGAAAAAAATGAAGAAAACCCCGAAACATTTGCAAAAAATATACGGGCGAGAGGGGTATCAAGACACATATTTTTAACAACTAGGTTAAATTGGTGTGCATAACAATGTAAAAAATGCGCATGAGGAAAATCTTCTTTTATATAAACTTGAACATCATGTTTCGACCCACTCATGACTGCCGCGCCGTCATAAGTTTGAGCTATCAATTTTGACTTCGCGTCGTAAGGCTGTAACACTTCTTTCAGTACAGCCGATATCCCGCAAGCCGTGCGATCAACGATTGGTACAAAGCTGTGAAATCTCTCGGTAGGTTTATCATAGGGTTACCATATTTGAAAAAGCAAAATTCCGGACAGTGCATGACTATGTCGCACAACCTTAGTCCTAACCGGTACACAAAAACTATGTTCAGGTTGTGCGCCATCTTGGTGCACATACTTCTTTCAGGAGGTCCCTATTTTCATGAGACCATATATATGCGCTACCGAAATGCTAAGGCCGTACGATACTCATGCTAACGTTGTACGATACTCATGCTAAAGCGCCAGCTACCGAAATGAAAGGTATTGTCTTCAGTTACAAGCAGAATCTCACACCAGGCAGGTAAGCACACTCTAAATATAGCTACGGGCCGTCGACTGAGAAAATCTCAACTTCAGAGTGAAAAATAAGAATGAGAATTAGATTGTGCCAAAACGGAAGAACAGCAATTACATGCCTAAAACGAATTCAAGACAATCACTACAAATTTACTCTTCTGACCATGCATATTTTTCTGAAGACCTCATTCTCTCCTTGTCTGATTTCAAAAATGAAAACAATTCACTACAGTGCATATCTTTGAAATTATATTGGAGAGTCAACATGCCTTTTATAGTCGCAAATTGTTTCTCTCTTTAGTCCACTGACTTTGCATCAGTGAAAAGACTCTCTCTACAATATTGGCATTGTGGGATGTAATAGCAAAGAAAAACTGTTCAATCCTCAAAATTTCGGAGTGGCATGTGATGTTCGTAGACTGATCGAAATATTTGCACCATTTCTTATGCGTTGGCAGTTTAATAAATTCTTCGTCTTGTAGGTAACTTTCCACAAACTGCTTCAAGTTACAGAATTGGTCAAATCATTTATCATCGTCCACATCAACCCGTTTACTAATCAGATTTTCCAGGCAAGGCTTTACATCAGGGGTCGGCAACCTTTTGTCGCTCGCGGGCCAAAACCAAAGGTTGCAAGTCATTGGCGGGCCTCATATTTTTAGAATGTTGAAAACCGAACGGATAGCCGATGAATCACACTTTTTCACACAGATTAGAAGTTAAATTTAGAGCAGTGCACGAAGACTGACCATTTGAATATTTTCTGCACCATTAAACCATTTGCGCTAAGCATCAACTTTTCTGCGTTTTGTTGCCATTTGTGTAATTATAATTAAATTATAGGGTCATTAAACGCGCAATTGTGAATTATATACTTGTTAGGTTATAACATAATTTAGCCTAAGCGTGTCGCAAAATTAATTCTGTTACGTAAAGAATATAATCGTTAAAACAGCTGTTTTGTTACTATAATCCAGTGAAGCGTCGCGGGCCGGATTATATTGCTCCGCGGACCGGATCCGGCCTGCGGGCCGTAGGTTGCCAACCCCTGCTTTACATCCTTCCAACTTGGTATCTCGTTCAAGGTTATCCATTTGAAATAAGTAAATTCTTCCATTGGTTTCATCCATTTGCACAAGTACTAAAAGCATTTGCAAAGTTTGCAACTTTAACACCATTGATAAGGAAAACGTTATATCACAATTTCATACAACCTCGTAGTAAAAATATGCGCACGGTACGAAATAACAATGTTCTGTATTAGCAGTGTGCACATTACGATTGCAGATGCAGTAAATTTCCGGACATTTGAGCATTTTTTAAAATTCCTCCCGGACGCAAAATTTAACCCTAAATTCCGGACATGTCCGGAATTTTCCGAACGGTATGGCAACCCTAGTTTACCATCTTTCACAAACCGAAAAATCACAGCCAGTTGGGAAACGCACGTGATGTCAGTTGTCTCGTCAGACTGAATCGAAAGGAACTGGCAATTCTCAATTTCCAGAGCCAAATGTTGTAAATAAATTTTATACATTGAGTCGAGCAAATCATTTTGGATATCCGTAGATGTCCCTTTCGAAACAGTTGCGGCATCAAGATGATCTCTCAATACTGTATCTAGGGATGAGGTGTATTCCACCATATCCAAAAATACCCCTCTATTAGAAGAGCCAGCCCGTTCATCGTGCCCACGGAGGGACAGCTCGTGACAACCAATGAACTTCAAAACATCTATCAATCGACCGAGAACATGGCGGTTTTTCTCGACGTTTTGGTTGTGCCGACGAATAGAAACCGCGCGTCCTTCATCCAACTGTGCTGCAATATTAACATTTCCGAATGTTCGGTATTTTACTGCATTGTCCAGATGCTCCATAGAAGATTGATGATCCCTGGCACGCCCGGAAAGATGTTTAAGATCTCTAAAACCAAATTTACACCAACGTGAGTCACGGGCGGTAGCAAAAATAGGCAATAAATGCAAAAAAGTGCATTTTTGTCCTCGCTGTAACACAACCATTCGTGTTTTTTATACCAAGTTTCTGCGCAGAATGTACGCCGACGCTTTCCTCCGTCATGGGATTGTTCCAGTGAACAATTTTTTGGTTGATAAGGCCCAAGACGTTGTACCTCTAATTTTTGTTCCAGCGGCAGCTGCGAAAACGGAGTGCGAAGTAGTGCATCAACCTTATTCATTATGAGGTCTAAGGCTAAGAAATGCGAAGCCGGAAAGAAGTGAGGAGCTCAAAAGGAATGTGGAAAATCGAAAGCAAATGGACTAAAGGTCTCTAACTGATTCAAATAGCGAAACAAGCGACAAAAACGAAGGCGAGGAAACTATCAACTCTTTCGAGCAACCAACGAACGAGAAGGAATGCGTGAATATGTCAACACGTTGTTGTAAGAAACGTCGGCATTGTGTCGTCATAATTTCGGGGCTAGCCCCGATCGGCCCCGATGATTTAGTAAAAGAAACAGAAAACAAACGAGACAAACGCGGCGAGTGGAAGATAAAAGAGAGAATACGATATACAATGAGCAACCGGGGCAAAATCGGCGTCGCCCCGTCGACGTTCGGCGAAGGCTTTGCGAGCGAAAAATGAACCATGTCGGGAGAATATGGCTAGTGTAGACAGTCTGTGCAACCGATATTGAGGTATTTTTCGAATCTTTTTTATTATACCGAAAAAACAACCGGGGCATTGCCCCGGTTGGCCCTATTGACGCGCCGCCACTGTAAAGGCCACATAAATTTTTGAAATAAATAAGCAAACATACTAGAGAAAAATACAATCTTTAATCAAGTAGTTTATAAGAAAAGTGATTTTCCACAAAAAGGAGGAAACGAAATACTAACATGATGATCAACAACCATGAGCAAAATAACACAATCCATAGTTAGGGTTACCATATTTTTGTGACTTCAAATCGGGACGCCTCGAAAGACAACGACCCCTTAGCTGTGATTTTATAACTTCACATTTTCCGATTTTACTACATAATCCTACATTTAAAGCTGTCTCGGCTGTCTTTATTGACCATATTGTTATCGAAAATTTCATGCGCATATTCTCCGTCCAAATATCGGGTTCCGTTCGAAAAATAGAAAGGAATTGACGTTAACGATACCGGTATAAATAATTCGAATTTAGACTAATTAGTATTGGTTTTACATGCGATACGTCTTCCATCAATGGGAATCAGCGGGAAACGAACGCATTCACCTTCAGTATGTAGGCTAGCGCTGCGCTAAACAGAAACAACAGTAACGAGAACATGTTTGTGTATCATGTTGGAAAAGCGAGACTTTCGGCTGACTTATCGGGACCGCGGGACAAAACGCTGAAAAGCGGGACATATGGTAAGCCTATCCATAGTACCATTTTGTGTCCTAGAGAGAAAACTGGAGCCCACCGTGCGCGAACGATGTCACTTGAAGCAATTCACAACCAACATTCAGCCCGCCTCAGACGTTATTCTTCGCCTAAACAAGCTTCCATAAAGCAAGAACTCCAAACTAGATCTAAATCTAAGAAAAAAGATCGAAACAGCTTCGGTCATATTACTGAAAGAAAACACATTGGTACTCACAGACTTTAGCCTTCGCGGATATTTCACCTATGGACATTTGTACTCCAAATGGTACTACACGGAAAAGAGGAGATATCCTCAAATCGTTAGGCTTGGGAGCACTGTGCTTACGCGCGAACACAGATGAAAACGAGGGCAATGTTTAAATACTATGCGGACACGAAAGTCCAATATCTAACCCTTGGAAATGTGCCGAGCACTGAATTCGTACTTCTAATTACCCTGCGTGGGTTCGAACTTCCCGAGGTATAAATAGGCGAGAGGTTCACGTCACCACTGGTCGGTTCGGCTTTCACCACCATCAAGTTCACGCATCTGGATCAAACTGGCGAACTAATGCAGACAAGGACTGGTAATCAAACGAGAAGCCGTGGTTCGCCAACGATTGGGCGGTTGTCTTAGCTCTTCCAACTCAGCCCCCGGATAAATATGTAAATCCCATCCTAAGGTCAAATGTCACCATTCAAGTCAAAAGAAACAGAGGAAAGCACATAACCTTATGAAACTATATCAATGAATAGAATCAGGCGGGCGACGTTCATCTGCTAGGCCTTGCTTCCAGAAAAATTATATACCTTGTATTATTATTCCAATACTGGAAAAAAAAGCATCTAAACGATATTATAACGATCAGTAGAGGTTGCGCGAGACTAACTCCCAATCCTTTCTCTATGCCTTTGCGCTAGTGGATCCGTATGCATGTAATGCAAGGATGCTGTAGCAGGAATAAAATACCATACTATGCAATTCAAGAGTCCTGCTGCACACTAACACAAATATATTTCTGTAACGTTTCGTCTGACCAAAATCAACAATCAAAACTGCTCAACTGTTGTGAACTGCTTGTCTGAGGAAGTCTGATTTTGGTCAGACGAAACGTTACAGAAATATATTTGTGTTAGTGTGCAGCAGGACTCTTGAATTGCATATAAACGATATTATATAGAGATCTTAGAACGGTCGAGTCAAAACGTCACAGAAATGAATTCAAAATCACGAATGAGACGCATATAAAATAATAAGACAGAAAATAGTTGATCAACAATATATCAGGCCTAGATGTGTATTCTTTCAAAATGCAAATTTCACTCATCAGCAGTAGCAACAGAAAAAAATAGTTCATGAACTTTTCTGCTTCCATTTGAAGTAGCTCATCCACAGTGATATATTAAAACACTTTTAATGCAATCTATTGCTCTCTCAAGACTCCTCGATTTAGAAACATTTTTGTTGGTCTTCAAACATCATATCATATCAGCCACAATGCTGATGTCAAATTGAAGATTCAAAAAACCAATCTTTTTGCTAGTACACCTGTAGAAAAAAATAAAGTTCAAAATCAGAATTGTCTTTTATTTTGAAAAGTAAAATGTTTTAGCACTTGTACCAAGTTGAACAGATGGTAACAAAAAGGGATATACTATACAGCAGAGTTTCCCAAACTTTTGGGTCGCTGACTCCTATTTGTGAATCTTAGTTTTCAGCCCCCCATTCTACTTCGAATAAATTTCCGTGCAAAACCGTGGTGGACTTGTATTTTGTCATCATATTGGTAAGAGCTGAAAATGCTGCCTCACACATGCAGGTCATTGCAAAAGGCAATAAATTTTAATAACCTTTTCTGACAGAAATAGATATTTGTCCAAACGCTCAACCAAAAGACGCAGTGGATTTTGATTAAAGTCATCATTAAAGACCGGTCAGACTCTTTTCATATCATTGCCGAATGCCGACCCCTATGCAGTCATCACAGACCCCACTTTGGGAAACCCCGCTATACAGTATATATACAGTCTTCACTGACAAGTGTTACATGAGCAACTGATACATTTGCTTTCACAAATAGAGAAATCCCATCTTAGGCAAACTCACTGCTACAATGCTGACTATAAACATCTCCTGACAAATACTAATGCTCACCTGCTCTAACCCTCTTTGTTTCCTCCAATTTATTAGATTGTACTTTATAAATGTCTAAAAATGATAAATTTAACTAGGAAAGAAATATGTCTTCTACCTACCAAGGATTACTCAAAATGTTTTTCTATATCTATTACTGCAACATGTTAAATGGCTAAAATTGATTGTTATTCATAGGACCACCATACGGTCAATGAAGTGCTAACTGCTGCAAGGCTTCTTACAAAAAATTTCAATTGTCTGTGAACTCTGTGGTATTATAGTGTACATTATAATGTACATACCGTAATATCAGAATCTTCAAAAACACTCTAAACTGCTAAGATATGAACTTCCTGAAGGTGCATTTCGGTAACTTAAACACTAAACAGTAGGCAGCAAAGCAATGCCTTGCGAAAAATTCAAGCAATGAAGAAAAATTATTCAAATATTTTTTGCTGAAAATCAAAATATATCTTTATTCGTACCAATGCCAGCATCCATTTTCTCATCTCTTTTCCGCTTTGTTCCAGCCTTACTATTTAACTGTGCTTGAACTTGACAAGAGGATGGTAATGGAAGTCTATGACCAGGAGTGGGATGTGGTGGAGAACTAAAGTATGACATCTGCAATGTCTAAAAATAAACAAGATGGATATTTTAATTTTCTTATATGTTACCATAAAGAGGCTTTGTAAAAGCATATATTCAGTGACAGTTATTTACTAAGATTACTAATTGGAATGACTGAAATTATATTAGGTCTGAATAGGCTAATCAGTTAAGAGCACATGCTGTAAGTGACCTTAGCTTACATGGCCTATGGCCAGAGATCTCTTAGCTGAGGTACCCACAGAGTTATAACTTATAATGAAGCAATAGTTATTTTATCAACTTTCCTCTCCCATTGGATAAATATGTAAATTCTACTCCAAGGCCTGTAACTATAAAGTCTCAAGAGTTAAGCAGGTGCAAAAAAAATGTTCAAGAGTAAATGTACCGTACCTGTTTAGCAGTTGATCTTGTTCCAGGATTATATCTCAGCAAACCAGATATTACTTGAAGTAATTCATCAGAAGCCGCAGTGAAACATTCTTTCAATGGAAAACCAGGAAACTCTTTGAAACTGACATAGTCTGGCAATGCTGTCATGCCCTGAACATATTATAGAGAAGTTTTAAAGAAAAGGAAAAATAAAGTGACTAAACTTCCAACATTCATATCTTTTTGATCACAATTTTCATAAGATTTATTGCCCAAACTTGCACACAACAAGACTCTGCAACAAAACAGGACTGAACTCTTCACGATATCTAACCTAATTGTTTACAGATGTTGGGCTTATACTAAACAATGTAATACCATATGCTTCAAATTTTTAACCTGTGATACCCTCATAGTGTAGACAAATTACCAACTGCATTACCTGGTACTCCGGTAGTGTGTGTACCAAGTTAGGGTACAATTTTATTCTGATTTTCTTTATTTTAATTCTATTACGAGTTCGGGGACTGTCTGTGTTAACCAAGTGAATATACCCTTGCCCATAGGTTTCAGTCCTCTTACTCAACTTGATGTAAAGTAGGCGAACAAAATTAGTTACCTTCATATTGGTACACATACTTCAGGAGCGCCCATCACCTATTCTTAACCATATTGACTGGTAAGTATTTGTTTATGAGTGACCATCTACATTCTGCAACCTTGTGGTTTTCCATTGAGCAAAATAGCTGTACATATTAGTAGTAGAAATACAAAATAATTTGAAATGTTAAAGCCTAAACTCACTGGCCACTCAACTTCTTTTGGTGTTCCAAGTGTCTCAAATATTTTACTTAGTTGGTCTAGATCAGAATCTCCAGGTAGAAACGGAACTCTAAGTAAAAGTTCTGCTAGGATGCATCCAACAGCCCACATATCAACACCAACACCATACAAACGAGCCCCAAAAAGTAGCTCTGGACATCTGTACCATCTTCAGATAGCAAAAAAATAGTTTATTGAGTTTTTGTTGGTTTTAAATAAAATGGAAGTGTCTATTGAAGTTTCACTCCTCACTGCCAAATGAATCTGTATTCAGTTCACAGAAACGCATTAACCTTGCAATAACATAGGTCAACAATCATTTTTGTCAAGACTGATCTCTGAATTCAGTCAAGATAAATGACTTAAAGCTTGTCAAATAATTTTCGTAAACAAATGAAATTCTTATGCTAAAATTTTTTGTAATATACAAATTTGATTTAAAGTAAAAACTTCGATAAAATAATACTAAAAAGTGCATCAAGTTAACCGGTGCTCCAGGAGTATGTGTACCAATATGGACGTAACTAATTTTACGTCCAATATGGACGTAACTAACGAACTAATGTTCGCCTACTTTACATCAAGTTGTGCACAGGGACTGATCACCATGTTGCTTACTGAAGAGTCATATTTAAATCTCATAGATGCTCAGATCATACTACAATCCATCCCTTTTCTCAACAATGACAGAGCAGTAAAATGATGTATAACACTAGAATTAAGGCGGTTTTAATTCCTACCTCGTAACAACTTGATGTGTATATTCTCTGCTTGGACTTCCAAATGATTTAGCCAAACCAAAATCACCAATTTTTAAAATTCCTTCTGCATCAATCAATAAATTGTTGGGCTTCAAATCCTATTGAGGTGTGAAGAGAATGGGATAATGAATAGATTCTTGAATAATGCAAATCAAGAAACAACAGTAAACACACCTACCCTGTGCAAAATCCATTGTGAATGCAGATATTCCAGGCCTTTTAATGTCATTATCGTGTAAGCTTTAATGTGACTCTGGGTCAGTACAATACTTGTGTCCTTAATTATTACTTCCAAATCAGTCTCCATGAAATCAAACACTAGACTGATGTTCGACTTTTGTCCAAATACATCCAAAAGCTAGAAATCAAAATTACACAAATAAAACACCCAGAAAAAATAGGCAAATATGAATAACTAAGGTTGTAAATACTTATACATATATGATGTAAGTCCCCAACCGGTAGTAATTTTCATATGTTCTTATGGGTTGGGGATGGGGAATATCACTTTGCATTTGAAGTGGATTCACAAATAAGGTATTTATTTCAATTTGTATTTATGGATATATTATAAACTATTCAAATTGTGCAAAGTCAGCGTGCAAGTTGTGCATAGTATTAACTAAGGATTCATTAAACAGATTGAACAAATAACGGAAACAACAGTTTTTATACATAGTGAGGGAGGAATAAAGAGATCCAACATAAACAAAGGGGGGAATTTATCGGAAAAGGCTGGGAACCATTGGTAAATAAGTCATACACTCCAAGATATTTTGGTATATATTGGATGCAAAAATTATGCAGTAAGAACTGATAAAACATATCCTCAATATTTTGATAGACGAATCACAATAAAAAATACCACATTGTATCACATACAGATACTGGATGCAGTCACCGGTCACTATGATATTATCACAAAGACATGTAAAATTTTTGCATTAATAAAATGTATACATTATCATAGTAATACAAATAATTTACCCCAATGATATTTTCATGATGTAGTTCTTGCAATAACTTTATCTCTCTCAAGGCAGTTCTATTAATCCCATCTTTTGCTTCAATTCTATTTCCCAGCTTAATTTTCTTCACAGCAACAATTCTATTGTCATTTTCAGTATCTTTAGCCTTGTATACTGTTGCAAATTGACCTTCTCCAAGAAACTTCCACTTTCTCATATCTAAAGGTTTTGTCTGTCATATTGTTAGCATACTTACCAATTTTTAGGTATTTTGATGCTGAAAAACAGTGATTTGCAATAAAGAAAATGTTAACAAAAAAAAATTATTTAGACCAGATTTGATAATTTTTACGCTTTGTTGTTACTAATTATTTCTTACGAATTGAATAAACAGAAATTAATTTATCAGAGATAGCCTACACGATGTACTTCGAACATCAGAACATAAATGTAAGAGATAATTCATATAATGAAAGCGAGAAATAATTCATTGTTTTGAACATTAATTCAATCTTATATTTTGAAATATTTGCTATCTAAATTTATCAGGAACAAATTCCATGTTATAGATATGGAATAAGAACCATACATTACAAAATACCAATTCAACCTTTCAGATTCTCAGTGTTGTTATTTATGACAATTTTGAATATAAATAGAATTCAACTGTCATCATGACTCTTATTACGCAAATGTCTTCTGTTTTTTTTATTAATAGATTTAAATTGATGTTTTCCACTTGAAGATGAAGAAGCATCATCATTGTCAACAGGGTTGAGTCTTGAAATTGAATCATCTAATTTTGCTGCTATTTCACTAGCAAATTCGGCAGCTGAGATATTTTCTTCTAAATGATCAAGTTCAACTTTATCGCACAGAATTTCATCACTATTTATGTTTGGTTTCGAGTCTGTTTTCCTCTTATTTTCATTCGGCACACCAGCTGCATGCTCTGGCATTTTAAAAACGTGCTGTTTCGATGTAACAGAGCATTCAATTTCCAGTGATAGAATCTTCTTTATTACTTAGTTCACGTAAAAATTGGAAAGCAATTTGTGTATTGCTTTTATTGTCACTCAGCTCTGTGTCCCTCAAGCTGTATTTCGTATAACGAGATGGATTGACTAAGAAGTCAGGCTTGGGAGGCTTTATCAGAGCTTTAGATTTATTGTTGCTGACCTTTTTAATCCTGCAGTCATTGTCATCTTGTTCACTATCATCAGATTCAATCGCACTATCTGAAGATATCATGTTAGAGGCTGAAGAATCAATTCCAGAAAAAATTTCATGCATTTTGGATGCAAAAACAGGATTTTCGCATGAAATCGTGAATCCTGGACTTTTTTCATCAGTATCCATAGTTGCCACCTGAAAGTACTTAGGATCAAATTACCATAAATCTAAAAACAGAAAAAAATTAAAAAAAACTTTTCCATCAAATTATGCACCAAAAAAAAAAACGATTTACCATTTAATTTGTTGCTCATCAATTAAAAAATCAAAAATATGAAACTTTCATTTGTTATAAAACCAAAACCAATTAATCTAATGTAATTTATTCAAGGCCCATGTACGTCGTTCAATATCTTCTTGTAATTGATTGTATTCATTCACAATAACATTAAATGAGTCCCCAAGGTTTCTAAACTCAGTGAGTTGTTGCTCAATGGCAACAATCTCTTGATGATTATTTCTTTTACGTTTCAATAATTCTGACCTAACTGATTGCAATGCAATAATGCTATCTCGAGTATAAACAGATTTTTGTAATTTTACAGTCATTGAAGAAATTTTTAAAGACAGAGCTTCACAGCGTGAAAGTAAATTAGAAAAGTGTTCATCATCTCTTTTAGGTTGTAATATTAATCTATATTTTTCAATAACTTTCATAAGATATTCCGCAGATTCCAATATTTCTTTAGCACATGAGTTATATAGTTGCTTTTCAGTTCGTTGGGAATCTGCAATCTCTTGCCTACGCATTTGTAATTTTTTCTTGTCTTGACGAATTATTTCCCCAAGTTTAATTGTTCTGGCATTTTGTATTTTGATGATGAATTTTCAATTGAATTTATAGAATCATGGTAACCTAGCAGTCTTTCACATGTTGATTTGACATCTGTCTCTACTAGAGAAATCAATTCCTTTTTTAGATCCGGATTTAATGGTTTCTCTTGAGATGTGGAACATTTTTGGCTACAATAATTGACTTCTGCCTGAGTTACTTTCTCGACAATTTCATCAAATTTGTTACTACCAGATTCTTGCAATTGTACATTCTCGAGTGCATTGTGAAGTGCGGTATATAAAACATTAAGTCCCAACCAATTCATTTTTTCTTTTTTCCAAGTGGCTTCTACTTCCATAAATTCATCTTTTAAATTTCTCTTTGTCTCCTTATCATCAGATTGTGAATTTTCACACAAATAAGCTTCAAAATTCAAAACATCATTAGAACCATTTGCAGACATAATATCGTAATGTATTGCATTTGGTAAAATTCTGAAAATTACAATATCAAGATGAAATTAGTGAATGTCTTCATTTATGACTGCCAGCCATTGTTGCAGTAGGCCTATTAGGCTACCCCTATTGCAGTAGGAGTAGATTGACTATAATATTGTATGTAAATAATTCCAAATTATATGATCTATGTGTGTTCTTTTTATTTGTGTTGTAGACGAAAGATCGAAATAAAATTGTATTGTATTGTAAATTATCTGCAATAAAAGTGATTGCGTTGGAACTTTTAGGTTCGCCCGTACTTTTATCAATTATAGGACGGAAATATTTGAATGAAATATTAATAATAAAATAACGAACAGTCAACCCCTTTCCTTACTTTTACCTCGCGAATTACAAAAATTTTGATGCTCCCGCTTTGTTTTAATATCTGAACGTGAACATGAAAACTTCTAAACTCTTGAAAATTACCATTCAGTACGGTCAAAGGTCAACCATTTCCCAAGAGTGGAATTACCGTAACAGATCGTTTTGGACACGAAATGAATATATGGATCATTTTTAGTACTATTTAGGCCGTGAGGCCCTGGTAAACGCCTCGAAAATGAGTTTCGTAGCGCACATCTGGGAACCATTCTTTAGTTTTGTATGAAAATCAACATGCTGAACGGCGAACGCATTACAGCTTATTCCCACTAACGAAAGTTGCACATTTTCTATAAGACATGCTTAAAAAATCCTGATGTAAAAATGGTTATAGGGGGATTCACCGAAAATTAATGCCCATAGGTTTACAAAGACACGACTAGAATCGTAAATATATACTACTACATAGAATTCATTAATTTTTATGAGACATTATTCCCCGGAAAATCAGTAACCATAATTTACAACAGGGGTCGGCAAACTTCATGTACTCGCGAGCCAAGTATAAGCATCTCCGGTAGCGCGCGGGCCGCATTATTTCCGCTTGCAAACAATCGCCATATTAAAAGTTAAATCATGGGTAGGGTTACCATATTTTTTTGACTTCAAAGCGGGACGCCTCCTGTTACAGTTTCCGATTTTACTACATAGGCCTACATTTAAGCCATCCCGGCTGTCTCCATTGACCATATATATTGTCATCGAGAGTTCATGCGCATATTATCTGTCTAAATATCGGGTTTAGTTCGAAAAATAGAAAAGAATAGACGCTAGCGATACAAATGATCCGAATTTAGATTTTCTTATGTACAGCAAAAGGAATAAAGAATAATGAAATAGTCTGTCGTTTTCAAGCATTGAGAATTACTTATTCGCCCAAGCATGCTTCTCTGTAGATAACATCTTAAAAAAAACGTTGTTCAATGTTACATTCGCGTGAACATCCGAACAGGACCAATTAGAATTGATTTTACATGTGATACGTTCGCTAAAAATGTTAGCGGGAAACAACGAAACAAACAAAATAACGCATGCACCACAGTGAGTACGCTAGCGTTGCGCTACACCAGCAACAATATGTTCGTGTATTTCGCTAGATGGCTGAACGCAAAAGCGGGACTTTTGTCTGACTTGTCGGGACGGCGGGACAAGTCGCTAAAAAAGCGGGACTGTCCCGCCTAAAGCGGGACGTATGGTAAGCCTAATCGTGGGGCACTTGCACCTTCTGTTACTGTGTTAAATTGGACGTGCATGTGGCATTTTTTAATATACTATCAAGCAATGCGATCAATGTGAATGACGATGTTACTTCTGTGTTATGGCCAAAGCGTCAAAATCAAATGCCAACTTGGTTGCCCCGCAGTACGTCGGCAAGCGAGTACGAAATTTATTCTCCGTGGCTCGCGCAGTGCTATTAGTCCGGCAGAGTCTGGCCTTAACATTCTTTTGGGACATAAAGTTTATTTTAATGTTTAGATATTATGTAGATGACATGTATAATGATACCCAGGTGGGTGTGGAGTATATAATGTTGAGCAATTTTTAATGGATTTAATTGGATTTAAAGTATTCGTACCAAGATGACGCACATCCTGAACCCTAACATGGTAAACATACAATGTTTAGGTTGTGCGTCATCTTGGTACGAATACTTCAGGAGCGCCTCTTTGTTAAAAACAATTATTTCATAACTACATGGTTTAGTTTTGCATACATAGTAACATTGAATCTCCTTACAATGTCAGAAATTCAATTTTAGTAAAATAAATGGTAGTTTATTTCACTAATACAAGCCAAGATCCATCGACAGCAACTAGCCACTTTCTATTGCGCTCTTCAAACTGCATTTGCGTTGCCGCGCGCATTTCGTTTCCTAGTTAAGCTTGGGAACTTGGAAATATTTTATTAGTTTGAATTGGATTGGAATATTTGACCTCGTCTTCACTCCGAACAAGGCCAACCATCCTCTGGTATCTAACGATGTGTAACGTGTTTTCTTTTGGAAGAACCGGAACCTTTCAGTGCTGCATTGACTTTGGCAAAATTAATATATTCTTGTGGAGGTAGAAGGTATGCGTGTGCGAAACCGAGATGTGCACCTGTTATGCCAACATAGTTTAGTCAAACATTTTGAATGCTAGTACATCACACACATTTTCCTGCGTGCTTCGGTTGTACGTAGTAACGCGCACAATTTTGCGCACATGCATCAAATTCCACTTGATTATTGAGCTATAGGTTTCTGACGAGCTTTTGTGTATGATTTCATTCTATAGAATTGCATGCTGTTCTAAAGAATACTAGTTTCAGCTTTTTCATTCATTCAAACCGCGTGTTGAAAGCAAGTTTTGGAATATTGCGTGTTGGTTTTCAACATCCCTAAATCGGTGATGCCAGTTAATCTTTAATACAAAAAGATCAGTAACATCTGCAATAAAAACAGCAGTGCCCACTCAAATGACAGCTGGGGGATGGATACTCCTAGTATCTGCTCCATCGCCTGCCTCTTACAGTCCAGTTTACATGAGTGCCAATTGGCATCTAAGCTCAGCCATAGACAAAAAGTTTCGGACTGCAGTTGGCGTGACGAAATGTTTTTAAATATATCTTCTACAATAAGATTATTTGATTGCATACTACTGAAAGTTCCGCCTTATATGTCTTTTCCCATTGCACTATTCCTTTACTGATATTCGATTAATATGACGCTCATCTGACATAGTTCTCTTAAAGTGTGTTAGATAGTATAATCTTTTCCACGCTGTTCATATGGGATGCGCGAATATATATAGAATTGCTAATATGGTTTTGCAATGCGATGAAATCCCATCTTGCCATTTCTGCCTCTCGCAATTGCTGCGTATACTTATCGGAGAAGTTCTGTGACGTGGTTATCAAATGAAAAAAAAAACATGGAAGTATTTTTTCTACTTCTCTACTACTATCAAACCTTGACATTTTGTGAAAACATTTTTTTCATGCAACCTATTTTTAAACATCCCCAACAACCACAATTAATTCTGTTATTAAACTTCCAAAACAAACACATAAAAAATCATCAAAACAGATGCATATCACTAAGTAGATATTGCTGAATTGATCTTTATTTTACCATTTTTCATTCTTTTTGGTAAACCTGTTATCTATCGTAAATACAGCACATTTGACAATGTTGTAGTGTGACAAGAGAAGCACGGTCGCCTCTTTTAGTTTAGGACAGGTTTCTTAAAAGGGGGCCCCGTCCTCTTTGTGAGGCCGCTGATCGGTTATCTGGGAGCAGAACAAACAGATGAAATGCGAATATATAATACAATGTATTTTTATAGAAGGAGAAGAAGCAAAAGTGTTGAGAGTCTTTGGTAGTTTGAAAAGCATTGCATGGAACATAAGAATGAACTACATTCTTTCCCAGGGAAATACTATAAATGTAGCAATTCTCATGTTTCTTGTTTTTCTTGTTCTCGTGATATCATTATCTTTCACTGCCCGTCGTGATCATCCCGCTGCATAACAATTCTCGCTAACAAATAATTGACTGTTCTCCACCGGGTGTATATCCACTTGAACCACTGGCGACGGCATAAGCAGGCTTGTATCGTTAATTGCAACAATAGAGGGTATTTTGAAATAGTACTCTTTATTTTACGCGTACGTTTCAACAGTATTTCTGTTTGGTGCTTACGTAGTTTGTCGTAGGTTATGGTTCAGGTTGTGCGTCATTATGATGCACAGGTTTGACGAAAAACACTAATACAAATATCTCAACAAATACCTAAAAGTTATAGATTTTTTTTTCCTAGTAAATTTGGTGCTTGCGTAGTTTGTGCACCAAGATTTCGCACAACCTGAACGTAGTATTGTAACAGGTTATGGTGCAGGTTGTGCGTCATTATGATGCACAGGTTTAACGAAAAACACTAATACAAATATCGAGCCGTAAAGAAAATTGCTCAAGGCTGCAAACTCCACACCCATGTAGAAATGATTGGCAATGATCCCAAGATGAATAATCACAAATAAAAAAAACTTTAGGCTATGTCTGAAATCAAACTTGGGCCAAAAAGGTCCCTTTATCTGCCGGACTATATTTATAT